AGAAGGATAAGGGCGGGGGGGGGAAGGTGGTGGCAAATTCGTGCCATCCGCTTCAAGGATCTATGATGGCAGGGCGGTGAATCCACGTGTCATGGCAGCTCTCCGGCAATGGTCCCCTGCTGAACCCACCGACAGCAAAGACAGACAGGTGAACTGTCGGGTAAACAAGAAAGGTAACGTACTATGATAGGCCCATGTTCTTTCTCTCTCTCTCTCTCTCTCTCTCTCTCTCTCTCTCTCTCTCTCTCTCTCTCTCTCTCTCTCTCTCTCTCTCACACACACTCTCTCTCTCTCTCTCTCTCTCTCTCTCTCTCTCTCTCTCTCTCTCTCTCTCTCTCTCTCTCTCTCTCACACACACACACACACACACACACACACACCTGAAAGCGCAAAGAAATAAAAACAAGAAAGAAAAGAGGATGTGGGGTGTCTCTCGTCTGATCCTGAGCAACAGGCCAACCTTAGATAACCAAGCGTTGAAATACCTACACCGTGATCTCATAAGAGTTGATCAGATGGGCGGGCTTCTCTCGTCTGCTCCTGAGGAACGGAACCATCAGAAAATTTGAAGTTTTTAACCGCTCGCCTTCCTCGCCATGAAATTTTCGAAGTTTTTACACCGGGATCTCATAAGAGTTGATCAGATGGGCGGCCCATCAGAAAATTTGAAGTTTTGACTGCATCGTCTTCCTTATATCTCCAACGCGACTGGTCCATCAAAGTTTACCGTTCTCCCACTACATGTGGAGTCAAAGCGAGGAGTACGGGGGAAGGAAGGCCCAACGGGCTCTTTGGGACCGTGTAATCCGATGGGTATGCTCTTTAAACAAACACCATCGCAATCTGACCAAGGATTGAACTAGAAGCTATCGCATTTCAAGGAGGAGGAGGTGGACCCAACAGTAGAGTGATGAAGGAAGAGAAACTCGCGATTTAGTGTGCTCCAAGGAACGAGGGAGTCAGTGAGCAAGGCATCAGATCAAGAGAGAAGGAGGCGCAGAAGAAAAGACATCTCTTTTGTTTTCACAGCCTGGCTTCCTTTTTACGTCAGGAAGAAGATGAAGATGAAGAATCAAGGGTCTCCCCCACCAACACAAGGAAACAATATGAGACAGCTAGAGATGTGCTCTCTTTCTCTCTCTCTCTCTCTCTCTCTCGCTCCTCAGATGCAGCCAAGGAAACGTATGATGAGGCCATATAATTGGGCAGGTGCCAACGTGCACATGGAACGATCTATCACAGGCTGGACACGTAACACAACCACAGTCCAAGGAGGGCATGTTCTCATCAGGCCTTCCTACCGAAGAACTCAAGAAGAGAGGGAGGACAACGAGACCAGGAAACTGTGTCCATCATTTAAGTTTTCATGAAGGCAAATTAGGAAATGCATAATTCCAGCAAACTATGTTGGGCCATCACTTATTAACAGCTATTTTATTTTCTTCAAGAATACCCTCGAAAATTATTTCACCAAAATAGATATTATGATAATTCATTTGTTCATTAAATAATGTAATTCCGTCACGTTAATCACAGCCATTTCCTATTTTGTGGAAATAGTCTCAATTGTTGAGATAATAATGATAGATAAATGGTGAATATTTGACGAATTTTTGGAATCTATTATGTAATATTATGTGAAAAAGGTTTCATACATTTATAAAATTGTTGATAAATAATGGATTCTTTTAATAGTTTGTGGAAGCACTCTCAAATTTTATAATTGTAGATGAACAGTGAATATTTGATAAATTACTACGATCAACCAGTTAAGTTGCTGTCTCCGTATTATACATCGTTGAAGAATTTTAAGAGATTATTAAATCGCCTTATTTTTGTAACCAGACGATTTGTTCACCCTCAATTATGGAGAGGACCAAGGATGATAGTGATGAACATTGCCGCCCCGGTCAACTCGCCCATAGCTCACCTAGCCCTCTGATCCCAAAGTGGGTTTACCGAAGTGGCGATTCCTTGCCGTAGTCTCACTCTTCCGCCGTCCTCGTCAGAACAAAGTCGGTCATAGCGGATCACGTAGAGTGCCCGGAGGATCGGATGCTCCCCACCCAGAACGAGCGAGTGAGCGAACGAGAGAGAGAGAGAGAGAGAGAGAGAGGGGGGAGAGGGAGAGGGAGAAGGAGGGGAGCTTGTTTAGACCTTGGTCCATCGTTCTTAAGGTCCCCCACATTGGGGCTCTGACAGAAGAAATAACTAAGCTTCGCTGAAGTAGAATGGCATCTCCAGTAGTGCATGCCATCCGGCTCGACCGAATGAACCACTGAAGGGTATGTTAGGATGTCAGGGCAGAGAGAGAGAGAGAGGCTGGGTGGGGGGCTCGTTTAGACCTTGTTTCTATTGTATCTTAAGGTCCCCACATTGGGACCCCGTCAGAAGTAATAACTAAGCTTCGATGCTCGTTTAGACCTTGTTTCTTAAGGGCCCCCACATCTATTAACCATAGGCGTATGAGAGCTTCTCCAGTGGTGCATTTCGTTCAGCTACACCGAGTGACAGGAATGACAGGAAGAGAGAGAGAGAGAGAGAGAGAGAGAGAGAGAGAGAGAGAGAGAGAGAGAAGGGAGGGGAGGGGAGGTGGATGTGGGGGTGTTTAGAACTTCCTTTATTGTACTCACGGTCTCTCACATTAGGGGCTCCGCCAGAAGAAATAATTACCACACTGTAGAACCCAATTAACCAATGGTGTATGAGAACTACCCCCGGTTGAGCATGGCGTGAATCTCCAGAAGATTAACGTCAACGAAACTCAACCGAATGGATTGCTCCAAACTTCCAATGTCGTCGATTAGTCAAAGCTCAACCCAGCCAAATCATTTCCCTACTGCACCTGATTGGTCAACTCTCTCTCTCTCTCTCTCTCTCTCTCTCTCTCTCTCTCTCTCTCTCTCTCTCTCTCTCTCTCTCTCTCTCTCTCTCTCTCTCTCTCTCTCTCTTTCATTGAGGCCGTCCACATGCGTGGGCACTAAACCAAGGATCACAAGAACAAACAAATCGACGTGGATATTTAAATTACAGTGAGTGAGAGAAAATTCCCCCCCGCCCCTAGGGAAACGCTTGGGCGTGCCTGCCGACTCCCCACTTCACAAAACAATTCCATTTAATGCGCAGAACGAAAGAGAGGAACAGGACAAGGGAGCCCGCCATGGCTTCAAGCTCCCAGGACGGACCCCACCCCCGCGCTCGGAGACAAGCCAAGAAAATGGAGGAACCAGGAGATGGTAAGAACAGCAGTAGAATATGGACTTGATTTGCTCCCCAGAACGTGCCTCTCTCTCTCTCTCTCTCTCTCTCTCTCTCGCTAAGCCTCTAATCTATCTATCTGTGTAAATATGTATCTGCCTCTGTGTTTCTACTTATCTACTGAAATGAGACCTGGATCTGGTGCCCCCCCGTGGCGACTCCTGGTGGGCATAGGAAGGAAACGAGACAGGAAAAGAGACAAGAGGAAGATGTCCGACACACCCCAACCCCCACCCCATTCAGCGGCCTTGGTCACGCCAGCCATGGTCCACCGGTCCACCCCCTTCATCTCCACGCGTGTTTGTATACCTAGAGAGAGAACTGGGTCTTGAACTACGAGCAGTTCAAATCTCAAAAGAGCAACCTGATGGGCCTGATTGCAAAAGGGGCCAGGGCCCAGAGCCCGCCTTTCTCTCTCTTAGACCCCGCGGCCCAGATTCCTCTTCATCGACCCGACTTTGATAATATTTAAATTTAGCGAACATAATTTCATAGGGGGTATTATATATTAATACATTTGGTTGGAGAGATTTCCTCGTCAGCCAGTCTTATTCGTGGGGCACACCGAATAATTTATTCACTTTTTCTACCACGAATCGTCCCCCAAAGTCAACCTCGCTGGGTCAGAGCTTCCCACCTGTGTAACCATGGTTAAGCCATATGCTGGTTTGTCCAATACGAACGAAAACCCTTTCACTGACGCTCGTTCAACAGTATGGAAGAAGACGAGCACCTTCTCTTTGACTTTTCCGAATGTCAGAAGTCAACTCGCATTTTGAATGCCAGCGAGAAAGTCGCAGTTTTAACGGAAATTATTAACTACATTAAGTGCAATAAAGTTTAAATTGACCGGTAGAAAACGAATTTAGTTTGAATCAGCAGATGTTTCGTCAAGTCAATGGACACCACGTGTGCCGGCCCTTAGCGACTGCCCATCTCGAGTTCTCCGGCTGGGAGCCCATTAAGTCAACAGCTGGCTCGATGTGCCGGAGACTTTTGCGTTAAAACCCTTCCTTTTAAAGGTTTCTTTCAAAGGCTCTTCTTCCCTCTCGATTTGGCGGCTTCTTCGTGGCGAAGGAAATTTCCTGCAGAAACGGGGAATGGTTATCAAAGTACACGTGTTGCACATCGTTGACTATTGAGACCTAAATATTCAAAAGCTGAACAGGCGAGTGCCAAGCGACTTCGGCGAGCCGTTGATATCCTCCGGGCGACAGCTGTCGAGACGACTCACATGTGCTGACCTCGAACAAGTTGACTATTAGAACCACACCGCTCCGAAACTTTGTCAGAACGCGCATGTGCCTGTCGCGGGTCCTGCGCCTCATCTTGACCGCCCATCAAACAGCTCTGACGGTGAGGATCGCTCCCATGGTTCGGTTCTTGGGAGTGCTTTTTGGAGTATATTATAAAGGATTTTATTTTTGGCAAGTATTCGGGCTAGTGGAATTCGCATCACGAGGCACTTGGACGAATCACAGCCGCGAGGGGAAAAGGCGTCTTCTCTCTCCTTATTTACCGGGAGCAGCCGGTTTCTCGGTTCCGCGAAGCCAACTTCACTGCGGGTCCTCTTATAACTGGTCGTCGTCTTCCCCATTCCAGTCCTCCCCTTGTTTGTTGATTCCTTCTTCGTCTACTTCAGAGCTTCTCCTTATCCTCCTCTTTGTGTTCATGGTCGGTGACCGCGGCTTCTGAGCAGTGGGAGGGCCGTTCCTAAGGTAGGAAGTTCTCATCTCCGTCCGATGGCTGTCGATCTGATCGGCTACACGAAGATGGAGGACCAGATCGCGATCCAGGAGGCAGCAGCCGCCGGCATCCGGAGCATGGAGCACCTAATCTTGCAGCTTTCCCACCACGGCCACCGCTCAGGTCCACCGCAACCGCAGCAGCAGCAGGATCTCGACTGCAGGGAGATCGCCGATTTCACCGTCGGCAGGTTCAAGAAGGTTATCTCTATTCTGAATCGTACTGGCCACGCTCGGTTCCGGCGGGGCCCCGCTGCCGAAGAGGCGGCTATGGCGTCCGCCTCCCAGTCCTATTCTCCTTCTCCGTCGAAAGTTAAGGCAGCGGTACCGACGCCTCCGCCGTCTCAGTCGCAAGCCCTGACTCTTGACTTCACGAAGCCGACACCGGGGATGAAGACGACCGGCTTCCTGTGCGGTGAGACATCGGTCTCCAGCCGCTTTAGCAAGGATAGCTTTAGCATCACTCCGTCCATGTCTTCGGCGAACTCGTCCTTCATATCTTCCATCACTGGCGACGGCAGCATATCCAACGGGAAGCAGGGATCCTCACTGTTGCTTTCCCACGTCGTCGCGGCGTCTCCCTCCGCGGCCATCTCTGCCGGTAAACCTCCTCTCTCGTCGTCGTCCAGAAAGTGCCACGTCCACGGTCAGCACTCTGAAGGAGCACCTGGCAAATACTCCCTCTCCGGCGGTCGCTGCCATTGCTCCAAGAGGAGGTAACCTTCCCTCACCACTCTCTAGCCTCCCCCCACAGAAACCACCGCCTTTGTGCTGCTATCTTACATTTCAAACCGATCCAGGAAATCCCGGGTGAGGAACACGATCCGAGTCCCGGCGATCAGCTCCAAGATGGCTGACATCCCTCCGGATGAGTACTCCTGGAGGAAGTACGGCCAGAAGCCGATAAAAGGCTCCCCCTATCCAAGGTACTACCACCACCACCTCGCCGCCATTCCTCAGGTTCCGCCGCCCTCCCTTCGCCGAATCTCACCCTCCTTCGTCGTTTCAGAGGCTACTACAAGTGCAGCACCCTGCGGGGCTGCCCCGCGAGGAAGCACGTCGAGAGAGCGCTCGATGATCCTTCGATGCTCATCGTCACCTACGAAGGCGAGCACCGCCACCACGGCCACAGCCTCGTCGCCAGCGCCGGCGCCGCCGTCGCCTCCCCCGGAAAACTCGTGTCCGAGTCGTCGTAACTGAACCGCAGAACCGCCAGGAGAGAGAAGCTACGATCTCGCCCGTGGATGGGCCGTTGTAAAATCTGGGCCGTTGGACGCAGGCGACCCATCCTTCCTCGAATCATTATTTTTTTATGATAAATCCTCGTTCTTACCCCCTCAGAGCAGACGCTGACACGACCTGGCGCCAGTTCCCCCGCCACGTGGCCCTTGGCCACACTAGGGCGTTTCGTTATTTCTCTAGCTCCTTTTTCGTCGTGGTTGTCGGAATTTCCCATAAAATTCTCCTGGGGAGACCTGAGCATTTGACTAGATCGGAGCCCCGCGGACCCAAAGGCAAGATTCTTAATTCGATTGGGCTCCCCCTCTCTGGCGTCCGGTCAAAAGACGCTGGACTATTCTTTAAGACCTGGGGACTTTGGGCAGACCGGGTGGGGCCCAACGGGTTTCCCGACCGGTCAGGCCTGGCACGACGTTTACGGGGCAGGCGGAAAGCGGCCAGGTGGTCCAGAGCCCACTACAAGCCGTCGGTGTCGGGGTTGACCTCTGGACAGTTCCGTTCAAACTACCCACCGCCGGAGCACTTGAGAGGGCGGCGGCCGGTCGAACGGATGTGGCGGCAGTCAGGCCAAGTCAACGATGATTAGTCAAAGGACCCATTAGGACACTTAGACCAACAATGGCGGCCCATTACAACATTACATACTCTATTGAGGCGGGACCGTTCCTCTTGGGTTCCACTTCCACGTGGAATCTCTCTCTCTCTCTCTCTCTCTCTCTCTCTCCCCCTGCGCAAGAAGTGGGAAGAACTACTGCGCCTTGCCCACAACTCGTGGGTCAGTTTGAGAGCAGGCCCACGGTTGGAAACCCACCCGGGCCGCGTCTTCCATCTGAGCTGCTAGAAAGAGGGAACTTGGGGCGGGCCCAGTGAAGGTAGCTCTTTCGAAACGTAAAAATCCTCGATGTTTTCGAGGTCTATTTGGGCCGAGTTGCAACCCTATGTATGATTCCTCATCTCCTAGCCTAAACCCAACTTTGGGCTTCAGTTCTCATAATTTTGGGCCAGACCCATTGAAGAAGTTCAATCCCAAGCCCATTAACCTTCTAGATTCTACCGACTATCTTAAAAACCCTCTCTATCTCTCTCTCTCTCTCTTCATACTTCGTGTTTTTTTAATTCGCGCCAGTGGAAGTTAGTAGTCTCTAGAGAGAGAGAGAGAGAGAGAGAGAGAGAGAGGATATTGTTTATTAGTGCACGAAATCTCTAATTCCGACGTTAAAATTATGCTCTTCGGGTGAGTGAGGACGAGGGGAATAGTGGGGGCTTCGTTGATTATTTTCGTGTTCATGTTCTTCGGATTGTTTAGTCGCCTTCGTTTTTCACCTAATCACGTACAAGACACAGCATTGGACCAACTGAAGTTAACGGGCCCAAAATTGGTGAAGGTCCACTAGCATCTCCACTCCGGGCCATGGACTCGATCCGGCCCGTTCGAGAGATTCAGCGGAAAGATTAACTACGGGGAACTTAAGACGGCGTGGAAACTCTCGGGTTGACTTCGGATCTGTTCCAGATGGGTTTGTTGGCGGATGATTTGGTGATGTATATTCTGATAAGGATCCGAAAGCGTATGATCTGGCGAAGCCCACGCTGGCGACTGCTGTCTCGCGGAAAGCTGCTATCTTTCGTATCGTTTGACTTTCGCCCATGGCGCTCTGGTCATCCTTCTTCCATCTTCCTGACCAACCTTCCCTCTTCCCTATTAGCTGCTCTCTTTCTATCCCCAACTTCGAATTCACCGGCGTTGAATTAATATCTCTCTCTCTCTCTCTCTCTCTCTCTTGGTCGGAGTAGTTGCAGAGGCTTCATGGGTCCCTCACCCTCTTCCTCGTTCCTTCCCCCTTGACTCCCCCTCTCCACATTGGGTGAGTTCTTCTCCTGGAGGAAGACGCAGGGAGGGTGAAGAATGCAGACGCCGTTTTCTCTCTCTTACCCGAGCGATTCCAGGGGCTCCTATCTCTCCATCTCCATCTGCATCTCCGATTCCTCTCGCTGGCTTGTCTTGGCGGCGCTGTGAATGGAGAACTTGGTGGCGGCGCAGCGGTCGCTGAGGGCGGCCCTGGAGAGGTCGCAGGCGGTGGCCACCGCTCTGGACACGGCGGGCCTTCGTCTGGATGAGATCTCAAGGCGACTCCCCTCGCTGGAGGCGGCGCTGCGCCCCGTCAGGGCCAGGAAGGAGGCCCTCCTCGCCGTCGGCCGCCACATTGACCGCGCCGTCGGCCCCGCCGCCGCCGTCCTCAGGGTCTTCGACGCCGTCCACGGCCTGGAAGCCCTCCTCTTCTCCGACCCGCGCCATGATCTCGCCGGCTACCTCTCTGTCCTCCGGCGACTCGAGGAGGCCCTCTTCTTCCTCGCCGGCAACTGCAACCTCGCCATCCAGTGGCTGGAGGACATGGTCGACCATCTGGAGGAGAACTCCCTTGCCGATAGCGGATTCTTGGCGATTCTCAGAGGCTCCCTTCTCTCTCTGAAGAATTCCAGTTCCCCTCTCGATGGGGGCCTCCTCAGCGCCGCCCTCCGCCGCCTCGAGTCCGAGTTCCGCCGGCTGCTGGCGGAGAACAGCGCCCCCCTCGCCATGGCTCCGCCGTCGTTGACCCACCACCACCTTCTTCTCACATCTCCGCTGCCCGCCGCTGTCTTGCAGAAGCTCGTTCTCATCCTGGAGAGGCTCTCCGCCAATGGGCGGCTGGAGAATTGCATCAGGATCTACACCGCGGAGCGGGTCTCCGTTCTCAGGGCCAGCCTCAGCTCCCTGGACCTGGACTACCTCGAGAAGATCGCCAATTCAGAGCTCGACGACGTGAGGAGCATCGAGGACTCCTTCACCCGGTGGAGGGAGCATCTGGAATTTGCCGTGAAGCACCTCTTTGAGAGCGAGTACAAGCTCTGCTCCGAACTTCTGGGGGCCTGCGGGCCGCCGGAACTGTGGATGGGCTGCTTCGCAGAAATCGCCTCACAGCCGGGGATCACTGCCTTCCTCAGATTCGGGATGCGGGTTACAGAGAGCCAGAATGACCCCATCAAGCTCCTGAAGCTGCTGGAGATCTTCTCCACGCTGGACAAGCTGAGGGTTGACTTCAATCGCCTCTTCGGTGGAAAGCCCTGCGGCGAGATCAAGAGCCTCACGAGGGATCTCATCAAGAGAGTCGTCGATGGGGCCTGCGACATCTTCTGGGAGCTCCTGGTTCAGGTGGAGTTGCAGCGGCAGATGCCCCCCCCGCCCCATGGGAGCGTCCCCAAGCTCGCCACCTTCATCACGGGCTACTGCAACACCTTGCTGGGGGAGGAGTACAGGCCGGTGCTGACCCAGGTGCTGAAGATCAACCATTCATGGCGCAACGAGCAGTTCCAGGAAGGGCACCTTGCAGAGGCCATCCTCAACGTCGTCAAAGCTCTGGAGGAGAACTTCGAGGAATGGTCCAAGGGCTACGAGGACCCAGCCCAGGCCAGCTTGTTCCTGATGAACGCCCACTGGCATTTCCACCAGCATCTCCACGGGACAGATCTGGGAGAGCTTCTGGGGGAGGAATGGCTGAAGGGGCACCGCCATTACAGGGACTACTACATGGAGTTGTACCTCAGACAGAGCTGGCGGAAGCTCCCTGGTCTTCTGAGCCGAGAGGGTCTGGCCCTCCTCTCCAGTGGAGGAGGAGGAGGAGGAGGAGGATCAACCGAAAGAGATCTGGTCAAGAAGCGTCTCTGGGCCTTCAACGAGGCCTTCGATGAGATCTACAGGAAGCATTCCAGATGGGTCATCCCGGAGAAGGACCTCAGAGAGGAGCTCTGCAATCTCATCGCGGAGATATTAGTCCCACGCTACAGGATCTACATGAAGAACTACGGCCCACTGGTTGAGAAGGAAGAAAGCGCCCACAAGTACGCCAAGCACACCGTCAAGTCCCTGGAGAGCATAATCTGCTCCCTGTTCCAGCACAGCCCCGGGAAATCATCGAGATTCAAAGACAGACCCTCCAATGGGAAGGTCAATGACGTTGTCAACGCAGCCCGGTTTCATCATCCTGCTCCCGCTGTTGTATAATATGAACTCCCCAGTCGGGTATACTCAAGATCAGAGAATGAATATTGTACGTGGGGCAGAAGAGCCAGGGGGCTCAAACAGCTCCAGCTCCAACTCCAGAGGAGAAAACCGTTGTCCAGATTTTATTCCATTCCTTCTCCCCTCGTATATCTTCCCCTCTTGTTCATTTCTCCCCAGGAATCGAGAATCGATGCTGGAGGCGGTGGAAAGGTTGCGAATTCGCATCTACCCCATATGCGCATCTGACTGCATCTCATCAGATTATCTTTCATCGATGATGCCCTACTGTTTAGTGCCAGCAAAACACTCTGTGGGTATGATGATCATCGGCCTGTGGGAAGCTCTCTAGCACACTCATCGGATCTGCCGCATCCGCCGATATTACTCTTATTGTTGGCAATATTATCACCATCAGCACCATCAATAGTAATCCACCATGTCTGCGATTAATGATCTCACGGCCAGAATTTCCGTTTAACGGTGAGCGGAATCTTTGAGATTCATCACATTCTGCGCCAGCGTGTCCCTGCGAAGATCCGATTGTCAGGATCAATAATCAGGCATGTCGTTGGTGACCGATTTCATGGGCATATTCGTCATTGAACCATGTCTGGAATTCGCTGCATTCATTCATTGGAACTCATTAGAATCTGTTGTCAACATCTTATTATTTTCGGTCATCAGCAAGGGGCTTCGCAGCAATTTCAGTTACCTGAGATGAGAAGTCAACCTCCTGGGGGAGGTCCAGAGCTCGCCCAGGGAGAGTTTCCCCTCTTCTTGAGCAGTCATGAGATGCTTCGGAGAATCAGTACAAAATGAAAATTATATATATATATATAATCGATTTATTTAGTGGGATTAAATGTTCTGATTTCTGGTGGTTTCATGACATTATAAGAAATTACAGATATTTAATTTTCGGGATATTTCCGTTCTATTTAAACGTTTTCCTCCGTATATGGCCCACAATGCGGTTAGATCGTGTTCTTCAGGGAGAGTATTTTTTCCTAAATAAACCCTTTTAATTCACATTATCTAGTTTATAAAATATGGCGAACCGTAGTTTATCTGTTGATGCGGATGCCCATCTGGGAAATTATTAGCCTTTATTCTCCTGCTCTCCAATTGAATGCGTCAAATTATTTCCGATGTGACCATCCTGGTTTCTTCTCGGCTGCTGTCTGCTTCTGTGAACCGATGACAGCCTGGCAAGATCTCTCTCTCTCTCTCTCTCTCTCTCTCTCTCTCTCCCTCCTCCGACCTAGGTATCTGCCTGCTGGATTCGCTGGCCGGATCTGGTACATGTGGCAAGTCCTGAGGCCTCTTCCTCATGTCATCTGGAAATCCTCATTTTGCCACGCAAAAAAAAAAAGCCCACATTTGTCAAGCATCTTTCTCGCGTCTTCAGAAAATAAAAATGCTTTTTTTCTCATAATCGTGCCTAAAAAACCCACTCTTTGCCAAAAGTCCTCATCATATATATATTTTTAACAAACTTATTTTATGAAAAATCCATGGTGACACTCAACTTGATGACATAATAGATAATATTAAATGATTAATCGTTTAATAATCAGATAGTAGAAGAGATTACGAGATAAACTAATTTAAGCGCCATTTTTTTTCAGTTATCTTATTTCCGTAGGCCTTCTCAGGGAGGCAATTTATGAGAGTTCCGCTCTAAGCCCAATTTTATGGGCCTTCCTTCTGGTCCGGGCTGGGTCAGGGCTCTGCAAAGCTCGGGCCCAACCCACCAACTAGTGAGTGAGTACTCTTTTCTTTTCCTTTTTATTTTTTATTTTTTATTTTTTACATAGCATCAAAGTTGGGCTAACATTGAGCCTAGATGAGCCCATTTGAAATCGAGCACTAATGGGCCTTCTCGTTTACTCTCATTCTAATCATACAGATCCTGATTTGATCAAACGGACACGAAGACACCACATTGTGCAAATCCTTCTCCCAAGGGAAGGAGGGGGGTTGATGCATTGTAGATAGAGAAATGATATGCTGGCAACCGACTTTAGATTCTCTTTGTATGTCTTTGTGTTTATAAATCATCGTCTAATCCATTTTCTCTACCAGTGTCAAATACCTTCTTCAAATCATAACATGATTTTCTCTATTTGTGATGGTATCCTTGGTACTCAATGATGGAATGCAAAGTTTTGAAAACTATTTTGTAAAAGGATAGGGTTAAACATCTTTGCTTCTTTGGATTGAATCATACTTTATGGTTCTAAATTAGACAACTTGCCATCTAGTATTATGATTGGATTGTGTCGAGCTTTTTTTCTCATTACAGCCTATTTTTTAGTCCATTTCAAAGAAAGATGAGTGGAAAAGGACACTAGTCTAGCTCATGGAGCTCAAAAGGTAGAGGTGTAAATTATTCTTGCTAGTATAACTCGCATCCTAGAATTAGATATTAGTGTGAAGTGTGAGGTTGGATGGAAAAGTCTAGATCTTTATGACCTGTTTGTGTAGATGTTTCAATTTTTTGAATTAATTTTAAATTTTCTCAATGATCAAGGTAGAGAGTAGAATTGGTTATAAGCAGAAAAAAAGTGTGGGGTTCTTGGTGATCACTACTTTTTTATCTTTTTGCAAGAAGTAGGTGGACCATTATTATTAATATATGTCTTTTTCTTTTTAATTTCTCTAGACTGCACACTTTGGGTATTGAATTATTTTATGTGAATTCTCTCATGTTGTTTTTATGGAACAATTCTTACCCCTTAATTTTCATTTTTTCATGTATCTTGACATAAACAAAACACTGAATTTTATGTAATTGTTGTGAACCATCCATTGAGATGAATGGATAATGAGAATAGAATTTGGGGCTCAGCCTTTTAGACTACGTGAAAAAGGTATCCAATTTATTTAGAAAGAAGTTTCTTCTTCATTGAGTAATGAACATTGATTAATTTTTTGTCGAATAGTAACTCACATTGTCTTTAGATAAGTTTAACTAGTTAGAAGAAAAAATATTTTTTATTCTAAAAAGATGTTTTGTTGATTTTTTAGCTTTTAGATCTCTCATTTATATCGCTAATTCTTTGGAAAGAGTAGAGTTGACCTTAATTTATCAAATATTTGATGTTATTATGATTTTAGATTGATGTACAAGAGCCTAGATTTCATTTCTAAATAATATACAAACCCTAAGGACTTATGATTGACCTCCCTAATTTGCCAACAATTTGATCTTGTGAATGTCCAGAAGTTAATTGCTTACGTTGTATTTTCCAATTGTGCATTTAACAGTTTGATACTTTTATTAGGTTGGCAAAAAGCTGATTACAAGAAAATACATAAAAATGTCAAAATGAAATGATGAGTAACTTCATGTGTATTATTGTAAAAAGTTTCTACTTAATGTGTATTTGGGACCTTATTGTATATATTTTGTGTGTGAACTATGGTCCTCATATAAGCCTGATTTGATGATGTCATTCATGTTTCTATAGCAAGAAAATCCACGTCTTCATGTAGTTTTCTTGGTGTCACTTGAGAAAAATAATAACTGAACAATTCCCATGTTGTATAATAACTTAATTTAGGTGCCTCAACATTTCAAATTAGTGAACAACTTACAAGAATTCAGTCTAGAATTTCTTATGATGTTATTCATTAGATCATCAATATGTGAAATGATTATTATAATGTTTATTTTTATATAATAACTAAGGTAATGAATCAATGTAAAATATGAATTATTTAAGTTCAAAGACATTAATACTTGTTTGAGAATGATGTAATGAACTTATGTTTAATTTGATAATTTTTACTATTTATGTGATATAAATATTTTCTGATTTTTAATCTATGTGCTAACATGATTATCTGAGGTTTATAATCTTAAGAATTATTTTTTCAATTGTCAAGAAATTACTCATGAAGTTAAAATTCGAAATATTTATCTTTATTTTTTAGGAAATTTATGATGACTTTTTTCAACCCTTTTTCAGTAATTTATTTTTTTTCAAAATTATGAGAAAACATGTAGTGATTTATGTCTATATCACTAAGCGTATGTCTCAAGGGTTTATGGGCAAAGTCAATATTTTTTGGCCAATCAATAGGTTATAGTATATCATCCATATATACATCATCTTCCACACTCTATTTTTAGTGAGTGAAAGGTCTATGGATAATTGTGGTTTTTATAATGATTGTTGAGATATTATTGTACGAAAATTGAAATGAAGGTCCAAGGTAAATAAATTAGATGATAAATGTCTAAGTGACAAGTGTAAATGAGCGAAGTGAATACATGTGAATTCAATTTCTATTTTTATTGTGTTGAATTTTTTTAATCATTCTTAATATATTATTTTTACACTTTTAAAAACATTTTATATTCATTTTTTGGTATTGTATTTTCAAGTGATAGATGATTAGGGTGATTTCTAGAATGTTTGTGAATTTTATTTCTAATTGTATTTTGTTTTATTTTCTATTTCACTTATTCTGTCATTTGGGGGATAACAGACAACAATATTAAGTATTTGATATTTTTAAATCACCTTTCTATTCCACTTTATTACCACAATGATACTATGTTCCTAAGTGACAAATAGGAACAAGTTCATGCATTTCTTTTTTGAGTTCTTTTTCTTGCAGTTTTAATATTTTTGGTGAAAACTAACTTTGTTACAATCATCATGGTATATTTATTTCGAAATATTACATAGTTTTTAACAATATTTGACTAATAATCATTTCAAAATGTCGATGAGGTTGCATTCTCTCTCTCCCCCTTATTTTTCAGATTTTTGATTTAATTTCCATCATTTTATTTTAATTTATTTTTGTGATATTATCTATATTTTCTTTGGAATATTTTGTAGGCCTTGAGTCTTTTTTTAATGATGAACATGGGAACACATAAAAAATTAAATATTTAGAGCTCAAGCAATTTGGAAGATTTAAAGCACATAGGAGATTATTTTATTTTTTTTATTTTCTATTTAATTTTATTTTAATAAATTATTTAGAATGAAAAAAAATCACATTGAGATTTATCATTATCTTTATAGACAACCTGAATTCATCCAATTTTTATTTTTATTTTTATTTTGATACATTTATAAATATTTGAAATTTGATCATTTTGTTTAGAACTATTGAAGTGATATCAATTATCTTAGTAGTTCTTTCCTTTTAGCCGTTTTCACCCATTCTATGATATTCATTTCTTGTCCATTCATTTCATCTTCAAAAGACATGAAGGCATAAAATGAGATTATTACTATAGAAAATCTATTATTGACTTTTAATTTCTCATCACTTGGAAGTTTGTTGAGCAATTTATGTCTTCATATGCGTCTAATACTTGAGTATCTGCATCCATTGTTCTTCAGAACTGCACCCATTGATTCTCCTAGTTTAGTGCTAGTTAATTTCTTATTACTGTCTATTAGAGATGTTCAATCAACCCAGATGATGTTTCTTTTTTCCTTAATATCCTGAATCAAATATAAAGTCCAACAAATACATGTCATGTACTCCCCCTTGATGATTCCTGAATTAAGATCATCTATATTTAGAATCTATATCTTGAGATGAACAACACATAAGCACACATCATCTCTCTCTCTCTCTACTCTCTCTCTACTCTCTCTCTACTGATCTCACCACCCAATTTCTAGTTTGAGGATTATTTCTTTTGATAGATACTCCACAATCAACTCTGTTCATCTGATATGCTGCTTAACATCCATCCAATGGCAGGTGTACCACTCAAGCTTCGTCAATGATGACGGCGTCAAGAAAGCATTTGAATGCCCTCTCCTTCATCTGAAAACCCACATCAAAGGCCTCGCTCCGGGCGCTGACCGAGTAAGGAGGGGATCTTACGGCAGCTGTTCTCACTCCTCCCGTTGACTTTCAAACGCCATTGACATTGTGGTGGAAGCCATTATCTTCTTCCTGGCGAAGGTCTTATTCAAGCACTTTAACGTGCAGAGCTCGGCCGACAAGCTCCCCAAAGCTCCCCGTCCACCTGACACTGTACATTAACGTGACACTGACGTGGCTCGAGGGCTACTGAACCCTAACCGAGGGCAGCAAGGCCATCATCAACCTCGGCCTGGAGACCGTACCTGTCCCCGTAGAACAGGGCTTCCCCTTCAGCGGCCTGTTCACTCCTCAGTCCAAGAACGAAGCATGCTCTCTCACTCTCTCTCTCTCTCTCTCTCTCTCTCTTTCTAAACAGTGTCTGATAATTGTGGGTTGAAAGTGAGGAGGGGGAGGGGTGGGGGTCTTTTTTTTGCAGAGTTATTGAGGAATTATCTGAAGCAGATCAGGGAGGAGACGAGCGGGAAGTTGCTGAGCTGCGTCTACAGGCATAACGGCACGCCCAACAAATGGTGGCTCACCCTCGCCAAGAGGACCTTCATGGACATGGCCATCCCCCAGCCAGCCCCCTCGCTGAAACCAGAGCCCCCCCCCCCCCTCTCTCTCTCTCTCTCTCTCTGGAGTTTCTGTCTCTAACAGGGAGGTAAAACTATTGATTTGGGTTGGTTCATACGTTCTCGTCGGCGTCGGCGCCGCCTGGTTTTCCCAGCCGGGATTTCTGCAGGGAAGAAAGCGCCTCCCGAGATCTACCGGGCGAGCAGAGGTACGTGTAGGCAGACATGCCGGCGAGGGCGGCGGCGACGCCGCCGATGCTGAAGACGCCCGGATTCGAGCCGAAGAAGAGGAACCCTCCGAGGAGGACGACGCACGTCTTGAACTGCCCCAGAACGACGTGCGACACCGCCGACGTTGCCCTGCGAAAACGGAAAACAGGGGAACAATCACCCAAGCTGCTCCACAGAAGAGAGAGACAGTTACAGAGTTAGAGAGAGAGAGAGAGAGAGCTGACCCTAGAGCGAGAGCACCGGATAACTGCAAAAGAAACCCGAGAAGAGCGGAAAGGAGGATGGCTGAGGAGCTGGCGGCGCTCCAGTGGAAGGAGAGGGCACCGGGGGGATCGAGCCACGGGATCATGGTGAGCAAGAAGAAGAGGGTCATCGGCGTCGTCTTCCACATCAACCTGCCGAGTCAACGGAGTCGCTGACTTCAGATAAAGAACCCGTGGCTTCAGACAATGGCCCATTCTTCGCCGGCGGCGGCGGAGGAAGGGAAGAACTCACGCAAGGGCAGTCCAGTTGTGGCGCTGCTGCAAGCTGGACCAGAGCACCTTGTTGGCGGCGCTGGGGACGATCCAGGCGAGGGCCACGCAGGCCCCGAAGAGCTGGAACTGGAGGTCGGTGACGGTCGCCACCGCCACGCCGGCTGAGACCACGGTCAGCGCCACCACCTGCGGAGTCGCCTCCTGCCCATTTTAGGGTTCCGGTGAAGACCAGGAGATGAATGATTTCCGAAACTCACCTTGTGGAAGGAAACCGTCTTCCGGAAGAGGATGAACTCCGCCAGGACGATGGTGGGGGTCACCGCTATCTTCGCCATCTGGTAGAACCCGACGCTAGAAGAGAAAGCATTCATGGTTTTGCAGACAGCCTTGTGAGAGAAAACTGGGGTATGGGGAATTCACCTGTTGTACTTCAAGCTGACGTTGGCGAGACCGGTGGAGACGGCCATGACGACGGCGAGAACCAGGAGGGTGGAGAAGGGGGTCGCCCTGGCCGGCGGCGGCGAGGGAAGCAGGGAGGCGGCGTTGAGTAGACCCATCAGGAGCCAGCTCACCACGTAGTGGATGAAGGTGAGGAAGATTGGGTAGTTGAAGCCCACTCTGCCCAGAACCTGATGATGAAAAAGAAGAAGAAGAAGGAGAGGAAGATGATGGTGATGATGATGATGCTGATGAAGAAGAAGAAGAAGAAGGAGAGGAAGATGATGAAGAAGAAGAAGAAGAGGGAGAGGAAGATGATGCAGAAGAAGAAGAAGAAGAAGAGAGAGCGAGAGAGAGAGAGAGAGCGAGATAGAAGAGGAGGAGGATTTACGAGCTTGTTCATCATGATGATGCCGACGGAGACGAAAAAGTTGAAGGAGAGGGCGATGGTGGGGCTGCAAGCGCGCTGCTGCAGGCGCTTGGCGCCTTCCGAGGTCCGGAGTTCGCTGAAGAGGGAAGCTCGAAGATCGTTCAGAGCTTTGGCTTCAGGGAAGGGAGCCATGGGAGCAGGAGGAGGAGGAGAGAGAAACCCCAGCAAGAGAAGATGGCAGTTAGCACTCACAGAAAGAGTGTTCCATCCCTTCTCAAGAACATAAAACTTGCATCGGTGTAAAGATCGAGCAACCCAGACAAGGGGACATAAGTCAACACATGGGACAAGTCAAAAATTAAGAGATAAAGATCTTGCCAAAGGCTCGATTTTTACAGGCAAACATTGGGAGGTACCCAGTTAGTGCCCCCGGTAGGAGAAGATAGCCCATAGAATGATATAATAAAATAAATTAAATATCGTGGGTAACATACACGAGTGGGTCTACTCTAGTCAACGGACCAAAATTCTATCCCTCGTCCGATTCTGATCCATTGACTTATGGTTGCAGGATATTGACATAAAAGAACAAAGAAGAATTTTCATCAGGAGGTGGCATTTCCGTTCACAATCGACAGCAGCGGGAAGCTTCCATCATTAGGGTTTTGATGGCGGCTTCCTGCTCCCTTCGTCGCTCGCCCACACCGGGAAAGGTCATGCTGCGGTCCTGCGAGAGGGAGAACTTCTCCGGGCATCGGAAGTATCCCAGAATCGAAGACTCTTTCAGGTTAATCACCCTCCACATCCTGCCCCAGGGGGGCTGTTATGATGCTTGGAGATGGTTCGTGTCGATTTCTACCCTAATTCCTCCAATCTGGCGCGGATAAGGGGCCGACAAGAACAGAGAAAGAGCCAAAGAGGCGATTTCTACCCAAGATCAGTACTATGAAACGGGAGATGGCGAGGCATTGATCTGCTCACCCCCGAAACGCAGCCGCACTGTGCCGCCGAAACTAAGAAAAGGCCCCGAAGAACGAACTAAAGGAGATGATTTAAAAGGGGAGGAGGTGGTGAATGGGGGTGATTTCCACTTTTGGGGCGGATCAGGGGAGGTTCCAGCAGCCGCTGACTCTCCCCCACTGCCAACATTCATGTGCCCCGAAGCCAACTACGGGAGGGAGGGATTACCTCTTTCGCCGGCGTCGCTGTCCTTGCGCTTGAGCAGCCTCCGGACGCCGTTCCTCGTGAAGAAGTTGATCATTCTTGCCGTCGCTCTCTCCCTCTCCCCCCCCTCTCACCCTCAGACGAACCCTCACACACGGAGGAGCAGAGCAGGTGGCCGGCTGCCAGCGCTCTCTCTCTCTCTCTCTATGTGTACAGCCCTGCTAGAGAAGCACATGGAGAGTGCTTGGGGGAAGCTGTCCCCGGCGGCGGTCGTCGGTTTTCAGACAGGCGGTGGCAGTAACCAGGCTCTCTCTCTCTACATCAGCTCTACTTTTTAAATACGCCGACAATAGGAGGTCGACGTGGCAAGTGACTAGGGTCGGTGGCCTCTATTTTTCTTCTCCCCTGCTGTTGGTTAGATATTTTCCCCTCTTAGTTCGCCAGGTCGACTTGGGACTGCCTTTTTATGGTTTTTTTTTTTGGATCCGACAAACCACAGAATATTCGATTTGTCCTTTCCTTTTCAATAGCACCCCGAAACTATTTTTAGGTTTTCTGCTCGTGTACTACCACACAGGATCTCTCTCTCTCTCTCTCTCTCTCTCTCTCTCTCTCTCTCTCTAAACGTGCGCTTATGCTCTGTGTGCGTAGGAATATATAGGTGTATACATATGTATTTATCTATTTATCAACAAACTGGCATGCATTGAATTGCTATCCCAAGGTAGAACAAATGAAGAAAATCTCGTGAAAAAAGTCAACCATATCTCGAAATGAAAAAACCGATGAAAATCAAATTTCCATCCACCCGCCACGAGCTGACGTCTCCGCCGATTCTCGTATAAACGACGCTGATATTCCGAGAAAGAGAGGTCGACAGCTGGACGAAGAAGGCGGCAGTTCATCCGGAAATGTATATTAAAGACCGTCAGATCCTCCGTCTGGTTGATCCGCCATGAGTCGCTGTCTCCGACCTCGCTGCACTCTCCTCCCCCGCATTCGGAGCACGCTCCCACGCAGGCGTCCTCTCTCGGCTTACGTGAGGCTCGGTGGCGGCTGGTGGAAGTCGTCGGCGGGGAAACTCACCAGGTCCCATGCGGCGGGCATTTCACGCTGGCGAGCATCCTCGGTGGCGTTCATGGCCACCAGGGCCCGGGTCTCGGCGAGCTCCCTCTGGGTCGCCTGTATCTCCTGCTGCAGCCTCGTGATGATCCCCACGCAGCCGTAGACGGGGTCTCTCATCCTCCAGTACGCCTCGTAGGCTATGGAGTCCGCCGCCTGTCCCCTCTGCTCGACCGGCACCAGCTGGATCACAACAAAGGATAAACGACGGCCATCGTTGTCAAGTATATGTACACAGATGAGAGATGATGTTATTCTGGAGGAAGAGGGAAGTCGCTATAGAAGGACCTGAAGCATCCTGCAGACGTTGCTGGCGCCAAAGATGCGGTGGACGCAGGCGAATCGGTCGGGGTGGGTGGAGGGGAAGTAGGGGGCCAGCACACAATCCTCAGTGCATCTTCTCCGGAGATAACGGCAGGCGGCGCAGCGGGTGGAGTTGGACATGGCTGCCGGATTCTGCTGGATACCCGCGGAGATCCTAATCCCGAGGAAGAGGAAGACTAGGAGGAAGAGGGAATCAGGTGACAGATCTTGGAGTATCTCTGCTGATCCTGGATGAGTGAATAGAGAGGGGAGAAATGGTAGGGGGAGGGTGGGAGGGTAGCAGACCAAGAGAAGAGGGATAGAGATTGAACAAGGACAAGGAGAGGGAGAAGAAGGGGAGAGAGATAGAGATAGAGAGAGAGAGAGAGAGAGAGAGAGAGAGAGAGAGAAGGGACTCCCCCAACGGCTAGAAAAGACAAAAAAAGAATTTGGGGTGAGAGACTAGAGGAGACCCCAAGAAGAACTTCCCAGTTTGGAGCAGCCGCCGGAAAGGGAAATGAAGAGAGAAGAGTGCGAGCTCTCTCTCTCTCTCTCCCCCTCTCATTCATGAGGTTGACCAGCCTGCAGTGGGCCCCCGACAGCGCCGCCTTGTAGAGCCCTCGCCGCAAGCCCAATTAAAATATTGATTAGGAAGTTCCGACAATAAAAAATATAACTTAAAAGGTTCTTAAATTCTATTTAATGAGTACTCTGTAAGCTCGAAATCCGCAGGGTACATGCCGGGTCGCCGGAATTGGACGTGCCCAACGCTTAATTCCTCCCATCTGCCCCACGTCGAGAATGTCCATGGATTGAGCAAAACGCCTTCCCGAACCGGATCTCCCTCAGCGGCATTAGGTTATCGAGACCATCGAGTCTGCCATCTTGGTGTCGAGCCACCCCATCGCGAGTTCTTTATCTGAATGAGTTAGGATGGTCCACCGCTTGACCTACCGGCGCGGCCGCGCCCGTGGGAGCCGCGAGGACTCCTACTGCGGGACGAATCACGTTGTTTTTCATGTTCTGACAGGCGTTCACGCTGAATTCTGCACTACCAACGAGGAAGGAGATTGTAGAAGGAGGAATCGGGCGAAACGTCGTATCCCGGGCTTGCTGGAGGCTACGAGCCTCGACGACGCATTGCAGATTCTGATCTTTCATTCCTTCCGACTCTTTTGCTCTCCTCTTCCGAGAGACCTCAAATTCCAGGTTTCCGTCTCATGTGTTCTGCAGAAACTGCGTCTCTGCGATGCCTCCGTCGGCCACAGCTACAACCTCGTCGACGTCAGAAACCGTAGGATCGTTAATGTTGAGACCGCATCGTGGAGCCGTGTGTCTGTCCAAGAAGTCGGTGCGATGCCCTTTTTCCACGTGAACACGGAGAACCGCCACCTTCAAGTAGATCAGCTGAATCAGACGTAGAAGACGGGTGGGGAAATTATGAACAGAGGAGGCCTCCGCGTTATGACCCAGAAGACGCTTCCTTCTCAGGCGCCGACGACCGCCGGCAAACCGACCGGTGGAAGCGCCGCCGGCTCGCCTGTGCTTGTAGGGTTTCTTCGAAGTTTTGGGCCTGGAGGAGCGGTTTCTAGTCGAAGACGATGCGCCGGAGCCACGTAGCGTCCAGCCCACGTCGGTTCGTCAACGTCTGATAGATAGCTGGAGCCCATCGACTCCCCGCTGCCTCCACTGAGACCTTCCACTTATCCACCCTAAGACCAGTGGGCATAGAACAAGGAGGCGGCAGCCGGGGCGAGGGGGCACGTGTGGATCATTTTAAGCTGAACCCGGGGGGGGGGAGGTGTCGTTCAGCTGCTCAGCATCCCGGTCAGGATCCCTCCGAAATTGACGGCCTGCATGGGAAAGAATTAAAGAAAATAAAAAAAAAAATATATGGTTTAAAGGGGCAAGATGACATACCCTTCGATGAATCGTATCCAAACTGACTGCAGCTGATGAATGGACTGCACATACATACGTGTATGATAAAAGATAACATACATCATCTAATGGAACATATTTCTATAGATCAAAATTTCCATGTTCAACTCCGAAGAAGAACGAGAACCAACTCAGAGAGCAGTCATAACCACAAAGAATCCTTAAGAGCGTAGTTGATCTTTCGCTCTGAATCTGATATTGTCACTGTATATATATTGGATAAAACATCATTAATGTAATATTTATATATTATAATGGAGCATATATATTAAGCTGGGTGGGTGTTCCATTATCTTTTGTAAGTGGAAAGTATAATCCTTGAAGAACCTGGTCAAATTTTCACTCAGAGACTGGTTCTTCAATTCTGACGTTTCAACTGTTCCAAGAAAGCCACTGTTTGTCATGACATTCATACCCCCGCGCATGACTTTTATCTTGGTCGCACTGTACGAGATTTTCACAATGCATATTTCTTTTGACCTACACGTGAGTCAGTTGACTTTCCATTTCCAGTGGTCATTGCATCGTCACTTGAGAAATGGTTTCATGATGAATGACAGTGTATAAACCTAATAAATGAATAACAGGCAATACGTGCAGAACATTAGAAGCCACAAGAAGGCTGTCAGAAGTCCTACAACATCTTACCCTAAAATGGCCAGTCAGAACGTTCAGTCACGTGACCTGCCATCGGGTCAAAGGACGTCGAGCTTAGAGTCACAGTCATGACTTCTGGAATTGAAATCTTCAATGGGAACATAAAATTGACCTGAGTAGATGCAAGTGAGGGATATGAGCGGTTAAAAATCTCTTTCCCAGCTGACAAGGGGTCCCCTTATTAAAGTTTTTCCATCCCATATTCATCGGTCTGGGAAAAGCTTGTCAAGGACTGGGGCATCATAGAACAGCCATAGGGATCTCCTCTTCTTCCAATAGTTCAGTTTAGTAACACTCGAAAGGGTAAGAGATGGGAGGAGAGAGAGAGAGGGGAGAGGGGGAGAGAGGGGGAGAGAGAGAGAGAGGGAGGGAGAGGGAGAGAGGAGAGAGGGAGAGAGAGAGAGAGGGGAGAGAGAGAGAGAGAGAGAGGGGGAGAGAGAGGGGAGAGAGGGGGGAGAGAGAGAGGAGAGAGGGAGAGAGAGGAGAGAGAGAGAGAGAGAGAGAGAGAGAGAGAGAGAGGGAGAGGGGAGAGAGAGAGAGAGAGAGAGAGAGAGAGAGAGAGAGAGAGGGAGAGAGAGAGAGAGAGAGAGAGAGGAGAGAGAGAGAGAGAGGAGAGAGAGAGAGAGAGGGAGAGAGAGGGGGAGAGAGGGAGAGAGAGAGAGAGAGAGGGAGAGAGAGAGAGAGAGAGAGAGAGAGAGAGAGAGAGAGAGAGAGAGAGAGAGAGAGAGAGAGAGAGAGAGAGAGAGAGAGAGAGAGAGAGAGAGAGAGAAGGAGAGAAAGAGGGTGTGTGTGTGAGAGAGAGAGGGGGAGAGACGGGAAGAGAGAGAGAAGAATCATGGAAGAGATTTGGCTATTTCGCATGGTTTCACCATTTAGAACTAATTTTCAATCCTAAATATTATTTTTCTCCTTAGTGTGACGTGTTTTATAAGAGCATCGGTTATGGAGGAGTTGACTTCAGAAAGATGTCCATCCCCAAATCTGTAAGCAAACTGCTTGGTTTATGCAATGTTTCCTAAAACATTCTCTAGTACATTATCCATTGCCTCACCGACAAAAAATAAGATAAAAATAACAAACGTAAATAATCGAATAATAGGATTAGATTGGCCAAGATTCTTGGGAAAAATAATTGTTAGATGTGAACTAGTAGACGTACTGTTTGATTAAGTTGTTATCTGTTTATAAATGGACTGTGATTCTATTGGCATTTAGTCGGCGGAGGTAATCTGGAGCTTCCTCTGGGTCAATGATTCCCCGAGTTTCTCACCGCCTTCCGGAGTGTCAACCCCGGAGATGGGATCATCCGGGTCTCGATTTCACCGTAGAAGTTTCGTCCAGCGAGAGATGGAGACGGATTCACCGAGGATCAGCGTCAGAGAAGATAACAGTCGCAGTCACAGCCCCACATTGGGAAGTTGGCTGCGCCGACGGTGAGACATAGATTCCGTAATGCGACCCGTCCATCTCCCGGAGGGCATCCGAACCCTAACTCCACCCCCCGGGGATGAACCACAGGAAATAGGATCACAGACAATGCGAGAAGTAGAGGATCGAGGGGGGAGGGGGTTCTGATTATCATGGGTAGAGGACGAGGCGCCTGGAGCAGGCGGCGCAAAAGTACCTCCGCATGATCTTGACGCACACGGGGAGACAGCAGAGCCCACGGCGGCTCTCCACGACCGTCGCCACCACCGTCCCTCCGCAGTAGGGGCAGCTACCTGGTGCCTGCTGGTTCCCCAGCACCGTCTCCTGAGCGACGCACGCGAAGGCCAGCAGCACCATCGGCAACCGTCTCGGAGAAGAAGGTGACCTGACGCGACCCACCTAACCCCTCCTTCCTCACGGACAAACCTGGAGGCTCCTCCCTCTCTCTATTTGTAGCCTTCCAGTAGGGCGGGTATCTTCACCTCCAGCATCCCCACGTGGGGCTAGGTGCGCTCGCCATTTGCGCTGGGATGATGCTGAGGGGTGCAGGCGCAACAGGGGAAAACGCGCCTGTCTGCGATGGCGGTGACCATATACGGGCACGGATTAAATGGATGATGAGTGAGTGATTTATAATAATAATAATAATTAGACCGACACCTTCTAATTCTAATATGGGACCTGCTTCGGGTTCAAATCCGCGGTCTCCATCAGACCCCGAAAAACATTCCCCCAACCGCACGCACGTCCGTCATAGAACGGCGTCGCTCCACTTTAATATCATGCTAGAGGAGTCAACTATGCGCGTCAACTCCCCATCTTGTCTGATTAGAAGTCAACCCCCTCGATCTTAACTACTGAGAGCAACATCAAGGCACGCGAGTGCCTCTCTCTCTCTCTCTCTCTCTCTCTCTCTCTCTCTCTCTCTCTCTCTCGCTAGAGCAGATAGGTTGAGTTGGGTAAGAACAGCTGTTATAAGGGACAGGATCAACCAACCGTTTAATGCTCCCTAAAAGCCGCTACAAAAGCCGACAGGTACAGAGAGAGAGACAGAGAGAGAGAGACGAGTGGCCACCGGGCATTGGGGCATGGAAAATAAAGGGCGGTGAAGTATTTACTACACTTACCGTGGACCCCGTGGAGGAAGATTGGTGGGGGACAATTTCATTGACATCTTCCGGCAGCTTTCTGGTCTGATGTGTGAAAAAGAGGACATGTTTTCCACGCGGGGAAAAGAAAAACCTGGATTGGTCTGCCTTTTGGGGAACCCGGCCCCGGCCACGTGGGGGCCAGCCTATTGGTCTATGTGGTCCATGTGGTCACTAGATGGCTGGTACTGGGCCCAACCAAATGGGGACAGCGGCTGGCTGGGCCCATATACGGTGAAAGAGGCTGCATAATACTGTGTTAGGTGAGAAGAGGGAGAAGAGTTTGAGGGCAGAGGGTACCTGGTGGACCGTGGGGAGATGTGGGGAAGAATCAGAGGTGCTGCAGATCGGAGCCAATGGAGCCAGAGAGCCGCCTCTTCAGGGCCTCGTTCTCCCTGCGGAGCTTCATGATCTTCTGCTTCAGCGTCTCCACGTGGCGGATGGAGATCGATTCCCGCTGCTGCTCAGCTTGCTTCGACCTGGTCATCATCACTGCATCGATGCCAAGATCATGAAATCACCGACACCAATCGGCCGCGCCGAGTATAAACGGCAGAAAAAAAAAAAACTGTAATTGGGGCCAGTTAGAGCTCAGGTCTCTCTGGAATTATGATCCACCTTTTTAAGGGTGGGCAACGATTAATCGTACTGTGTTTTAAAATTATGATGTGTGTGTGTATGGGGGGGGGAGGGTGGAACTCTTACACTCGGTTTCGGCGTCTTGAAGTTTCTTCATCAACTCGTTCTTCTCCTGCTGCTCAACCACGATCCAGTCCCTCAGCTCTTGGATCTCCCGCTGGCCTGCAAGGGTGGATAATGCTTCGTTAGGAATTCCCCCACCCCTCAGGCAAGCTTCTAGCGACTGACTGAATTGGTAAGCAGCAGACATTGTGACTCTCTATCAGCTGCGCTGGATTTGTGGTGAGCCAGGTCTTGCTGGAGCTGCGTTATATTGGCCTCGCTTTCTGATTGTTGAAGCACAAGACAGCTGATTTTGAGAAGGAATGGAGAGTCAGGTTGTAGGGAGATGAAGAGACGAGACAAAACTCCGTTTGAGTAGAGAGGCCAAGAGACCGACCTGACCTGGTTCTCCAGGTCTGCAATCTTCATCCGGTGATCTTGCTCAAGTTTTTCCACTTGTCTCTCGTGTTCCTGCATTATTTATATCATCCTGTCTTTTTCATGGCTACCAAACCGTTTCCACGCCTTCATTCAACAAGGTGGCGCTAACACTTACTATTTTCATGTCTAAAGCTTTCCTGTTTGCGTCTACGAGTTCTTCCTTCATACTTTGGTACTTCATATGGCATTCAAACTGTTAGCTAAGTAAGAATTAGTCAAAAAGCATGAATCTACGGCAACATGCCAGGATTAGCGATTGAACTTGAGACAAGGTTTTTATCTCTTAATGTTTATAAAATACTAATTCAAATTCAGGGCTAAATCCCAGTTTTATTAAATCGGTTTTCCAGTAAACCTTTCATTCGAGCACTTCATGACTAGAAAGCATGGGTAATCAGCATTTATGAGTTGTCCCGCCCGTTGAGAGAAAAGGACTTCTAATGTACAGCTCAATTTTAAAAACGACAAGAAATGCCAACAAATGTTGAATGAACGTCATCTGCTTTCCTCAAAGAAAAGTCTACCTACATCTTTATGTGACTGAGTTTCCTCCCTCTTTAAATAAAAATGCATAAAATAACAAAAACGATCAGCAAGACGTTCAGCCGTTCGCTTTTAGAATGCTGAAGAAGGAATAGATGATACCTGACGAGCAAAATTGATAAGTATTTCCATGTTCAATTTCCATCAATGACATGATCAAAAGAGAAAAAATGGTACCTGATGTGCAAAGTTAGCGAGTGTTTCCATGTTCAACTTCCTTAGACGCTCATTTTCTGCAAACACGAGGTTCCATTTATCTATTTATTTGATATGCCATGATGAGAAAATTGGACGCAACACCATCATAGCATTATGAAAGCTTCCTCCATCAATCTATAGTCGTCTCGAAATTTTTTGACGCCACTCCATGAAGAGCGCGCTGCCTCACAATGCGCAGGACGATGTCTTCTGTTTGGACAACGGCACCGTCGGAGAGATGCTCATATTTATTCGATGCATAACAAACATACGTTTGGACCGCTGAGTGAATATACCGGGACTCCCGAACCTTGTTTGAGGCTACTGCAGGTGATTTCTAGAGCTTCGCGTCTCCTGACCTCCGAATTGCAGTTCGATCTCACAGTGTGTACCTCCGAAACGAGTTCTTCGTATTCCTGAAGCCGATGTAAGCATACTAGCAACAACCTCTCACACTCAGATGAAATATTGTTGAAATCAGACGCCGAATACGCAGGATAAAAATTCATAAAAAATACATCAAACTCCAAATTTGCATCATCATCCGAACGAGCACCGTCGAAAAGAGACGAAACACGCAATGCGATTAAACAGGCGCTCATAAAAACGAAGCGACAGGCGGCAGAAGGAGATTTGAAATCAAACCGGAGCCTAACAAGGAAAGCAGGAGAACGAATTTAAATAGAACGTCAGAGACGGTGATATTCTTGATCCTTCTCGACGTATCAAAAGTGTCGTTCTTCTCAATTCCGTCAAATGATACCTGATAGATCTGCTCGAAGGCCCGCAGCAGGGAGACGTCCGCCTCCTCTGTCTCCATCCGCACCCCCTCCTCCTCCCCTTTCATCCCCTCCCCTCCGCCTTCGCCCGCCATTTAGGTCTCCTCCCCCCCCAATAAATACCCGGCCTGAAGAGCCGGGACGGGTGGAATGTCCCAATTTAAATTTTAAATATAATTCTTATTTTATTATAATTTCCAGTAATTAATTAATATAAAATTTGACAATGGAATCGGGAGCCTCGCTCTTGCAAATCACCTCACTCGATTGAAACTGTCAGCGGCTCAAACTTAGTCGGCCAAAGATCTCTCTCTCTCTCTCTCTCTCTCTCTCTCTCTCTCTCTCTCTCTCTCTCTCTCTCTACCTAGAGATGGGTTAGTGCTTCATGGGTTGACCGATACCATGATGAAGAATCCAGCCATATGACTTAGAGTAATGTAATTATTAATTAATCGGTGGTAAATGGGGGTTGGGTGTTGGCAGTGTAAACTCATCACATCTAACATGTTCAGGAGATGTGTGAGGAGCGGCCTCCCATTTGACCTATTTAGGAGATGTGTGAGTAGTGAGGAGAGGAGTCACAGTTGTCACCTCATCCCTATTAACTTGTTTGGGATCGTGTAGAGAGAGAGAGAGAGAGAGAGTGAAAATGTCGGTGGTTGAAATTATCACCTATGAGATGTGTGGGCGTACCCACACGTAGGTTGAGAATACTTTATTCTTAGGAGGGGGGGGGGGGTTTACTTTTTCTATTTTTCTATAAATAAGGCATATATTTCTTATTTTACGAGAATAAGTAATGATGAGAATCTCTTTCTTCCTAGACTCTATCCTTTTTCTCCATCAACTCTCTTCTCCTTTCTTGGTCTCTCTTCTTCCTTCTATTAGAGTTTATTACTAACTCTTCAGTGTGTGGATCATCTTAATAATGTTGAAACATATAATAAAAGTGTTCGATATAATTTTTATTCTCACCAGTATTCTTGATAGTTTGACATTTTTTCTTTTTTTTTATTCCACTAATATTCAACAATTCAGTTTTAATTTTTATTATATACTTACATATTTATTTTCTTACAAGTGGTATCAAAATATTACTTTAATTATTCATAAACTTACTATAGCTTCTAATGTACACATTAATATCTAAAAGTTAGATAAATTATTTAACTTCAATGTCTAGAAGTATTGTGTATGATGTATTATTATAAACATACTTTATTCGTACATATTTATCTGATTGAACTCTTCAACAGGTCATAGATGAATATAATCTCAAAAAACTCTCAAAGAAGTTGAAGAATCAATGTGCACCAAAGGTGATGATGTTAAATTGTGACATCAGCCCATTATGGACCTGGCCCATTATAATTCATTAGGGCCACTATAAACCCTACTTATCTTTCTTCTTTCCCTCTCTCGATTCCAAGGGTTTATGGTGCCCTTCTATCCATATGATATCAGAGCCATAGGGGCTCGATTCGTCACCCTCATTCTACCGGTCACGTCGTCATTCCTCGTTGCCTCTATTCATGACGGCCTCATCATGGCATTCAGCCCCTTGCTAGTAGCCTAAGCATCGATTTCTTTGTGCTGCTGCCCGCGCGGCAGATGTCCACCATCAAGGCGCCCCCCCTCTAGGCGGTGATCTCAAGCCATTCAGCCCCTCACCGGAGGCCTCAGCCACTAATTTCTCCGCCCTACTACCTGCGCCGCATCGGCATTGCCTCTATTCATGTGGGCCTCATCAGGGCGTCCAGCCCTTCACCGGTGGCCTTATCACCTATTTCTCCGTGCTGCTTCCTGCGCAGCACCTGTCGGCATTAGGGCACCCCCCCTCTAGGCACTGATCTCAAGGCATCCAGCCGCTCATCAGTGGCCTCAGCCACTGGTTTCTCCCATGCTGCTGCCTATGCAGTATCTACATCCGCTCTCTCTTGCACACAGCCTGCCTTACCCCGAGCCCCGTGCCGGCCCACTCTTGTCCTCCACGTCAACATGCTGGCCCTTTGGGCGCTGATCTTAGGTAATCCAGCCCTCTCCCGTGTTGGCCCATGATCTCTAAGGCCTCTTGTGCGTCAACCTATGTGCGCAGCTTTTGCGTCCTTGTGCGTCATCTGCTCAAGCCTCTCGTCGTCTCAGTGAGTTTAATTTCTTTTTTTGATGGTAGATACACCAAGGTTATCCTCCCATGACTCGTCCTTGCTTTCGGTGACAATATCCTTCACCTTGTCTCTTGCCTCATTCCCTCTTTGACATTTCAATATAGTTGCATTGACTTGCCTGACTTACATCTTTGACCACATTAATTATGACTCATGATTGTCAACATTTGAAGACTTCCTTCATGCTCATCGACTTCTACATCACCTCTAGTCGCTTCCGCTTGATGTCACATCTCTGGACTATCTTCATTAAAGGTATCTTGAGTTTATCATCAACAATTGACTTTGTGAGAGTATTAAGCCTTCCATTATTCGGCCTCTCAATCATCTAAAGCCAGCTCATATAGTATGACAAACTCTCGTGACAATATATGCAAAGATTGAGGATAGAAAAGATAGTAAAGTCTATTATAACCTTATTGTAGTTAGAGAATTATCAAATACATAGATTCTTGAGCAATCTATTATTATTCTTATCATATGTGTCATAATGTTAACTAGTTTGATTCATATAGAAATATAACAAGAGTTATTTTCCTAGGAAATAATGCAGCTTACGAAGTTGTTGTCATTAATTCGGTGAAGGCTTGATATATTTGACAGAGTGATCCAAGAGTTTAAAAATATTTGTCATGTTCTAAAATTACATTAGAATTTAATTTCGCTTAGAATTTTGAAGGCAAATGAATGTTACTTCACATGTGAGATTAAGATCCTCAAAATTATCAAATGACTACTCATTGTGATGAAATAAAGATGTCAATGAGTAAATATTTACAAACTTGAAGAAAAATATTATAATTAGAGCTTGAATTATTCTTTTATGACACGTGATTGAGTCATATGAGTGATATAGGTATGTAGAAGTTACATGTACAAAGATTATTATCTAGTGTGAAAACTTATAAATTAAATTTTTACAAGTAATGTGTCTATCATAGAAAAATATTCTAAAGTGACATTCAAGCGAGCGAATCATAAGATGTGATGTGGTGGATTATATTCATTCAAATATATGTGGTCTTGTTGATATAGCGTTGATGAGTGGTCCTTGTTATTTTCTGACTTTTGTTAATAATTTTTTTAAGAAAAGTCTAAGTATTCTTATTAAAACACATGTCAAAAATATTTGTGAAGTTTAAGACAATGTGAAAAAGTAGAGAATCAAATGAAGAGAAAAATTAAAATTTTATCAACTAACAATCATACAAAATTTTGAAATTAATTAATTTTATGATGAATATGACATTCAACATCATTATATAATGAACAAAACTTTGCAACAAAACAATATTGTTGATTGGATGAATCACACAATTGTTAAGATGACTCAATATTTACAGCTAAATATTATCTTGCCTTATAAGTTTTAGATAGAAGATGAATATAATGGTTTATTTGGTGAATAGATTGTCAATTTCTATTCTTAATAAGAAGGTTACCAAAAATGTATGAATTGTGAATCTTATGGACTATTAGAATTTGTATATATTTGGATATTTATGATATGTCATTACTCTTACTAATGATTAAACTTGGATTTAAATTCAAAAAAGTATATCTTCTTAGACTATAATACTAACATGAAAGGGTATCAACTTTGGAATTTAGAGGTGAAGAAGATTATTTTCAATAAGCATGTGATATTTGTTAAATATCATATATTGACATCATTCTCTACAAAGCACATGATTTAAAAATCTAGTGTCACTTGTGTTGAAGATAGAGCAAGACTAGACATGTAAATTATGTAGAGTCTTAGTTTTGTTGGGAGTGAAGATCGAGTTACAAAATCATTAGATGTTTCTGATTGTATTATTATTAGATGGGATAAGTGTGAAGTAAGGCCTCATACTAATCTTGATAATTATGTTGACTTTGTATTATTTTCAAGAGATAATGAGCCTACAACTTTTCAAGAGTCAATTAATTATCTTGAAAAGAATAAGTAATTGTAGACGATGTCTAAAAATTAAGCATCTTTAGACAAGAATCACATATGATAATTAATAGATTTTTCTGTAGGAAAGTAAGTTATTAGGTGCAAATAAGCGTACAAGAATAAATCATTGATGATTGATGGTGACCAACCACAATATAAAACAAGGCTTATTACAAAAAGTTATACACAAAAATAAAAAATTGATTATATATTTTTTTTCACTTGTTGTGAAGTATATATTTATTTGTTTGATATTAACTATTGTCGCACATGAAAATATAGAACTTGAGTAGTTAGATGTGAAGATAATGTTTCTTCATAAAGATTTAAAAGAGACTATTTACATATAGTAGCCAAAGAATTTTGTTGTCAATGAGTCAAAATATTTTATTTGATGATTAAATAAAATATTTTATGAGTTGAAGTAAGTATTAAGACACTAGTACACAAAGTTTGACTCTTATATATTGTAAATCTAATATATGAGATGTGATTTTGACTAATGTTTATATGAGTACGTGTGATGATAGTTCTTTAATTATTTTGATGCTCTATGTTAATAATATGTTCATTATTTTGAAGAATTTACAAGAGATTGTTAAGTTGAAGTCACTATTGAGTAGAGAATTTAACATGAAGAATCTTGATATGACAAAGAAAATTCTTAGTAAGAAGATTTATAGAGACCAAGAATTAGGTGAGTTATGATTGACTTTGAAGATTTATGTTTTAAAGGTGGTGGATCTATTTGGCATAGGTGATGTTAAAATAGTGAGCAGTCATCTAATTAATTAGTTAAGATTATCTACTACTTAGTGTCCGACATTTGAAGAAAATATTAATGAGATGAAATAAATTTATTATGTTAGTATGGTTGCTCCATCATGTTTAACCTATTTGAAGGACATGTGAGGAGTGAGGAATGATTTCATGATTGTCATTCCATCATGAGCAACCCACACATTTTGGAGGAGTGATTGTATTTATTTTTTTATAAATAAGACTTGTGTTTCTCCTTTTATAAGAACAATATATAATGAGAATCTCTCTCTCTTCAGTGTATCTTATTTTTTTTATTACATGTAAAGTTTTTATTAAAAAAAAGTAAATAGCCTATTATTGAGTTTGTAGTGTGTGAGTCATCTCAAGAGTGTTGAGATGTAGATTATAGGTGTTTGGTGGGAGTTTTGTTCTCGTTATGATTTTTGACAGTTTGATGACTTCTCTTCTATTTTGTTCTCATTGATATCCATAAATTAAGTTCTTACTATTATTATAATTCTGTGTTTACATATTTATTTTATTATAATAGATTGTTGACTAATAAATTTATTCTCTATAAAAAAATTGATAATTTAAGGGTGGCAAACTCATGACCACAAAGTATAGAGTTAATCATTGATAGTATCTCAATACTTGAGAACCCTCAAGACCACAATTCCAAGGATTGACTTGCATGATGTGAGCTAGTTGTCGCATCTTGCATCATGTGGCCGCTTTATTAAAATAGATTCAACCTCATTTCATTTGTATGATATTTATTTCTTGTATGAAAAATAAATAATACCACGCTGATTGACTTCGATGCTACCTCCTTCCGGATAGAGTAGTGGATCTTCTTATCCAAATTCCTCTCCTCTCCCTTCTCATGAGGAGATTGAGATGACCCCAACCGCAAGCCCATTATTAGGCCCGTCCCATCTCTACGCGGGCCGAGATGGACTTGGGTGGGCTCCACAGTGATCCCATCTCTCTCTCTCTCTCTCTCTCTCTCTCTATCTCTGCGGGCCGAGCAGGACTTGGGTGGGAAATCACACGTGCTTAAATGGAGAAGGGTGAATATCAACTTGGGAGAGTTCCAGTTATTTTATTGGCTTAAAAAATGGTTGGATATGGGGGAGTCCCAAGGACCCACGTGACCTTTTTGAGTCTCTTTCCTGATGTGGAATACAGATTTAATATACTAAACAAGAAAATGTACGTCGATTCGGCCAGCCTGGAGGGACACCGACTGATTTGGATGGCCTCCGGGTTCCACAACCCACGTGGATAATGTCGGACTGCCGATGTGGACCCCCTTAGCGCTCGGGATGCCAGCCCGCGGTGCATTTTTCTTGCACAATTGCAGGAACACCCCCCTGCCGGCAAGACGATTAAATACACGCCTCTTCGAATTCCCTGATATCACGTGCGGAAGGGGGAGAGGGATATTTTCCTGATTTAAATAAATACCTACGGAGAATAGAAAGAGGGGCAGGGCCTCAGGCCAAAGATGGCAAGGTGGATCCCAATTCCGGTGATGAATAAATAATAAATGGACAAACTTTATTTAATGTAGATAAATGGGGGTGGGTGGCAGTGTTGACGGGTAGTGGTTGACCCGGGGTCAGTTGAATCGGCCGTGAATCGGAAGCGGATCGGATCGGCTGAATCGGGGTGTCGTGACCGAGGTAGTTGCCGAGTCAGAACGAGAGAAAGATCGAGTTTTTTTTCTTTGTTTCATGTGCAGCTGATTCTCCTATAGTACCCCTGATGTTGACGACTTTCACCACTGTCGCCGTCGCCTCCCCCCGCCTTATTCTATCGGCAGCAGCGGTACGGGCTCTACTCAGCCGCAGACTATTCCAACGAAGAGAAACATTTCTCTCTCCCTCTCTCTCTCTCTTTCTCTCTCAAGGCTGCATGAAACAGCCGCCATTTAATGCCGCTGGACTGGGGACAAAACGATCTGATCTGCTGAACTTCCTTCACGTCGGAAGACCTCCAGATGCTCGCCGTGGCGGGCCTCAGCTACTTCAACGGTGAGACGCGAGCGTCATGCACGAATAGACGAGGAATGTTCCTTGCAACCGAGAGACGGTCCCTTCTCGACGCCGCCGAGCCCCATAGGTGACTCTCTCTCTATCTCTCCCTCTCTCTCTGGCTCCTCTCTCTCGCTGTAAAACCTCGTCGGGGGTGATGGGTTTCAGTCAGTACGATCTGGGATTGCAAGATGACGGGGCGTGCTCAAGCTCCTCGCCGGCGCCGAAGAATATCACGGAGAAAAACAGGAGGAAGAGGCTCAATGAGACCCTCTACAACCTCCGCAGCGTCGTGCCCAACATCTCCAAGGTAGGAAAGATCGTGAAAGTTTTATGCCTTGGGGGGGTGCTGTGCCTGATCGCTCGGCCATGGACGCCCAGATGGACAAGATTTCGGTCGTGAAGGATGCGATCAATTACATCCAGAAGCTGCAAGAGGACGAGAGGAGGATTCTCGCCGCCGCTGCGCCGCCGCCGGAGGAGAGGAAGAAGAAGAAGAAGATGAAGGCAGCGAGCCGGAGGGACCCCAACGCGCCTCCCTCCATTGAGGTCCTGGAGGTGGGCTGTGGGAGCTTCTCCTTCCCTACTCTCTCTCTCTCTCTCTCTCCCTATTCCTCTCCCTCCCCTCTCCCTCCCCTCTCTCTCTCTCTCTCTCTCTCTCTCTCTCTCTCTCCCTATTCCTCTCCCTCTCTTTCTCCCTCTCTCTGTGGGCCGCTGTGAATTGGTTGATATCCTCGGCCGCGGAGCAGATGCAGGTGACCGATATAACAGAGGAGATGTCGTTTGTGAGCATCCGGTGCCAGAAGAGGAAGCACACCATGAGCAAGGTCTGTGAGGCTTTCAAATCTCTCGACCTCGACATACTCTCCGCCAATATGACATCCCACTCCGATCATCTTCTCCACAACCTCCTCGTAAAGGTCTCTCTCTCTCTCTCTCTCTCTCTCTCTCTCTCTCTCTCTCTCTCTGTGATTATCTGTGGTGATGGCTTGAATTTAATCCTCAGACGGATGGGGCGGCGAGAGCTCAGCTGAAGGAGAATATCGAAATGGCGATCGCGGAGGTCAATTGATTCTCCATCGAGATCCCCGTGAGAGTCCTCGCAGTCATCCCTCTCCTCCCCCTTCCTCCTCATCTTCCCCTCCCCTTCGAGGGAGAGCAAGAGAGCGGCCGGGAAAGGGTTCACGCTGCAGCACAGGGATTATTTTATTCCTTGTAACATAATAACTTGTAATTTTAATCCCTGGATAATAAAAGAAAGATTTTTCCTCTTCCTCTATCCCTATCCCATAGGTACAGCGTTTGAATCAATAGAGAACCTTCTCTTCTGTTCTGTATGAATCCATATTATTACATTCCAATTCTTTCCCGATACCTTCCAAGGGAAATCCCAAATTGGATCCAAAAAAAAAACCGTGAGATATGGTCATCTGCCTGTGCAAGGACATGACGCCATCCATACACATGACAAGCGCCTCCGCATCCTGTTCTAACAGCTGGCGCCGTCTCATTCGACGTCCCTCTCTAGTCTCCCGTAATAAATAAATAAATAAATACTTCGCCTTACTCATCCCCGCCTTTTTTTTCCTTTCGATCTGGTACACCGCCGATATTCTGTCCGCTCATTCTCGCTGGCGGGGATTGCATGCGTCTCGTACCATCAGACCACGTCAAAGAGAAAGAGGGACGGCTGGGATTAAACAAGAGCCGGGATTAATTTATGCTCGCGGGCTTAGGTTAATGCGGTGCGCGATACTTTACATTATTATATTATTATATTTTTTATATTAATTCTGATACTAGTTTACCGGATTTAAAGCTGATTATAAATACGGAGCCAGGCGGAGGGGATGGAGGGTGGCTGCGGCCGCGGAAGTCTACCTGCCGGCGGCGGCCGCGGCCTTGGAGTAGATCTATGAGGATCATCAGTTTGCGAAGTGTGGGATTCCTGGGAGAAGGGCCACCGCGTAGGGACCCAGATTAAGATTGAGAATCTTAGTGTCTACATCCTCCCGATGCTCCAGCAGTAGGTTTCCTGTTTGGTTCCTGGTGTCTTTCGCCGCTGTCCCTTTCTCTTTACCGGCGCCGGTTTCTGGTAGCACCTCTTGTTTCGTCTCTTCTCGCCGGTGTTTGTACAGATGGATACTCATTCAAGGGTTGGGGTATCTCCTCTGGATACTAGTCTCCTGTGTCGAGTGTTTTCTCGTCTGATTTTTCTTCAGAATTCTCCTCCGAGTGTGAGAGGTTGGTTCCTAGTTTGCATCCGCCTCACCGTGAGATCGACATCCAGATCTGCGGCCGATTGGTTCGAAGCTCTAGCAATCGGTTGGAGTAGTTGTGTTAGTCACGGCACTGGCCTCAAACGCGGTGATACGAGCAGGTGCCGATCATTGGCCTCAATCGGTTGGAGAGGTGGCTTTGGATATGCTGTTCGCAATCGAGTAGATAAATTTCTATTCAAGGTAACGGAGGTCCTTCCCTTGGCTGTGATGATGCTCCCCCCGGATGAGTAGGTTCATGGAATCTCTCTTTGACATTCCTCATCACCATTATCATTGACATTATTGAAACACCAAGATGAATGTTGATAGATGTCCCTGAGAAAAATAGGACCCTTGCCGGAGAGCAGCGCCTGTCTTCACAGAAGCGAAGTACCATCCAAAGGGCGAATGGGTGGCTCCCTCCTTCGTCTTCTCCCTCCAAGCTCTCTCTCTGTCTCTGTCTCTGTCTCTCTCTCTCTCTCTCTCTCTCTCTCTCTCTCTCCAGATCGCTGCCTCCTGGAGGCTCAGAGAGACCAGACCAACAGCATGGTGGTCAGAAGGAGAGTAAGGCTGGAGGAGGAGGAGGAGCTTTCCGATGAGAACGCCACCTCCTGCGAATCTCCGACAGCCTGACCCCTCGCCGTCCCAGCATGTCCAGAGGGTGCTCCCAAGGAGGCCTTGAAGCTGTTGCACGAGGAAAGAGGCAAGAGATCATCGCCGGAGATAGGATGTTAATTCAATAAGGTTAGATCTATATAGTTTGTTATGCAAGAGATCATCCTGGCTGACCTGGTGGGGGTGGGGCAGAAGGTGATGGCGTACTCGGGAGCCTTGCAGGTGAAGGTGCTCGTGGAGTCGTCGAATGCGTAGCTGTAAGCTCTCGGGCACGCCGCCTTGAACAAGGCTGAGTACGCCGACGGCCGGCACGTCGTCGGATCGGCGTACTCGCCGCTGCAGCAGTACTCGTCCAGACCAAACGCCTCGCACGCGCTCCGGCATGCCACCACCACGTCGCCGCCGGCGACCTCCACCTGCAGCTCCTGCGGGCAACCTGAGGAAGAAGAAGTTTGAGGGGAGGATGACGCCTTGACTTGATCCCTTGCATTTTTTCATCAGTTCGTTCATACCTGAGTTGAGGTCGGAGATGCATCCGGTGGCGTTGCAGGCGGCACCGCCGCCGCGCGGGGTGGCGTACACCGGCAGGTTGTACCCGTCGACGAGGCTGACGTCGTAGAAGTCCCTGCCGGAGCTGCTCGTCGCTAGGGTTATCTCGAAGAGGGTCGCCGGCGGCAGCGCCGCCATGCCGCCGCACTGCAGCTTGCCGCCACAGTCGCCGGTCTGGCAGGTCCCCTCGCCGTGCTCGTCGAAGAAGCAACCTGTCCTCGCCCATATCCTCCCCGACCAGCCAGGGCTCGCCGGAATCTGCGCGCTCTCGCCGGGGGCCAGCAGGAAGCCGGTCGTCGGCAACTGCGGAGTCCCCGCTCCGGCGAGCGTCGCCGGCCATATCGTGTGGGGGCAGTTGTTGGAGACGGTGAAGCTGCAGGCTGAGCACAGGGTGAGGGCTTGCAGAGCCGCCGACAGTAAGACGACCCCTCTGACGAGCTCCGCCATTTCTCCCGCAGCTTGCACAACCACAAAGTGCCATCAGTCGGCGATGCTTAGATTAATAAAGGCTTCGACTTCCTCCACCACAAGGTCCTTAGGGTTTTCCGGGGGAAGAAGATCAGGGCAGAGGGTCGAGCATTGCCTCCCTTCTCAGATGGCCCCGCGAACAAGAGATACCTTGGTGCTAATTGGAGGCAAGATAGGCTTCAACAACTCAGAAATCTTCGGCCACCGAGGCAAGAATCTCGCCGCACAGTGTAGGCGATCTGATCCAAAGCATTGTTTTTCCGAAAGAGGGAAAAGTTCCTCCCGGGAAGATGGGGAGCCACATCCATCACACGTCTCCGGGATTCGAGCTACCTCTGTCACTTTGTCTGTATGTTTGTGTTTGGCGGCGGGGAGGGGGACCAGACAGTGACGCTTGAGTAAATAAAATATATTAAACCAGTTTTTTTTTTCTTATGGAAGAAAAAGATCAAATATGAGCGTCAACAGTTATCCGAAAACTGGTGGCCCGGCTTGTTTCCCACCACTGTTTCCTTAAAATTAATTCGGTCCCCAATCATCCAAAATAGAATAGTTAAACCCGGTTGCCTTGTACATATATATAATTCGGTCAACACTATTTCTCTCCACTATATATCTTTAAAAAGTTTTGGATCAACCAGGTTGCTTATATTCCTTAATATTGAATAATTATGACAAGTTCTAGTTCACATGCAACTATCTAATGAAATAAATAAATAAAACAATGATGATTATGATGTTGATGATGATTTATTTATAAAATGAAGGGAGCTAGTACCCTAACCAAAACTCTAAATTTTAATAACAAATTTGATGTGAGATGCAAACAAAGAACCTGAGCTTGATTCTATATTAAATTTAGGAGTTAAGAAGAGTAGACTAAGGTAAGATCATGTGTGTTTTTTGTAAAGTTTGAAAGGAATTAGATCAATGCCATTTAGAAATCACTATAGATTAAGACGCTCCACTAACAATAGATTGATTAGATGCAAATCAAGTGGGTTATTACTTCACACAACAAAAAATTATGAAAAAAAATGAACTTATTTATAAATCACAATGGCAATAATGCAAAATGATAAATTAAAAGAACAAAAGTGCTCAAATTTGGAAAGAAAGAAGGTTGAGGGATGGCCTTGTCACTAGAATGGGCAATGAATTAATAAAGTCTTTAGTTGAAACTGAACTTTGATCATGATAGTTGACCACATGTTGACTATTAACTAAGGTTGACAATTGGATTGGGTGTTGGTGTCATTTAATTAACTTATTTGAACTAGTTTAGACTCAAATTCGACTAGATTCACCTGAATAACTCTAGAGTAGTTAGATTGGTGTTACATATTTGGCGCAAGCCAATCAGCCCAACATGGCTCGAACTGATTTAGCATGTTGGCTTGAACCAAGTAGTCTAGTTGGATTGACCAGGTAAAAAATGGCCTTCTAGGTTGGGCAAATCTTGATCCATTAACCAATAAGACATAGCACTAGTTGATATGATGAGAATGGGAGCTTGTCCATAAAGGATAGAATGGACAATGGGAAAATAAGTGAAAAGGCTAAGGAATAAGGTGTTAGTGACGGATGACATTAATGGCAGCAGTAATAGGTGACAATTAAGGATGTTGGCAAAGGATGATAGACAATGATGATGAACAGTGGGAATGGTGCATGATTGGATGGCGATGGATAGAGGTGGGAGGACAGTAGATAATGTCAAAAAGTTATTAGTTGGATAATGGGTGACAATGTAAATGAGCACGTAGTGGAGGGTGCCAACAAAGAGATGGTACCTCTCATGATCTCTCATTCATAGAGTGAAGATAGTTTACCCTCACTACCTATCTCTCACAAAATAAGGATAGCTAATTCCTCAAAATAATCTCTATTCTCATTCTAGGATAGAGAACAGATTGAAATCATCATTTTCCCCCTTTGACATAAGAGCCTGTTAAGGCTCATCGCATTAATTTATTCAATTAAATTAAAATGATTCAGAAAATGAGTGGAAATGGGTGAAAATATCCATAACAGTTGGAAATAGACAAAGATGAACAGAAAAATGAATGAAAAATGGGTGGAAAAAGGATGAAAAAATGGATGAAAACACTAAAGCTGATTCTCATTGAAAAATCAAATGATTTGTTTAGCAAGGAGGCTTTTTACTACCTATAATGGACTTCAAAATATAAAAACTTAGATTTTGGAAAAAAAGGAGGCTCTTTTCTTCCTCTTTTTTCTAGGTGATAGATGGCTTTTTATTGATTTCTTGTATTACTTTTTTTATAAAAATCTGTTCTTTACATCATTAGAAATGTATTTAAAGCATCTTAACATATAATCAAGGAATATTAAAAATATAAACATGCTCTAAAAAAAAATATAAATCATACATCAGCACATATTTGATGTAGTTAATCTAAATTATACATCACTTGATTTTTCTATAAATCTATACCATTTGACATGAGCTGGTGCGACAAATATACTAATTATGTGTTACTTATCACACACCTATTGATGTGGTTGAAGATTCTTGCTCCATTCCACATCAGCATCCATTGAACTGGTACATGAATTTGCAGCATCCTTCTTGTAATAATATTCAATACCAGAGATTTTTATTTTTGGATGATCATTCAAAATAGCTAATTGCTTTAGTAGTGATTGTCCCTCATATAGGTGACTATAAGATTGAGAGCACAAGACTTGAATTCATTAATAGAAGATTAAAAAAGGTTTTAGTGAAAGGCAATGAGAAAGAAATATTTGACATTGTCAAGCCATCTTCATTCACTTGTCACATTCTCACTGAGTAATGGATCTATTGAACTAATATGTAAATTTGCGACAACCTCCTTGTCATAATTTTAAAGTTGAGAATCTGAACTGAGTGATAAGTTTTGATCAATGAATACATCTAGAGAATATAAAATATGAATGTGAAATTAAATGTATCAGTGAGTCAAAGAGACAATTCTAAGATTGTAGGAGTTTGAGGGAGAAGATTGTTAAATTAATAACAAGGAACGTAAGCAACAACCATGTGAAGTAGAATAATGATAAGATCATGAGATTCCAATGGAGGAGATCATTGAATCAATAAGTGTAGAGAAGAACAATCATAAGGTTCTAGGTGTCCAAGGGAAAAGTATATAGGAAAAGAATCTAGACTAGTGATTATCTAGAAAATGTGGCAGTAATCATTGTAAATTCTAGATTCAGCAACAAAATTTTATAATATTTCACCTCACAAAGTATAACTAAGTAAGGGTCGAACCACAGAGAGCCATGAATTAATCAGGGAATTTGTTTGGTGATTTTATATTTATCTTTATATTTATTTTGTTTTATTTTGTTTTATTTTGTTTTATTTTGTTTTATTTTGTAACAATAAGGAAACCCTAAAATTGGAATAACTTTACCTTAACCAGCACTCCGGCGGCACCGGCGATGGGCACGCGAGCGCACATGCGATGAACGCACGGGCGGTGATGTGTCGGCGGGCGGTGCGCGGGTGGTGATGCGCCGGCGACGGTGCACGAGCAGTGACGCGCCTGCAAACAGTGTACGGGTGGTCATGCGTCGATGAGCGTGGCGTGGCGGTGACGCATCAGCAACCGTCGTGCGGGCGATGCGCGTCGGCGAGCGTCGCGCAGACGATGGTGCACCGGAAAATGGCGCACGGGTAAGGACGATCCTGGGAGCGGCACGCAGCGGTCACGCGTCCACGAGCTTCGCGCGGTCAGTTAGCGAGCTTCGCGAAGGCGAACGAGCACGCAGGCAGCAGTCAGCGATCGGGCCGACGAGCGCGCGGGCAGCAGGCGTACGGGCAATGATGCGCAGGCGAGAGGCGACATGTTTTGTCTGTAACTTTTGCTTCATAACGAGATTTTGGGTGTGGTTTGCGGCGTTGGAAAGCCCAAGATCTTGGCTCTGACACCAGTGATAACCAAGCCAGTGAAATCAAATGAAGAAGATGAATCTTCGGAAGATTGCTTGTTCTTCTGGTGTGACACTATTTCTGGCCCAAGGTAGCAATCTCCTTGTTTCTCCAAATCAGAAGAAGATCTGGTCCGCTTCTTCACTCAACCTGACACTCGAAGGAGAGAGTGGATCCAAGAAACTGTTGTACTAAGGCCGCCAACATAAAATTTGAGACAGAATCAGGGATGCCCGCCCTACAATGAGGGAGGAAGAGAGTATAAATAAAGGTCCTGGTTTCTCAAAGTGAGAAACCCACGATGTGTGGCCTCTCCTTAGTTTCGGATTTGGGCCGTTCCTGTTGGGCCTTGAACGTGGGTTGGCTGCTTCTCTCCTCCACATTTAATATCCAATTTATCTACGTCTTGAATTCAATAAAACTCTAAGAAAAATGTGAGAATAATCCACTTGATTCAGAATGTGAGAATCAAGTGGATTAGTTCACAAGCCAATAAATACCCAAAATAAGGACTCGATAAATAATGCGTGTTTATTTCATTTTAATCATAAATAAGTGATAATTATCATGCTCATAAAAATATAAATAATTAATTAAAGTATAAAAATATGTAATTATCACTACATATTTGATATCATCAACTAGTATTTGAGGACAAGATGAACTGAATGAAGTGAAGGAGAAAATGGGCGTAAAAAATTAACCATAAAATAAAATGCATCCCCAAAAAGTGCTCAACACGAGAAATATATTTTTTTTTATATGGGGGAGGAGAGGCTTGAAGTGAGCTAGCCCATTGCAACATATGGTGGTAGGTTTGACCTAATAGGATCTTTCACATGAGTCTCATAGCATGTAGCTATAGGGAATGCTTTTTCCTATCATCTTCCTACTTTTGCATGATCATCAACACCCCCCTTGGTACAAATTTGACAACATAATAATTTTTGAAATTTGAAGAGTTTGAGATAATTTAAAGTATTTTTTAAAATTATTTTATGCTTGATCATTTGGTGAATAAAACTTCATCTAATTTTTTTTAGTAACTAAGTTTCAAATAAAGATGGTAATTCTTGATGAAATATATATTTTTGATGAAATATTAAATATTCTGTTTTTTGTCATAGTAAATTCTTATGAGATTGGTTTGTATCATGTGCGCCTTTTATGATCTCTATTCATACATTGATTGATGTATGGTTGTTGTGCAACAATTGTAATGACATCATGATTATTAGGCAATTTTTTTCATTCTTTATTTATAATGACATGATAATCAAACTTCAAAGTAATACTTTTTACAAACGTTTCAATAATTATTCTCAGTGATATATTCTCTGATAATTTTTATCTAATTAATAGTTAAAAATTGAGAGAAGAAATCATGAACATGTTCACTTGGCTTTATAAAGAGCATCTAACTCTTTGTGAAGTTTTCAAGTTTCACTATTATGCCTTTGCTATCCTTGTGAATCTCTTCAATTAGATTTCTTCATGTTTTTGTGCATGTTTGAACATTAGCGATTATGAGAAAATATCTTTCAAAGTAGGATGTTGTAACACTAGAAAGGCATTCACATCCTTCTTGTGAGGTTCCTTCAGATCTTTTCTTCTAGAGTTCTCTTGATTTTTAAGTCAACTCTCAAGAAGATTCCATATATCTTCTGAAAAGAAAAAGATACACTTAATTTGGTTACTTAAAAACTCATATTATTCTAGACTACAAGCAATATGCATTTGACATGTCTGCAACCTACATAACCACCTCTCCACACAACCTCTTTCTCATTGATCACTTGCTACAACAATGAATCATCATCAATACAAAACACACAATTACATGGAGGAATATAAGGTAGATTTTAAGGAAAATAAATAAATTAGAGAGAAAATATAAGGTAGATTTTAAGGGCAGAGCCTAAAAAAAATGGAGACGAATAGGCATCTAGAGATGAAATCCTAAAAAAAAAAAAAAAGTCCCAAAAATGGCAAACAAAGGAGAGAAATTGGTTTTATATGGAGGAGGAGAGGCTGAAATGGGCCGGCCCACTTCAACATATGAAGGTAAGTCTAACCCGATAGAGTCTTCCATGCCTGCCTCATTCCGCTAAAGCTAAAGGGGTTGTTCTTTCCTGCCGTCTTATTGCTGTTGCATCATCATCAATTAGGAGATCGTTGAATCAATGGCAAGGAATGTGAGCATCAACTCAGTGTGAAGTATGGAGACTAGGAGAGATGCACGAAGCAGAATAAGCAACTGGACGTCTGGAAGAAACCATTGTAAACCCGAGCATCTCCAAGTGTTCGCCACCTTATGTGCAGCTCCCCTACTCACTTCTCGTCGTCTTCGGCCAGCCCCGGACCTTGTCTGAGTGAGAGAGTGAGAGAGAGAGAGAGAGAGAGAGAGAGAGAGAGAGAGAGAGAGAGAGAGAGAGAGAGAGAGAGAGAGAGAGAGAGAGAGAGAGAGAGAGAAGGTTTAGGGTTTCATCCAGTCTGAAATATTCTTAGCCTGGCAAGCAAATTGAGCCCGAGGGTAAGGGTTAGAGTAGAGTTACGAACTTGTTGTAATGTGATTTTAAATTATTAACATTGCTCAGTAAGTCGGAAGAGAGAGAAGTAATTCCATCTGGAAATTTGCCAAAACTAGGCCGCGAGTTTATGTGGGCTCCAGCTGAGAGAGATTATAGGCGTAGACAGATTATAGGGAAGGGAGGGAGAGAGACAGAGACGCACACAAACTTGAAATTGATTCCTAAATTGGGTAAGTGCTTACTGCAGCATCCATGGGGACCTCTAGATCTTGACACAACCTTTTAAAGTGGCATCCCTCGACTTTCAGTGCCCTAACAGCTCAGCTCAGTGGCAGACGGAGAGAGAGAGAGAGAGAGAGCAGAGAGAGAGAGAGAGAGAGATGAAATAAATCTTCTGAATAGAGAAGGTAGGTAGGTTAAAGATCTACGGAATTCTCCAGATTTTGATACTAAAGCTTCTCAAGTCGCGATCTCCTTCCTCTCCGACTGCAGGCTCATTCTGGCGGAGGAAGAGGGCTAGTGAATGCTCTAGGGAATCATAAGACGGGGAGGAGCGAGAAGGAAGAGGAGCAGGATGGGGTCACAGCAAGGTGTGGTTGTTGCCGCCGCCGGCCGGTGGGAATCCGGCGAAGGGATCGCCGAAGGGATTTCCCGGCGGAAGCTGAGCGTATGGCGATGAGTACCCAAGCCGCTGCTGCTGCTGGTGCTGCATCATCGCCATCTGAACTGCTGCAGGAGGGGCGATGGTGTTGGAGGCGGCAAACGGATCGAGGGAGACGAAGGGATTAGCCGCTGACACCGGCGCCGCCACCGCTGGAGGGCCGTATACGCCGTGGCCCTGCTCCCTCCGCGCCGCCCCGTCGTCGTAGAGGCTGTCGAGGAGGAGCTTGTTGAATCCGCCCGCCTGCAGGCAGAGAGAGAGAGAGAGAGAGAGAGAGAGAGAGAGAGAGAGCAGAGCAGAGCAAAGCAGAGCAGAACGTTGAGAGAGAAGCAGGGGATCTGAAAAAAATTCTGATCTCTCGGTTGCTCTTTTGAATCAGGCAGGTGGATCTTAAAGAGCCCTCGAGAGAGATCATATTTCCATGCAAAACCCTTTCTTTTATCTTCTCTTAATCTACGTAAATCTTGGCAATATTGTAATAATGAAATAAAGGGAAGAAATACAGAGACGAGGAGGGGGGGGGGTGGGGGAATCACCAGTTGACTTTCTGCCAGATGGCTATCGTTGGTGCTCGGAGTGGCCACCAGCGCGAGCTCCCACCCTGAGGCTCCGTTCTCGAGTCCTCCAGCCACATAGGGCTTGTCTTTCCCCCCTCCTTGAGTGAGAAGGTGATGGTGAGTCGAAGTCAAACCGGAGACCAACAGGGAGGTCAAAGAACACGTTTGATGACTCGGTAGAGGTTACCGGAGGAGGAAGTGAGGTATAAAGCCAAAGCGTTGCTTTCATCTAGCTTAGCCACGTCGGGGTTGACCTCATCCAAACCCTGGATACAGAGGAGAGAACCCTTTTTCCTGTGACAAAGTCAACGGAGAAGGACCGACAAAAGTCGAAACAAGGGAACACTCACCAGTAGGTCTCCGGTTTGGGCGGGGGAAGGTTCAGCCGGAGCCTCCTCCGTAGGTCGCTGTTGGTCTTCTTCAGCTTCACTTGGCTTCGCCTCAGGTCCCGCAGAGTCGTTCAGGCCACCTTCTTGGGGGAGCTCCTCCTCTCGTTTACCATCAGTCTGCAGGTTTGTTGGCTCTTGATGCTCCTAGTTTCAGTGGAAAGGGACGATCCAATGAGTGGGGAATAACTGGGGCCATCGACTACTGATGAAAAATGCTCACCATAGGGATCTTAGAAACAGAGCCGATCCGAGGAGCTTCTCTTATGTATTCTTCCATGGTCGCCAGAAAAGATGGAGGAGGCTGCACAGCAGAGGTAGATGTCCCCGAGAATTTCTCAGTGAAAGCAGACAAGGTAACGAAAGAAATATGCCATAGAAAAGCAGGGAGGAGAAGAGAAATTACCTCTCTCAAGGTTGGGAACCGAAAATTCCTTGCAAGCTCCAAGCCTTTACAAAATTCATAAAATTCTGATAGGCATTCGGCCTGCAAGAAGAGAGAGAGAGATGGAATATTCCCAGTTCATTTTTTACACCCTTTTCTCCATTAATTAGGCATGAAAAGTCGAGATAAATTGTCGTGTACTTGATGGCCAGCCTTTTTGTAAATGCTGAGGGCTTTGACGGCGTGATGCCTGGACATATCAAAGAACTGCAGAAGAAAAATAAGCCAGCAGGAGGAACAAGTACACGATCTAATCTGGTTGAAAGAAGATGGCAGATTCTAATCACAGTACCATGTCTACGAGATTGATAATCCCATCATTAATTGCACAATATATTTTGAAGCTCTCCTTCAATACCTGTACAACGGTGAAATCGATTACATGCCATGTTTACACCCTGAGGTGTCTGAAGAGGGTTTACATATCGTCAATTATTTTCCCTCATCAGAGAAAAAGACTTCAGCAGAAGATCCTTCTTGCCGACTGCGTGCAGTAAGTCAGAAATAGTGGAGGATCTCATTTTGTCAACGGTGGACTTATCAATTAAGTTGCCGCTCTGATGCGAATGACATCCGATTAATAAACACATTAAATAAAAAGTTGTGCCGGAAATGCCAGAGACTGATGATGTATACACAATCGATATCACTGCTACCATAAGCAAAAATTTGTCTCAAAACAATTGCATGTTGATAACCATAACATGGAAGACTTTACCGGAAGACAAACTGCGTCTCATAAGGGAAAATATAAGAGCATACCAAAGCTAATGCGTACTGTATGAGATAGTTATGAAACGCTGCCCCTTCAGGCTACAAAAGGCAGATATAAGAGAATTAGAAATCCAGACCAAGATACAAAAGCGTTGTCCCTTTCATGAATTAGATCATCCAGTACGTATTGGTTACAAAGTACCTGGCATGCAGTGAGGCGGAACAGAAGCTGCTGCAAAGCAGGCAACTGTTCCAGAAGGTCATCACTACCCAACCTTCTTGTCCTACTATGCCCCTAAAAAATGAAAGCAAAATGAAAAAAATGAGGGTATGGATTCATTAAAACATAAGCTCCAAAAAGTAATTTGACAAAATCCTAGAAGCAGGGGACACCTTGGAAGTTTTCTGCGGAGATTTCACCAGACGCTCGGCTTCAATGTCATATTTCAAAACCCTAAAGCACTCGAGACGTTCTTCTAGGAAAAGGGCATAGGTCCGAACCCATGCGGAACAGTCCCATGCTGCATAAGTAAACTCTAGAAATCTAAGAAAAATGTTCCCGGGCATAAAATAACATATTCTGAGCATGATAAATGAATAACTCCGTATGCATAATCCATATAGGAGGGCAGATTACCAAGAGGGCTAGAATCATCTTTGAAATTTGATATTTGGAGAATATGCCCTCTTTGCGAATAATTTAGTAGCTCCTCTCTAAAGGTAGGATTACCCTCCCTCAATGTTCTATGAATGACTATAAGCGTTTTTAATGCAACCTGCCAGATACCAAAAAAAATAATTTGAGATTAGCTGCAAGCTCCCAGAGAGAAAAGAGCCCAAGAAGGCTAGGTGAATAAGCAGTCTAATATTTACATGCTGATTCCCAAGGGGTCCTATGGGGATAAGTGTGAAAAAACAAATGGACAAGGCGCACAGAGGAAGATCATTCCCTCAGACGTGGAGAAAGAAACCTACTAGTCCAGCCGCTATATCATTGTACTCCATATCTTAGTCAAACAGAGGAAATATTCGCCTATTTTGATTTCGTGCAGATTCGTCTGGCAATAGCATTATTATACCTACTCTCCGCTTCGATCTCTCACGGTCTTGAGCGGGCAGAACTCTGGGTAAATCACAATAAGGTGATAAGATACGTGTCTTTTAGATTGACGATGCATCTCTCTCCTCGAAACCATTTGCCTATCCGGACATCTCACCATACTTCATCTGGAGTCGTTCATTTCTGAAATTTTCCGAGATCTATCATTTCGTATGCTTGATGAATAAGTGCTACAATGAGGATATTACGTAACATCCATCTCCTAAATTCAGATTAAATGATTTCTGGAAAATTTTATTGGCTAAATAATAATTTGACTGGTTTTGATTATGCATCATAGGGAATTAAGAGGACAGCGTAATTGCTGCGAAAAAATATTATTTTCTTCACATAAAAACACTCTATAAATGCCATCCTATTAAGAATGTGGCAAATGCCATTCCCTCCAACCTACCTATACTATCATCATAGACAACACCAAATGTTGAAGAGTGTGGATTTATCCTTCCGTACAAATGATCACTTTTTGCTCTTTTCCTTTCTTTTTGGATCTAAATTAGCAGCAACATCACCTATCCATATCTCCTGCGTTAGTGTGCTTTTGCCAATTTTTCTATTTACTTTCCTCGTCTTCGAAAAAGAATTTACTGTTGTGTAAGCCCTAATAAAGTAGCAACTTGTCTCTTTCACAAAGTGTTTTGTAAATATTTCATGCGGCATTCCTCCAGAAGAACGCTAGACGCTTTGATTTTAGCACTAGAAATTTGCCATACCGTCCAACTACGCGTCTTGGCCAGTCTCCGCGCAAGAGCATGAATGCAATAAGCCACATCTGCTCGTGGTCGTACAGCTGACGTAGCCACGAAAATTTCTGAAGGAGATAGTTCAATTAAAAGTGAGAAGCAAATTAGAGCAAGCAATTACAAGATTTTTGATGCTGAGAAACCAAAAAAAATTAAGATAAATAATATGGTTGGTACAAATTCATGATACCGACGATTTCCCCAAAAAGGACGATAATTCGGAAAATACTAGGGAAAGGGGAAGAAGCTACAGTTCCCGATCCAGAAGGAACACTCACTTCTCAGATGCCGCTCCTTTGGCGGGCACTCTACGTGATTGGTTGCCTTTACGACAGCGACATCCAGGTCCTTCCATAAACAAAAAAGGAGAATGGTGCCAAAGCAGTGAGGTTCTGAAACCAGAGCAAACTGTGCGCGTGCGTGTTTGTGTGCGTGTGTGCGTGTGCGCGTGTGTCTGAGAGAGAATGAGAGACAGGAGACTCGGGGGAGAAGATTGGAAACCGTAAAACAGAGATACCTTGAATTCGCTATTGATCTTCGCGAGGCCGACCTTTGTGGAATCCTTGATCGCACCGTAGGCCTTGCGCCAGCTCTCCATTGTCCCCATCTCAACTCTCCCCTCAGATGCCCATCTGAGAAATTCACATCGTCAGGAGCAGGGACCAGAAGAGGCACACAGAGAGAACCACAGAGCGAGAGAGAGAGAGAGAGAGAGAGAGAGAGAGAGAGAGAGAGAGAGAGAGAGAGAGAGAGAGAGAGAGAGAGAGAGCGAGAGAGAGAGGTTGTCACCGAAGTGCAGGACCAGAGGGCCGGATCGAGGCGCGGAGAAGATTTCCCTCCCCTCCCGGCAACGGCGTCTGGTTCTCCTCCCTCGCTCCCTCTCTCCAACGGCATTCTGTTCGCCACGGTCTCGGAGAAAAATAGTAATAAAAAAATATTTAATTAATTCGAAAATGCCACGCTCTTTTTGGGGGCAAACGGCACCGACCGCCTCCGCGCTTTTTTGAGAGCACCACCTGTCAGCCACGTGGTCTCCTCCTCCCTAATTGGGCCCTCCCTTCTAATGACAGACGTTAATAACCGTCTGATCTTCTCGAAGGCGACTGACAGATTCCATTTCAAAATAATAATTTTTTTCATTATTTTATTAAATGGCTCCGCCGTAATTTTCGATAATACTTATTTTCCCTTTATCCCCGTAGAAAACAAAATACTTTTTTTTTATAATTTCGTGTGATCCAGTGCGGTCTGCCCACTTCTTTAAATATCCAATAAAATTGTATATATGGCCACAATTTAATTACCGATGTACATATGGATATATATTTAATAATGATGTAAATGAACCCATTGTTAAATATATACTTAGTAATGACTTAAAATTTTCATGTTTTAGCGTATATATTTCTGAAATTATCATTTTGTCCCTATTATTATCTGTTACCAAATAGACCTTTTCCTTCTGATTTATAAAATACGGAAGGCATAACCACTGCTGATTTGGGCTGGGCCTATGTTTCTGGATTTTGGCGTTTCCTTCGGGCCCATTAACGTCCTCGATAAGAAGATTTGCGCATTTAAAATAATAAACAAACTATTATTTTATAAATATAAATTATATATATAAACGATCGATCTCGGTTCATATGGCGGTCGGGGGATCCGATTTTGAAAGCGATTCCTTTTCCCCTAGATGTGTATAGGTACCCGTTTAAGTCGTCCGGGTTGGCGGGTGGAACGGGCGATTCGTGCCCGATGTAATGATCATGTGAATCGGGCGAGTCTTGGGGGCGGCGAGAAGGGAGCACGAGGTTTACTTGTTTCTGCTTCGACGACCCGTTGCGTCTTCTGGTTAAGAATACTGGTAAAGCAGCAAGAGAGAGAGAGAGAGAGAGAGAGAGAGAGAGAGAGAGAGAGGTTGCGAAGGTGGAATCTGCCAAAAATTTGTTGCATCTGGTGGTGTTTGGACCGTCTTTGCCTCTACGGTTAGCGGCGACCGGAGGGGAGTCTCAACTGAGGTGAGAGGATTTTTTTCTTTCAGTTGAATCAGAGTGATCCTTTTACTTGGAAGGATGGTTGAGATAGCTGAATTTGTGCGTTCCCCGCGGATTGGCAATAGTTGGTGGATTCCGTGCGCCTTTGCTGATAAATGTGGCGGGTTTCGTGGAGTTCTCCGATGAAAGTGCGTATGCTCTTACTGAAAATGCGTTGCCCTTTTCTCTAACCTTCGATTGATGCGTGCGATTGCGCTGTAGTTTCTTCCTAGTCTTTCCCCTGGATCCTGCTCTCCAGAATTTCTTCTTCTTTTTTGATTCTGGGTTGTTGGAGACGGATGAACCAAAGAATTGCGGGCGAGGGTTCGCTAACCAGTCAACTATTGCTATTTGTTATACAGGTAGAATAATTTATTGGCTTCTTCTTTTCTGATCCAAGTAATACTGCATTGGATCAATGCGATGGTTCCCTATTCTCCTTCGTCGTTAGCCATGATCGTTCAGGGATAATGCTCCCAGGTACTTCCAATCCGTGCAATTAAAGAGAAAGTTTTCTGGAGAATGATACGACTCGGCTCAGATGAAATGAAAAGGAATATGTTAAACTATAAACTGGAGAAATGAAATTATGAAAAATTAAAACTTCACTTCCTGTCCTGGTCCTAAATCTAGCAATCCTCGGAACACGAAAAGGGCACCATTGTGACGATGACGATGATCGTTCTTTGAAACTTAAAATCAAATTAGTGCAGAAAGAAATAAAATACTGACGTGAAAAGAAGACCACAAAATGACAGATAAATCTCGGGTCACACAAGGAAAGAAAGATGAGTCCGTGATGTTTTCTTTCCTTGTGTCCATCCGGACATTTTGGATCAATCTGTAACCACCTTCAAATTTTTAGCAAGCATATAACTTGTAACAGAGGAAGCTAGGATCGGAGACAGTATCTGGATAATGGCCGTGATATGATCCATGGTCAATGGGTTCGTCCTGGCTCTTCAGTTTTTTCTTTTATCCTTTGTAAATTCTTCCCTGGGACATCCTCATTCGGTCTCAGCCAAATAATCGTTGCCTCCTGATTCTTGGATTTATTTTATTTTTTCTTAGTTCTCATCTGGCATAACTTGATTCAGTCTTGGCCAAGTTCGGGCAGTCAGGCTTCTTGATTCCAGTCTGGGTGTCATCATATGCTTCATGTGCCACATGCTTCCCTGCCTTAATATCTTTTACTTTTCATGGTAATGATTTTTCGGGCATATAAGTCGCATAATTCGGGATATTTGGTTTATTGAAGTCCGTTCAGAATATCTTTCATTCTATTTTCTTTTTTTAAGCCACTAACTAATTTCATTTACGTTCTTGGTGAATATTTGTGATAGGAACGTTTTTCTGGATAAATTTCTTGCAAGCTCAAGAGACGTCTAAACACAAATGATTGAAAAGAGATTTGTACGGTATACATACAGAAAGTCTTCCATTTGCCAGAAAGAAGGCCAATCTAAATTAAATTCCTCAATACGGAAGAAGAATGACCACAAAATCTGCTGCTCCAGGAGGTGCATACTGACGTTGAAATCCTGCATAAGAAAAACAAGGCAAAGGAAGAATATTGGGGATAAAGAAGGGAGAACCGCACCAGAAGATTTCAGCCAGAGCTTCCCTTCCTTGAAATTTTCAGAGGAGAAGTCTTCTCATTTGGGTCTCGGACGAAATGTTGTGAATGTAGATGGTGATGATGGAACGAAAAGATATAAAAAAAGGATGAGGAAACGAAAGAGGAAAGCTATTGTGCTAGATGAGGCAGCACGCTTGCAAAGGAGAACAAGATATCTCCTTGTTCGTATGAAACTGGAGCAGAATCTCATTGATGCATACTCTGCAGAGGGCTGGAAAGGCCAAAGGTACTCAGTATGTAGTGATTAATTTTTTTCATGGGAAACCAGAGAAGATAAGTACGAGAAAATTAATGTGATCCAAATTATAGAATTCGTATCAACAGTTGCTTTATTTTTTATACCTAACCACTTTATTAAATGATTAATTCGATTTGGAATGCATTAAATTCTTATTTTCGACGATTTTTCGGATACCAATCGTTTTTTTTTCCTACACTGATATTCCCTTTAATGATGCTCTTCAAAAGGATTTATCACCTAAGATTTGACTCGGAATATTATCGAAATTTGCAGTTTTTTTTGCCATCGGAAATTATCTGCCACCTGCTACTCTCTCTGAGTGAAACCTTCTGTGACGAAATTGACCAGAAGACAAAACTAAAAGTTCCTTTATGGGTTAGTGGGCAGAGTCTTTGTCATCCGTCACCGCTGAGTTAAAGATTTTACTATGAAGGTGTTCACAGTGGCCACTTTATCGATGAGTGACATTGTTCACCTTCACATTTAATTTTAATGATTAAATGCTAAGTTTAGTTTGGATCTATTTTGGCCCTTTCATAAGGTCAATTTTGAAGTTTATTTCCTCCCCTGCTCGTCTTTCATTCCTGTCACTGGTCAACTTCCGTGGTTGTTTTCGTTTGTACCCTTTTTTTATGCAATCTCTATGGCAAAGTTTCAAGGAAAGGAAATGAAGTGAATGTCATTTTAGTGGGACAAATGTATGCTTCACTATTTGACTTTGTGTACTCAGTTGTCAAAAACCACAGCTTTGTCAAAATAATGGCTTCCATTTTATGTTATGTCCAATCAAAGCCTATTCATACCCTTCTTTCATCTGACCCGCGGGATTGTCTCATTATTGGATTATTATATGCATGCCCTACCAAGATAAAAGCTACAATAAAGTCATTCACCAGCATCCTAGATTTGATGCTCCGGCGAATTTTTTATTCTGGTAAGCGGTAGCATTTCTTCTGGCTTTGCGAACATTTGCCTTAAATAATATCACTTCGTACCTTATTAAAAAAAATTCTGAGGATATTTTATCTGAAAACTAATAACTCGACTTTATTGCATCAGAGAATTTGATTATTTTTTCCAAACCTTTTTACAGCCGGGAAAAGATTAGACCTGAGAACGAGTTACAAAGAGCAAGAAAGCAGATATTGAATTGCAAAGTTGGAATTCGTGATGCAATCCATCAGCTAGAATTGCAAAGTTCTGAAGGATGCATTGAGGATTCCGTGATGCACCCAGATGGCTCTGTCCATCATGAACATGTACGGATATACTCTAGTTTAATGTTATTAAATTTGAAATCAGTGTAGATCCTTTAATGCTATTGAACCTTAAATTAATGTTCATTGAGATATGTGCTAAAATCCATTCCTTTGTGACTGTGTACGTATGCCATCGGTTACATTCGACCAATAAACCTGAATTTTTATTTTTTTCCTGAATACCTTGGATGGATAATAGGTACCATGGGAACGAAATGAGTGTAGGCGTTCACATTTTTATTTCAAAAATATGATGTTGGTGTATCCATAAACTAGAACTTCTCTCTGAAGTATCTGTTCTCTGTTCGTCCTCTAATATGTGTCAATACTCTGTTTCCAGATTTTTTGTGCAAAATGCAAATCACGTGAAGCTTTTTCAGATAATGACATTATTTTGTGCGATGGGACATGCAACCGTGCTTTTCATCAGAAGTGTCTGGAGCCTCCTCTAGAAAAAAGTACATAATTATTTACCTTTTTTTTAACTTCAAAAGATCATGCAGAAAAGATGTTGCTTCATTATCACGTGTTTTCGTGCTGTTCATGTCGTATGAATTTGATATGCTTTTTTTTTGTTTAAATATTTACAAGGAATACTTATGTAGATGCCTTGTGACACTTTCCCTGTTGAATAGATTCTCATCAGTTCCAGTTTTATTAGTCGTATCTGTATCAGTATATGCAGGTCTCAATTTTCTGATGAAACACTCATGGATCATGTTCATTTTTCTAGAGATCAATTTTTATTTCTGCATGGCAACTACAAAAAAAATGGAGAATCTCATGTTTCATCACAAATGTTCTGTGCGTTAATAGTTCTAACGAAATTAGTTAAATGGCGATAAATAATTAACAATATGGCCAGCATGTACAATTGTCTAATTGTCCAGGATTTGAACGCCTCAAACTTTTCCCTTTTTAAGGTGCTCGTCTCATCAGTCAATATGATCTAAAATGTAAAATGTAAGAATGTCAATGTCAACCATTCTTCTTCAGCCAAATCTTCTGTATTTGTCTAGCCTGTATCACATATTCTCTTCGTAGACTTATGACAGTATCGTCATCAAAGAAGCTGCCTTAATTGCTGGATAATCGGATCTTCAATGACTTGAATAGATATTTCCTTAGCTTTATTATCTTTAGCTTTTCAAAGTTTTATTTTTTCTCTTGTGTTGGTCTCAACAAGGAAGATGACTGATTTTAATTCATTGTATCAGTTCCCCCTGGAGATCAAGGATGGCTTTGCAAATTTTGCGAATGCAAGATGGAAATTCTAGAAGCCGTTAATGCGCATTTAGGCACCAGCTTCTCCGTCAATAGTAGGTGGGAGGTCTGTATAAATCTCCACATCCCCTTGTTTTTGAAACTGTATTGAATATGATGTTTACGCTGCTAGAAACGTCTAGTACTTTCTCTTGAATAGGACTCCTAACTCTGAAAATTATATGTTTGGAGCTAAAATAGGATATTTTCGAGGAAGCTGCTGGCAGCCATGACGGTGAGAACGCATATCTGGATCCATCCCAAGATTGGCCCTCTGAGGATTCTGAAGATGATGACTACAACCCGGAAATAAATGAGAAAAATAATAGTTTGATGGGCAACGATGACAACAAACGTGATGATGACGCTTGCAGTTCTTCTGACTCGTGCTGCTGCTCTGATGAAGCTAGTTTTGAGTTCCAAAGGCCAGTGAATGATGGTAAGGATGCTCGTGAACTCTCTTTTTATGCCTTTATTCTGGAGGAGTCATTCCACTTATCCATGGCTCGTTTAGATTCGGATGATGCAGGTGATCGTGATGCTATGAACTTCAGACGGCAGAGAAGAGATGTAGATTACAGGAAATTATATGACGTAAGTGCTGGACGTGATGTGATCTAGCTTGGCTGTTCTAACCTGGATGCAGCATATTGATATTTTTGTATTAAATATGCCTAAGATAGTGCATGCCCTCGTAGTAAAGGAATCATCTCTATCAGCCGATGTCCAGCCAGAATAATCAATAGTTCTAGGGTTTGGTTTCTTTTTTTCGTTTTTTTTACCAGTTGCTTGCCAGATTTCATCCAACTAGGAGATGGCATAGAAAACGTACGTGACATAACCTAGAGTAAGAGTGGGCTAGTCAAAAACCCTACAAGACTGTAGAAATCGTCTTTTGGATGAGGATTTCAGAAAAATTTTGAATGACAGCCAGCGGAGCTGAGAGGCTGAGTTAGGATTACGAAAATTTTCAGAAGTGTTGTTGTCTTCATTTACGCTCATACTGTGTTCTTGATTCGTTCGAAGTCATGAATAGATATTATTTAAGTGACGTTTATAGATTTGGATCTCATGAAATTTGTAATCTCCCTTCAATTTTGATCGCTAGCAGCCGGGCACTGATTTCCCAACTCATTTTCATTTGATTCGAATGCGGTAATTCTTGATTCATAGGAAATGTTTGGAAAGGATCAGCATGAAAATGAGCAAAGCGAAGACGAAGACTGGGGACCCCGGAGTAGAAGGCAAAGAAGGCGAAGAAGACTGGAATCTAATGATGGCACCGACAATGGGTCTTGTGGAGATGCTGATCAAGAACCAGAAAAGCAATTTAACACAGACATTCAAATCAGTCCGCCTTGCATTTCACAGGAGAGGAAGTGTCTCTTCAGGATTCCACGTGAGGCTGTGGAGGTGATTAAGCCCCTTCTCTTGACGCTATATAATTTCCATTTAATTCCCAGCTGCATATTTCTCTGGTTGCCAGAAACCGGAAATTAGCTTAAACAAGGAATCATAATCTACTTTGCAAACGCTGGATTAATTTCCATCCGATTTTGATATTCTAAGAAGAGTTTCTTATTCGCAAGGGGATTTCTATCCTGATACATATGTTGTAGAGTGTGTCCCATATAAATGAATCGGCAGAGCTCAAGAAGGTTGGTCATTAGCGATGGAATTCTTGTCCCATGGTTGACTTTGCATGATTTCTATTGATTTTTTAAGTCATGTAGCTTCTTACGAGGGCATTCAGCTTCCCCTTTTTATGACAGAAACTGCGCCAAGTGTTTGCCCAAAACGAGCTTCCTTCCAAGGCCATCAAGGAGGATCTCTCAAGGGAGCTGGGCCTCTCATCTGAGAAGGTTTGTCGGCGCCCATCTCAACAATCGCCTCCTCAACCTTTGCCGAGAAACCTCACACGGCGTACATTTGATAACATTTTTGCAATATCCAATATTTAACTTTATTAAATATCTCATTCCATATCTAGTAATATGTAAGTGGGCCATTTTCCCTGCCATTTAATGTTGCTTTAACCAGCTGCTGCTGCATCATAGCTGCCGCGTTTGAGCATTCGTGATCGATCATTTCCCTCTTTTCAGGTCAGTAAGTGGTTTAAGAATGCCCGGTATGCAGCCCTCAAAATCAGAAAGGTAATTCTCAGCGCCTCTCCTGGTCTGCTTATCCATCTAGTTAGCTGGGATCATCTAGTAATAATAATGCGTATGCATATATATATATATATATATATATGTATATGTATATTCGTTTCCCTTGGTACATTGATTACGTTTGAGTGATTTCATTCAGACATCGAATGCCCAGAAGTCGCCCTTTTGACTTTCCATTTCAGGCCGAAGGTTCCGAAGTTCTGGGTGATTACCTCAAAAGGCTGGGCACGAGAGTTGGGAAGAACGGAAGCCATCTCCTTGCATCTTCCAAGAGCCTCAGGGAAGATCTCCAGACGACGAGTCCGAAGTCAGCCTCTCCGATCTCAGAAAAGAAGCATGAAAACGCCTCTCTTACTCTACCCGCTGACCCGACCAAGGTACTCCCCTCTCTCTCTCTCTCTCTCTCTCTCTCTCTCTCTCTCTCTCTCTCTCTCTCTCTCTCTCTCATCATTCCTCTTCTCTCTCTTCAGCTGCCGCGCATTGCTCTTTCCTCCCCGTATCAGGCAAACTACTCGGCTGCTCCTGACGATCCGATGAACCAATCGGAGGAGACTGCGGGTGCCGAAGACGACAAGAGCCCTTTCCTTGATGAGATGGAGAGGTTGTGTTCTCTCTGCGAGAAGATCACCCGGTTGAAGGTGGCGCTGAGGGCCTCTTGCGAGCCCAGTTCATCTGGGCCCGTTGTCGTCTACATTCCAGTGGCCGAGCTGAGGGAGAAGGTCTAATCGATGGTGTTGCCCGCCGCCGGATTGAGGTGGGTCCAAGACCGAGGTCAGCTTGGGTTCTTCTTCTTCAGAGGTGGGGATCATCTGGGTTCGGATTAAAAATCGCTGCTTTATCTATCTGGCAGGCGTCATCTTGGCTGTGGAAGCGAGCGCGCTCGCCTTGGGCTTGTGGGTGAGGAATTTCTTGCTGGGTTGACCTCAGAATGAAATAGTCCTCTCTCTCTCTCTCGGATCTTTAACGGGTCCGATTGCCCAATTGGGGTAACGGAGGCCTGAGAGGGATCCGAGCCCTGGTCGATAGGAGGAGCTAATAAAACAGTACTCGTGAAAGCATCGAGGGGGGGTCCCGTGAGCCTTGCCATCCTCGGGAGTTCCACCGGTCCAACGGTTGTGATGGCGACGCCACACGGAGGGTTCGAACTACGATTGGTCCAATCTCCAGGGGTATTTAAAATATTTTCCCGAGTTGGGCCCCCCACACCCCGGGCCGAGTGAGATTCCGATACCCCGACGGTTGGGAACGCCGGGTGGGGGGGGGGTTCCCCCCTTCAAGGTACGGTGGGCGAGGGCAACAGTCGAGGGGAGGGTGACTTTTGCATTCAGCCCCTAGAAAATTGGAGAATGGCCATACAGCCTTATAATAAGAGCACATTTATTAAGAAAGGGGCCATAATTTCTAACAAACAGGGAACATAATTTTCACCGCCCCATTGAAAAATACGATATTTGCAATTAATGGTGCAACAGGGCGTACACTATTTAATGGGCTTTGGCTCCTGATATGGCTCTAGACGGAAGAAAATGAGGCCTTATCTGGGCCCCCGTTAAGCTTTTGAGTAGACCCATAAGACCCATTTCTTTTTCTCTTGCCTCTCTCTCTCTCTCTCTCTCTCTCTCTCTTTCTCTTCCTCTCTTCCTCTCATTGGATTGTATTAAAGTTAAAAACTCATAATTATTCATTCAAGATTTTCCCTCATTTGGAGTTCAATCTGAAACTAATGGGCTGGGTGGGTTAGTGGGCCCGGTTCGGGGTGGGTGATTTTGGGCCTCATTAAAAGTAGTTGGTCTTGGCAATCGCATTGTAAAGCCGTCTACTCCCACCTCGCTGAAGATATCGTTTTTTTATCTCTTCTTAAGAAAATATTAAGAAGAGGGGTACAACTACACTTTATCGGAAGGTTGGATTTCATCGGTGTGAGGGTTACAGCTAATTGTTTTCATTGACGAGGTTTTTCTGTTGTTCTATATTTTAACGCGGGCCGGGGGGGACGCCGATAAATACGAACCTTTCTGGAGACAGCCGGCAGGTCTAGTTCGGGCAGGGAAGAACCGTGGGCCCCACAGTTCCAGTGAACCTCAGGAAGAGCGTAATAGAGTCATCCGACGCCGGGAGACCAAAGGACGGAGGGGACCGTGTATTTTAGACGTTTTTCCTCTCTCTCTCTCTCTCTCTCTCTCTCTCTCTCTCTATATATATACTATATATATATGTATCTCTGTATCTGTCTCTGTCTCTCTCTAGCTTTTTCCTTCTCAATCCCTTTCTCTCCATTCACTCTGCGTGCTTTGCTCGGAGGTTCCGTGGAAAACAAAGCGGTAGTAGAGGGAGGAAAGAGTTATCTCGCTTTCACTCTCTCTATCTCGCTCTTCATCTTCGGTTTAGCGACACATGCAATCTCTCTCTACCATTTTGTCGGCCCTGGAGATGGTGACCGATTGTAGCTCGAGGGTGCGCCCGGGCTCCCACTGATTGGCCATGTCTAGCAGGCAGTGGATCCGTTCACGGCTGCACGCAGGTAATGAGTGGTAGGAGTGAAGTCTTGCATTTTCTGTCTGTTCTGCAAATGTGCTGGGGGTTTGCGGCTGGAGCAGTTTGTGGATCTTGCCTGGCTTTCCTGATCTGGTCCACCGGTGGTTGGTTTTGTGAATTAGAGGATTAATGTGCATTTTTCTCGCTCTGGTGGTTTCGGGATTTGGGTGGCGGTGGAGCAGATGCGGGCGCGCGCTGCTTCTGTACCGGTAGGTATCACAACGCGGTCCGCGTGAGGTTTTACCGTTTTGGCGCTTCGCTTTTAATGTGTTTGAGGGGGTCTGAGTGTCTGTGGGCTTTTTGATCTAGTGGCATGCTTGGGCCGATTCCTGTCATCGTGGTGGTTTTGATCTCGTCATTTGCTGCTGTTCGAGGAAAGGAATTTGGGTTTGAGTTTGGTTTTGCGTGTTGTATGAGATCCGACTTTTACTCTTGAGCTTCGTCACTTGAAGTTGTTGGCAAAATGGTGCTACATTGGTGGCTTTAAGTGGAATATCGAGACGTTCGATGGTGAATTGGGCTCTTCTTCCACTGAAGTGGACACATGACTCCATCCTCCCGAAAATGTAAGCCACTTGCGGGATCTGGGGGTTGATCTTTATGTTCATACAGTTGGAAGGAGGTTTGCTCTGTCCGGATTTCTTCCTGATGTCGTTTTCCTTGACTGCCAGTCTGGGATCTGCTTTGTGAGACCCAAGAAATATGTTGAAATGTGGAATTACGCTGAAACCAGGACCGGGCTTTCTTTTGGTTTCAGCCGATTGCAAACTTGTTAATTGTAATCCTGGGGTCGTACTATTTTCCAGATCTGTTACGACTGTTCCATTCCTTTTTCTATTTTAAAGTGGAGACTTCCTGCCAACAATGTGTGTTCTTTGTGGTCTTCTTCTTGATCTTTGATAACGACATTTCGTTTTTCTGGGGATCCTGTACAATATCCTGCTATTTTATTGTTTAATTACAGTTACGGGAAGAAATTGATAATCCACATCATCGTACTTCTTGAATTTGGATGATCTTGCTTCTAGTATGGCCTGCTATGGCCAACGTCATTTCAGCTTTACCTCGTTAAATATTTGGATTGTCATGTCTTTGCCGGCTCAAAATTTTCCGTTTTTTGGGGTTCCCAGGCTTTGACTTTGTTATCTACTGTGGTTCTCTGAATTTGTGAACTTGTATATTTTGGGGTAACTTTTGCACTAAGTTCATCATCTAGTGCCATTAAAGACCTTGGGTTAAATGGGATCTATACCAGCCGAAGAAGCATTCTTTTTAATGTGATAAAGACATTGATCATGAGATGAAGCATATCGCACTCATGTCTGATACTAGATTTATGCGTTTTATTCGTGTTATCTTTGAATTCATTTTTCGTTGAGAATCACCGGAGGTTCATCTTTCATCTTTTCTCATTGCTGTTGTTGTTTTTTTAAAATGAAAAAAATGTCGGAACATAGTTATTTCTCATGTCGTTTAGTTTCCTTTGATCTTGGACAAATGCATCTGAAACTGTAATTTTATTTTACTTGAGATTTTCATTCTCTACTGTTTCTCATGTTTCACGTAGATAACGACGGACTAAATTCTTCTGTTAAATACACTGTCACATCCTGGGTGGTGTTGTCGTTCCTATCCCTTTTTCATTCTCAGAAGTTCCAAGTTTATGTTCGTAAATCGTGAAGTTTACATCTCTTGAAGTTTCAAGGTTCATGCTTATCATTCCTGAGCCTTTTTTATGTGCTGCTCAGGGTTACTGGTAACTGAAAATACCAAAAGCACGAGTCCATTGTGTGTCATTCCTTTCCTGCTGATTCTGGATTGTGTAAGATCACTTTAGTGCAAGAGAAAATCCCGGCAGAACTATCATTGCGAGCTTTAAACGAGAGTTGCTTTCAGTTCTTGTGAATCATCCACAGATTAGACTCTCTTGAGCAAAGATGGGTTCCAGATTTCCTTCCCATCAGCTCAGCAATGGCTTATATGTTTCTGGTCGACCTGAGCAACCAAAAGAGAAGCCTATTATAATGAGCTCAACAGCCATGCCCTACACAGGTGGAGATATAAAAAAATCTGGGGAACTAGGGAAGATGTTTGACATTCCTATGGATGGCTCAAAGTCGAGAAAATCTGGGCCAATAACAAATGCTCCTACAAGATCAGGGTCATTTGGAGGTACTGCATCAAGTGGGGGACCTACTACTGCAGGTCGTTCTAGTTATTCTTCTGGTCCTGTTTCATCTGCAGGAGGTCCAATGTCTGGTCCAAGTAGGCAGAAATCTAGTTCTGGACCTCTAAACAGACACGGTGATTCCATCAAGAAGTCCTCTGGTCCTCAGTCTGGAGCTGTCACTCCCATGGCTCGCCAAAACTCTGGTCCTCTGGCACCTGTGCTCCCAGCAACAGGCCTCATCACTTCTGGGCCTATTTCCTCTGGACCACTAAATTCATCTGGTGCTCCAAGGAAAGCCTCTGGTCCGTTGGATTCTGCTGGATCACTCAAGTTACATAGTATGTCTTTTGCTCACAACCAGGCGGTGACCAATCTGAGCCAGGTGGAAGAATATTCATTCAAGAATAGTGTTCCAAAGTTGATGTTGTATGCTGTGATTCTGCTTTTCGTGATGGGTTTCATAGCTGGAGGCTTCATACTTGCAGCAGTGCACAATGCAATTCTTCTGATTGTAGTTGTAGTTCTCTTTAGTTTTGTTGCTGCTCTTTTCACGTGGAACTCTTGCTGCGGAAGGAAAGCTGTAACGGGTTTCGTCTCACGCTATCCAGATGCTGAGTTGAGAACTGCAAAGAATGGACAATACGTTAAAGTCTCTGGGGTATGGAGCTTCTCTTACATAATTTTAGAAAGTTTTTTGTATCTAATGACCTGCTCCATTTTTGAAAACTAGGGCGTGTTTGACAATTGATCTCCAGCTGTTTGTTTCTATGGATCATATTGATGCAGCTTTCTCGGTTTAGTTTCACACTGCTGCATCTTTTTTTTTGTATTTTGTGATTGAATCACTCTTAGGCATGCTGAGGATATAGGATTCTTTAATGCATTCTTTGTTCGGCTCTTGTTAGGTTGTTACGATGGTATATCACATCGTCCTCATCTATTTTCTCCTGTACTTTTCCAGTTGATCTTTGTTTATTTTTCATCTCTCTTCAAAGAAGAAACCAAAGAAGATAATATTAAAAACCTTTACGAACTCTACTCTTTTGAAGCATTGTAGTATGATATTTTTATTATTTTGTTTGATGAAAACGTACGGATACGGAATTTCATGCATGCACGTTGGAGCTATCTTCTCTGTTGCTCTATACTCTCTGGCATTTCATATGGTTCAGTAATTTCATTCAACGAACATTTCATATTCATGTTGTAAAATTCGAAATTTCTGGATCATTTTTTCTTTGGCAGTCTTGATTGATGCACTTGATTTTTTCTTCAGGTGGTTACATGCGGAAATGTTCCACTTGAATCGTCATTTCAAAAAATTCCTAGATGTGTTTACACATCTACAAGCTTATATGAGTACAGAGGCTGGGGTTCAAAAGCAGCTAACTCCACTCATCGGCGTTTTACTTGGGGACTCAGATCACTGGAGGTCAGCACAGAAAGTCGTCTCCTTTTTTTCACGAGGAAATTGACCCCTGATGTGGAAAGCTTATTTTACTTGATTTTCCTTAATTGGTTGCAGAGTAATTAACCCTGAGCTTCTCGTACTTTTTGTGAGCTTTTTTGTTTGGGGTTTTCACTTATCGGCAGCTTAATAAATTTGTATAATCAATTTTGTTTTTCTCTTGAACGTCATTTTCATTATTTTTGCCAATTTTCTTCATAGTTCAATTCTGTTTTGACCAGTAGGGGCAAGTAAAGCATGATTTTCTTTGTTCGGGAAACAATATCTTAGTCTAGTAATCTGATGTTCGGTGATTGAATCGCTGATATCCATCCTATAACATTGTAAGAGATACCAAGTTTTGATGTATCATCTATGTGCGCTGACTATACCAAGGCCAACACTTTTCTGAGACATGAGTACATTCTCAGAGTTTTGACCATCTGTTGTAGAAATTTACGCTCAATCCTTTTCTATTCAATAGAAGGATGGGCCACGGGTGCACTGCAATCATTATTTCTCTATTGTTCTCAGATTAATTCAATCGCAGCTGGGAAAATCTTCTGATCAGGGCTTGAGTTTTCCTTGATTTCCGCCCTTGTTTCCAGTCTTTGAAGCGTTATTTCCTCGGTCCATAGCTGATGTTCTGCCGTGTTGGCTATGCAGAGACACGTCGTTGACTTTTACATTTCAGATTTCCAGTCCGGGTTAAGAGCCTTGGTAAAAACAGGGTACGGCGCCAAGGTGACCCCTTATGTGGACGAGTCCACTGTCGTTGACATCAACCCAGATAACAAGGACTTATCGACTGACTTCCTTAGATGGTTGAGGGAGAGAAACCTTTCCAGTGATGATCGCATCATGCGCATGAAAGAAGGGTAACTATAACCTCCCCTTACTAATGTTTATATACATGTATTAATTTCTTAAACTCACCCTTGTGGTTGACATTTCCGATGAGTTCATCTTGTGGGCCCCACTTGCATACCATGCAGTCGATATCCACGTTTATTTCCCCAGGAAGCTACTTCGTCCTAGTTAGCTCACACTTGAACGGCGCCCTCCCCCTCCCAGGTACATCAAAGAAGGCAGCACGGTGAGCGTGATGGGTGTCGTCCAGAGAAATGAGAATGTGCTCATGATTGTGCCCCCTCCGGAGCCTGTCTCCACTGGGTGCCTCTGGTCAAAGTGCTTCCTCCCAGCGAGTCTTGACGGCGTGGTTCTCAGGTGTGAAGACACGTCAAAGGTCGACGTCATCCCTGTCTAGCCGGGGGGCGGGGGGACCTGAACGCTCTTACTGGGTGAAGGGTTGAAGACTAAGAAGTGGTGGTGTTGTCTCCTGTCTATGTTTCTTCATTTCCTTCGACTTATTTTCTTCTGTGGCTGGGAGGAGAGGTTGGTTTAACCAGGCCTGTATAGCTCTGTCCTCCTTCCTGCTGGGCTTGAAGGCTTTTGTACCAAGGCTGGCTTCTGTTTTTTTCACTGTTCTACGAGGAAGAAAAGGTGTGTGGAGGGAGGGAGGGAGGCGGGGGGGGCGTCCTCTGATGATGGGTTCTGTATGCATGAAAAAATTCTACCTTTGCCTGATGAATGCTTCACAATGATACCCACAATCAGGGGATTGGCCTCCGAGCGATGCCCATGTGGTAGAACCCCATGGCTTCTTCTGGTTTGGCAGTGTTCTCCTTCTCAGGGCCTGAATAGATTAAACCCACCATCATGTGGATGATCGGAATGAACATGGGTCTGAACACTCGGAGCTCCCTTTTTTTTTCTCTCTCTTGGGTGGGTGTCTGATTCGGATTGGGCTCCACCTTGTTGGTGTATACAGTACAATGGACTCAGTCCTTGAAACGCCGGTTGAGAATCCCAATGGGGAGATTTGGCTCTCCACGGCCAGCATGGCTGGGGGCAGTCTTCTTTAATGGAGCTATGGGGATCGGCAGAATCTTATCTCTTTCTCTCTCTCTTTATTTGATGGAATCTCCCCACAAAATCATTGATTTGGCGGCAGGCTTCTCCATGGTTAGCTGTCTTCAACAAGGGGCCTGTGGTGGGGGCTCAGAAAATGGAGAACTAGAACCATAAGAATGTCTCCCCTCACCCTTCACCTCACCTCACCTAACTCAATCTCTCTCTCATGGACAGCTTCCAACGTGCCTGTTCATAGCCATTGTCATGTTCATCTCTGTTAAACTCATACTGGGAGGCAGCCAGAAATATAGCAAGAGAGAGAGAGAGAGAGAGCAGAGAGAGAGCAGAGCAGAGAGGGGGTTGTCAAATATCAGCCATGAATCAGAAGAAAGAAGAAGTAAACCCTGGGGGGAATTGAATAAACTACCAACGTAGACAGATACATTGAAGATTTTCCGTTTTGATCATCCAAATATGACGACAGCCTCAGATCGAAGGGACACAGCCTACCAAAGCAGATGCACCAAACAAGAGTTATTATTCCCTGTGGATTCGTTGAAGATTCTTCTCCTCACCTATCTACAGCTGGAGGACGAGCTCCACCAGGAAGAGCCCACCGTCGAATCTGAGGCCACATGCTTCTGCCGGGTGCACGATGCCGTCTACCATCCCACCGAATATGAAGAGGCGGCGGCCCGACTGGTCGGCGCAGGCTGCGTGGAAGGACCGCCGATCCTGCTGCATGCCCTCAGCCTTGAGCCTCTTCCACATCTTCTTGGCCACCCGCTTCAGGCTCGTATTCTGGAGCCGCCTCCTGAGAGCCAGCAGGGTCTTCAGGTCCAGCAACCAGAAATCATTCTTCCGCCGCCTCTGGGAGTCTTCCCCTCCGTAGATGAGCACCTTCCCCCCAAGCACAAGGGTAGCAGAGTGGCCAACCCGTGGGAGTGGCAATCCCCGCGGCACACTGCCCGGTCGCTCGCAGGCAATCTGCACCCACTCAGGGCCATCTCCCTCCATGTCGAGTACCCATATGTCATTCAGGGCTTCATACCCAGTGCCGCGGCCCCCGAAGAGGACCATGCTGGACTCACCGGCCCACGTCAGGGAGTGGCCGGAGCGGGCCGCCGGAGAGGGCTGGGGGGTCACAATCTGGTGCCACCTCCCGGACTTGAATCCATTCGACAGGTCCAGCATCCACATGTCGCTCAGCCGGAGCCCACCAGGACCGATGCCCCCATGGATTATCATCTTCTCCTCCCCAAAGCTGCAGCTGGCATGGGCTCCGCGAGGCGGTGGCAATGTGTGCTCCACGTCCAGCAGCTTCCATGCCAGTTTGATCTCGGAGGACATATCGCAGCTTAGCCGGCCAATCCACGTATCACTGTGGCGGACGCCGTTGTCGTTGATGCCGCCGAAGAGGACGAGCGCGTCGGAGATGACGATGCAGGTGTGCCCGAAGCGTCCGCTGGGCTGCCCAGAGTTCACTTGCTTCCAGTGAACAGCATTCTTGACCCCCTGGCCAACATATGCGACCCATGTATCATCCAGATGACGCCCTACATTGGAGAAATAAATCAGGCTAAGATACTGTAACATGAATAACATGATTGATCGATGAGAATTGCTCGAGAAGCAAGATACGGCTAATTGATGCAATTGAACCTGCTAGTGACAGAAGCAGTCTATCGATGCATGAAATGTTATGCTGACTAAAGATTTATGCTTTCATTTTCTTGATAAATAAAAGTGCAATCTACGTACTGTGAAATAAATAACAGAATATTGAAGAACAAACAGATTTCAACGCAGCCCATGTAGACATGAGATACCATGTATTGGGCATATGAGAAAGCTTCCCCAACGTTAACAAAACCCAAAACCCTAGTCACAGAAAGATATAGAAGTATAGGCGTTACCGTCTCCTCCTAAAGACATCGATTACAGCACCAGTGAGTCAAATAGAGCTCCCAGGGATGCCTCACAACCAATGGAAGAAGATTAAAAGAGTTTCATGCCAATCAAGAGCTCATTTCGTTCATTAAATACTATGATTTCTTCAATAATTTACGGATCTTAACGGCATGATCAGGGTGTAATATGGATTGATCAGGTGAAAAGATAGCATTATCTTCCCTCAGGTCAAGGTGAAGACTATTGGCACGAACAGGACCAGCAGATAAAGCACCACACAAACTCAAGCTCCCCTGAAGTGAGAAATTAGTAGAATTCCTGTTTATTTTTCATATTTTCCCGATTAAGATTAAGAAAATGCGAAGCGACAGATGTTCATCACAGGGTGCTAGAACATGAAAAATGGTAATAATACATGTAAAAAAGAAGGATCAGTCATGAAGGAATTCCGACCTCCATCGCAGCCGCCCCCATAGAGAACGAGGCAGTCTGATACGAAGTTGAGGGAGTGGGAGCCCCTCGGCTTTGGGAAGATCCCTTCTCTGCTAGACAGTCTTGTGTAAGAGAGAGAGCTCAGCTGCGCAACCTGCTGGTACAGCCTCTTCCACGAAAGCCCTCTACTCTCAGAGGACAAGGTCCCCAGCGTGGTATCTACAGGGCCCCTGCCCCACTCTCTCCTGCAAATAGACTCCCAGAGGGCATCCGAGCAGCCCAAGGATCTGAACTTCCTGCAGGTCATGGAGAAGGAGAGTACAGATTCTATGGGGAGGAGCTGGAGGATAGAGATTATCTGATCATGGCTCATCTGGGTTATGCTGGAGGAGTCGCGACAGGAAGAGGAGGACGAGGAAGAATAGGCAGAAGAAGAAGAAGGGTACGAGGATGAGACAATCTGATTCCCCCTGCTACCCTCGGCCATAGGAAGGAGAGCTTTCCTCTTGTTCTTGAAGGAGGGGTGATGCGGGAACCTTTCCGTCTCCGTTCCCGCACTGGACTTCATCGGAGATCGGATGGCATCCACCGGATTCCCGTGACGCTAATCAGGTGAGACGGTTCCGAAGAGCGAGAGTGAGAGAGAAAGATTTCAAGGGGCATACACAAACAAGGGGAGATTAGCGATATCGGATGACGAAGCCGGTCGAATGGTCTCCCTCGGTAACCCTCTCTTCCCACGGAGACTGCGAAGAGATGGCGGAGCGTGCTGATCCAGAAGAGGAGTAAGGCTGCGGTAAACTCACTCTATTCAGTAAAAGCCAAGGCGGAGGAGGTGAAGGGTGCCTCCAGACACCGACATGATAGCGAAAGATTGATCCACAGCGTCCATGATGAAGGACGCTGACGTCGGTCTGTCGCAGAGGAGAAGCCGGAATCCGTCAAAATACCAGGAAAAAGCTGGAAAGATGCAGAATTGACGACACGGGCGTCTGACGACACAGGATGCAGAATAAACCCTAGACCACCTGGTCGGCCCTCGTCTGAGCTCGGTCTCCCCCTCTGTAAATGGGCTTCCGGTGGTGGCGCCGCCGTTGGGCGGCTATCCACAGAAGTTGCCGCCGCCCAGGTGAGCGAGAGAGAGAGAGAGAGAGAGAGAGAGAGTCTTTCCCTGGGACCGTGATAATTACGGCCGCGTCCAATGGGATGCCATTATTCCAAGGTGGGCCCAGCCATAATGTCTCGATACCCGTTGTGGACTATTGGCCGTTGCCCCCATCCTAGTGGGTCCGGCCCAAAACGTCTTCTTCTGTTCATATTGGGCCATCAACGACGTTCATCGCAGTTCAGGGCCCTCACTCAAGAGCACATGAGGCCCATTAGGTTTGTGGTCCTATTCCTGGTGGGCATAATGGGCCTTTGGGCTGAAATCTTGCAGGTGCGAGAGCAATAAAGTTTCTTCTTTGATTCTGTCGGAGGTCCAAATCGTGAGAAGAAAATTTTAAAAGGGTAATTCATAAACGCCACGTGGCGGAAATCTTATTCCTGGTTTTGTCCTGTGGTTCAAATCGTGAGAAGAAAATTTTGGGAGCGGTAATTCGTAAATTTAAACGTGGCCCCAGTCTATTCCTTCTGGCCTAAGGGCTCTTCGATCCGAAATCTTGTAGGAGCGACCAGTAAAGTTTCTTGTTTGCTTTTGTCGGAGGTCCAAATCCTGATAAGGAATTTTTAGGAGGGGCAATCAATAAATTAACGCCCTATTCCTCGCAGTTATGCTGGGCCTTTGGGCCGAAATCTTGTATGTGGGACCAATGATATCTTCATTGATTTTGTCGGAGGTCCAAACAAGAGAAGCAGATTCTGGGAGGAGTAAACTGAAAATTTAACCCATACGTGGCCCTAGTTTGATTTTTGTTCTGAGGTTCAAATCGTAAGAAGAAAAGTTTGAGAGGCGTAAGATCAAAATTCAACGCTACGGGGGCAGTCCCGCTCCCAGGCTTTGAAATCCTTGAGAAAGAAGGGGGACTGCTTCAGTGGGGAGGGATGATCGCGGTGGTGGAGAGGACGCAGAGCGTGGGAAGGGGAAGATGTCGGACGAGACGGTGCGGTTCTCGGTGGTGTGCGCCATGTTCCAGGCGATGTTGCGGGACAGGTCGTCGGCAAAGAAGCGGAAGCACCTGCGCACGTTCCTGGACCGGGTTTTCACGGCTCGGGATCGCTACTTCGCCGCCCTGCGCCTGATCCTGCCGGGTCTCGATCGAGAGAGGGGCACCTACGGTGTCAAGGAGCACGCCCTCGCGGCATGTCTGGTCGACGCCCTGGGCATCTCGAAGGACTCTGAGGACGCTGCCCGCCTCGTCAACTGGCGCAAGGGCGGCCCCCGCTCCGGCGCCAACGCTGGAAACTTTTCACTCATCGCCACGGAGGTAATATTCCAAGGAAATTTATAAACGGCTTCTCAACTTCACTTAGATAGAAGGGGAGAACTTTCCTCTTCTATTCCGTTTTATATGTGGATAATTCATCGCTCAATTTACTCTTGCATTTATGTTTCCTCATAGGCTGTCTTCCTTGATTCATGGGTCGTACTATTTGATCCATTCAACCCATCAGTGGCCTAACAAAAGTACGACAATTGGGATTGGATAGTGACTTCATTAGTCGTCCCTGTTTTCTGTGACATCAGGTTCTGCAGCGCAGACAAGGCTTGGCTTCGGGAGGGCTGACAATAAAGGAACTTAATGAAGCCCTTGATCAACTGGCATCGAGAGAAAGCCGGTATTTTTCGCTAAATGTATAAACTTCGGTTTGCGAAACCCTCGTTTTGGTGCTAATACTAGAGATGCTTCATTATTTCTAACCTTGCTTGCTCAGCACACTGATTTTTTTTCGCTTCTCGAAACGTTACCTTACGAGCATTATCTCTAATACATAGGTTGATTCCGGATACTTGTCTCATATCATGAAATACATAAGCAGTTTTTTTTTATTATCTAAGAAACTTGCATCTGGATTTTTATACTGCTTCTATCATTTTTATCCTTTATCCATAGAAAGAGTATGTAGGCCTCATATTTGGCATTTGTTTTGTTCCTTATGAAAAGTTTTCATCCCTTGGAACGTGAATTCTGGCGCATTACCTTTCTTCAATTGGTCATATGAGTTTCCTTTTCTTTTCATCTTTTCCCGTTGAGACAATGCTTGCTTTTCTGACATATTTCTCTTATTTTTTATGCATTAAACGACTTATTTATTTTCTTATTCAGTAGTTTTGACCTTTTACGAGACTCTATCCAGGAGACTGAAGTCTAATTCTTTCTTGTTTCTCTTGGCTCCTTTCTAATGGGCTCTGATCATCATGAGTAGAGGAGAAAAGGCTTCTGTTCTGTCTGACCTCATTAAGAAAACAAATTCCACCGAAATGAAGTGGATCTTGATTATCATACTTAAAGGTACTCCCTATTAACAGGAGTTCTTTTGTTTTTAACCCTCCACAAAAGCCAGTATATCTTAATCTTTTATTTTTTATTTTTCTAGATCTCAAATTGGGAATCAGTGAGAAAAGCATTTTCCATGAATTTCATCCAGATGCTGAGGACTTATTTAATGTCACTTGTGACTTAAAGTTAGTTTGTGAAAAGTTGAAAGACAGAACTCAGCGTCATAAACGGCAGGTACCTGAATAAAATTCAAGTGACAATGGTTCTTAGTGGATTTTTCATGTCACATTTTGTTGTAATATTTTTGCGTGGCATGCCATAGATCTCTGTTTGGATCTGCTACACACAGCAGCTTATGACCCATAAAAGTGAAAACTTTGGGTTCTCTCCAGCACATGCTTATTTTTTTGATTTCTTTAGAGCTTGGAATGATGCATTACCTTTTCTTTAGAGTTTGGAATGATGCATTACCTTTTCTATTTAATGATTAACCTTATGATGTATGGGTAGGACATTGAAGTGGGGAAGGCTGTGAGGCCCCAGCTAGCTTTGAGGGTTAGTGATGCTGCCACTGCATGGAAAAAGGTAACCTTATACCGTGGATGCTATATCACACTATCTGCATCAGCTTCGTTCTAGTAATATATCGCCCGTCTATTTTTTAATGAGATCGCCCAATACTGGCAGAGTTTTGGTAAATTTTCTTTTAAATTTTAATTTTTATTAAATTGAAAAAAGGATCGTAAAGTTGGATCATTGACCTGGATATCCCTAATTTGACCATAGATTATATTATCCAAATCTCTGTTGTAGGGGACGTGAGACAAATGCTAAGCTAGCAGCATAATATATGGTAATGAGATACAGCCCGAAAAGCAGGAAGATTGGATAAATATTTTTGGAAGGGCAGATGGTTTGTTGATCGGACATTATTTTAGGTTAACTACGAGAATGGACTAGACTGTATTTTTAAAGCCATTGATTTTCAAAATTACCACCATACGAGACAAATGTCAGCAGCTATGGTATGTACCAGAGATAGATGTATACTGTGGTTGAATTTCTGGTGAAGCCATATTTTTCAAATGCTGAAGGTCTAACATAATCACAGATCCTACTCAGCCTAAAGCCCAACCTAGCCTGGTTAAAATAAGTTCAGTAGCATGATTTAAATTCCATGATTGTATCTTTATCATAGGAAGAGAACAGGGTCCTTGTTAGGAATAAGTGAATGATCTCTGTTTTCCTTTTATAGTTTCTAATCCTTTTATTTTTCTGTTCATTGTATCTCTTAATATGGTCATAGACTGAACCAGTCCAGATTGAACCGGTCCATTTCTCCCTCTCCTGTCTTATGGTAACTGGTTGGTATAAATAACAACCAGTGTATAAATCTTCTTTCTTGATTTTGAAATCTAGGGCTTGGGCCTTTCTTCTTCCTCTTGTGTATCCTCCGTGTGTTTGCTGCCATCACTGTGAGAGAGGACAGATTGGAGGAGCTTGGAGGAGATCAGAGGTCTGCGCATCTACTGGCAGTCCTTGATTGAAATTTCCTTAACCTAACAAGATCTGGCAATCCCATATTAGCTATGTAAAAGACAAAGTGAATAGTTTGATTATTTCCATGTTTGGTACATGGAGCTAAAAGGCCGTGAAATTTAGTGTTGGAAATGATGTAGTATTCAGTTTACTCTAAGAAGCTCTTCTTGACTCATTTACTGAGGATCGGTTTGAGTACATTTTCATAACCTGCTGCAAGATTCTCCCCCTTGTGAAATATGTGCTGTCCTTTGGATTTTTTTTCTTTCCTTATTTGACTTGCTGCTTAGAGGCTTGCCATTTATTTATATTATCCTTGTTTTCTAGCTTCATGGCAAACAAGTGGTTGTTGAGTGCAAATTTGATGGTGATCGCATTCAAATTCACAAAAATGGATCAGATATACGCTTTTTCTCCAGGTATTTCCAAATGATTACTTTATGTGAGTAACGGTTTTGTTTAATATGGCTGTCATTGACATTGTTTTTTCTTTGAAGAGGAAGCACTACTCAACAAATTCTCCTGAGTCTGTCTTTCTTTAGAGTTATTATATTCATATGAACTGGACTAGGGAGATGTGTACTTTTCTGTGTAATATTGGCTGAGCTTAATGTCTGTACTGTATGGAGAAGATGTGAACAACAATTTTAAGACTAGTGGTATCAGATTAGTCCAAGTCGTGGCAGTGATAGGGATCAAGTGAATTCGTATTATGTTTCCCTTGATAAAGCGGATGTATAGATTGTGATATTTGAGTTTGATAATTGCGTACATTCGCTATCAAGATAACCTCACTCCTTGTTCGTGTACTTTGGCTTCATTCATTGCTCGATGTTGCTTATGCTCCACAGTTATTGCAATCTTTTATTATTTTTTTGGTGAGTCATCCAATTATCAATATTTTTTTCTTTTATGTCTGATATGCATGGGGTTTTTCGTGACTGACAGGAACTTCCTTGATCACTCTGAGTATGCACCTGGGATGTCAAGTATTGTTCAACATAATATACTAATCGACAGGTAATCGTGACTGTTGAAAACATTTTGATGAATAAAAATCATACTGCTATCACTGCCCATCAAATTTTTTTCCCATCAAATTACCCTATTATCATACTGTATCAATATACATTTTTCTTGCTGTGGTCTAGAAATGACGAGTTCCACTGCATGATATTACATGTATAGTTTTGAAATCTCTAGCCTCAGTTAAGGATTCTTCAGGTGCATACTTGATGGCGAGATGCTGGTCTGGGACACTTCAACCAATCGTTTTGCAGAATTTGGTTCAAATCAAGAAATAGGTCTTAATACAGTCTCTCTTATGATCAATTTTTTTAACATATTTTCGTACACTCATTCTTAACCTGGCTCATATGAACTTTGTATTCAGCAAAGGTTGCCAGGGAGGGATTAGAAACTGACCGACAGGTTGTTAAAACTTTTCTGTTCTCTTTATGGCCTCTCTGCCTTCCTCAGACACGATCAATTCTTAATTACTTTTTACATGACTTCTTCAATGCAGTTATGCTGTATCCTTCACATCATTTGGCTTTTTCCTGGAGCTATCCTTCTGGTGATATCCTGCCAAATGACGAACATGAACCGATGTGCCAAAATCTTTGCTCAATCTGTGATCTTGTACACCCATATTGTCACGAATATATATTTCTATTTACCATATCTACAAAGATTCGTACTAATTTACTCATTTCTTATGGTTCGAAGCCAAGAAAACTTATACTTTTTTGCTTACTTCGGTTTTCCAAGATTCTTATTAATTTATTCATTTCATCTGGTTCCAATTAAAAAAAGCCATGATTTTTTTTCTTGGATCATTTGTTCACAAAGGTTCAAATCTAAAGTCAGTATTTTTTACTTAACACGATATTTGTCCAGATGTTGCTTTTGATGTACTGTATGCTGGAGATACTAGTGTTATCCATCAGAGTTTGGCTGAGAGACACGCCCTTCTACAGAAAGTTCTACGACCAGTGAGGGGTCGCTTGGAGATTCTGGTGCCTGATGGTGGTCTTAATAACTCTCGGCCCCTAGGTAAGTAAGAAGAATATCTTTGGTCTTTCATGCTAGCTGAGTTGAATGCTAGTAATTCTCTACTTGATGGTATATGTTGAATTGGAGTGTAATGATTCCATGTCTGTGGTAGTAAAAGAAAATATGGCACTCAATGATTGATTTTCAGAACAAAGGTAATGCATTTTTTGAATGAAATATAAAAAATGAGGGAGAATAATTTATAAAATAGCTAGTGACTAATTATGTTAGGTGACTGACTCTGAAGCTTATAAGTTGTTTGCGACCAATTCACTGTTGCATTCACAAATTAATAAATAATTACCATTACTTTTAATTGAGGTTAGCTTGTGTCTAGATAAAACAAATATTAATTCGAAACGAAAATTAATGGCGTGCCCTGATTTCAGTCACTCTGTTCAATCCATATTGTTCCTTCTTAAGATCAGGTGACTATAAATGATTTTCAGTTTTGGGGCTGAGGCCAGGTTTATTTATAACCTATTGATTTTTTATCTCTTTTTTATGCAAATTTTCAATTGATTTTTGCTTGTGCCTATGCCTTTTCTTAGATTTTGATTTAGCATTCTTAAGACAATACTTAAAAACAAGAAAAGCTTCACATGTTATGAAATCCCTTGAATAAGTGAAGAGGACCATCGCTTCTGTTTGATGGCAGCAAGGGAGTGAGGACTTGCCATCCTGGTCAGTCGGTGACTAAAGATGAACGGGTCATTGGGTTCTGGCGTCAGCAATAGAGGAAAAGGAACGAGGGAGATCTCATAGGTCTTAGTAAAGAAGGGAGAGAAGAGGGTGGTCGCCGCCCTTGTCAGGCCTTGTTGGGCCCTTGATGTAGTACATCCACGGTCCTACTCTATTTGACCAAAGTCCTAGAAGTGTGAAGAATGGACTATATGCACGAGATGGCCCAGTACCTGATCTGGTCAATAATAAAATGTGTCATAAAAATGTCAAAGATTTTTTGTCCCACTTCTAGTTTATTTTTTCACTGTTACTTCATTGAAGTGTGTTAAAAAGCATTTTAAATCTTTTCTAAAACGCTTTTAAAACTGAACCACATTTTAGCCCCAGAGGTATTTTTCAATAATCCCGAAATTTTCGCTCTTTTGAGATTCTATCTCTCTACTTGTGGTTTCAAGCACCTCTCTTGTGGATTCACGAGTTCTCTTTGATCTTGTTAATTTAAGATCGCACTCTTGTGGATTCAAAGGTCGAGGTTTTCAAGTTCTGTGGATTCACAACATAGTTCTTCACAGAAATTTTATTTCTTGTGGATTCAAGGACGAAATTTCTTCTCCATCTAATTCCAGTTGTATCAGCCTTGGTTGTGTTCACAGGTTGCCGAAAAGAGTGAAGCATTGGGGGGCAGGAGAGCAGGGAGGGGGGGGGGGGGGGGGGGAGAAGGGCCCCAACACCATCTGTAGAGCTGAGTGATCTCTCCCATCAGTCAGCAAAGGATGGACAACCCTGATGGTGGCTGGATTAAGAGGTGATAGGCGACATCTGCCATCCATAGTAGGAGGAAAAGAGGGGTCAGCCTGTTGGGAAGGCGAGATACTAGTAAGTGGGGGGGAGGGGGGGAGGGGGGCGGGGTCCTGAAATGACCTTTCCTTCAGGGAAAAGGGGTTCGGAGTAGAGATTACAGTAGGTTGTGCTTTCCTTCCTCTTGTTCAAAAGGAGGTAAGAGGAGCATCTCGCCATCTGCCACCGTCACTCTTTGCTGAGCCTGATTACAGAATACTCAAAGCCCATAGTCTGTTGGTGAGCGAATCCTCCTAGGTTCCCAAAGGCCCAGTGAATTTTTGGTGGGCAAATTCATTGGTGAGCCCAAAGTCTATAAGTCCTTTTGGTGTGGGTGGGAAGATCCATCCTTTGGCTCTTAGCCCATATCTCTTTGTTATCAGATCCACTCTGGCCCAAAGACTCACTTTTTCCTAGTGGGTGGAGCCATCTCATTGGACCATTTCAAGGTGTACAATTTCTGTGCAGATATTTGAAGCGTGCCATGTGCATTTTGGAGCCCAGTAGATCAAATGGACTCCACTTTAGTCACCAATAGACCTTAGCCTCATTAAGCGACTCTAGAAGAGTTACAGTTGACCATCCGACAGCCTACTCTGCCAATGAAGTTAACACATCTGCCTGAATTATTTTATTGATTGTGTAAAGACAGAAGGGGGTATTTAATATGACGCTGCCAAAGTTTTTTGGAGAGGAAATTTCCTCATTGAATCTGCAGAACTTGAAAAATTCGACCCTTGAATCCACAAGGGGGGGTTTTAAATCCAAAACATCAAAGGGATTCCTTGAATTCACAAGGGAGGTACTTGAATCCACAAGTAGAGATAGAATCTGAAAAAAAAGGGAAATCTTGTGATCAGTAAATAATACCTCTGGGGATACAATGTGACGGCTGAGGGCTTTAAATAGGCCGAATTTCTATCAGGGCGCCCCTAAGAAGGAGATTTAATTTTAATAGTGTTTTAAAGCAGATTTAAAATGTATTTTTGTCACATTTTCAATACAAATAACAACGATGATAATAGTAATGATGAAAAAATTCATTTAAGGAAAAAATGTTTTAAAAATAAAATAAAACCATCAACCTAGTAAAAATCATTTCTGTATAAACCTAAAACAACGACAGTATTATCAATAATATAAACTGAAATATCAGAAATATGTTGAATGAGTAACAGAAATAACCATAGAGCTTCTAAAACTAAATGCAACTCTTCAACCAGGTAAAAGTCAGAAATAAATGACGGATTTTTGAAACCTGAATGAAAATAAAAATCTTGATGATGAAACCACGTGATGGTGCCTTCATGAAAGAATAGTAATGATAATATTGGTGATAGCATGCTAATGAAATGATGGTAAAAAATGAGAATAAATGACAATTTGACGCAGAAAAACAATGAAGAGTGAATAGATAAATAGGTGTAAGCCCCAAAAGTCTGATAAGAACAAAGAGTGATTTCCGGAAACCTATTTATGTTTTTTATACATAAATAGGTTTCCGGAAATCAGGTGACAACAGGTTTCCCATTAACCTTACACGTATGTAGTGCATATTGACTTTCACTTGAGCCTTGGTTGATTGTTCCCTTTCATTTATGATTGCCCATATATGTGGGTAGATCAGCTCGTTTCAGTATTTGTTTTCGAACGATTACCAATATCCTTTCTTATTCAATTTTCTCATGCTACCAATTATTCCTTTGAAGTTCCTCCTGAAATTTGGGGGGGGTTATTTTGGTGCTAATGCAAATAGGTGTAGTTTCTGTGTGATCATGACTGCTGATATTTAGCTCTGATGTCCTAGAAGTTTTGGATATTTCATGTAAAGAGGATTTTGATATATGTGTTATAGTCTCATTGTCTGTTCCCCTTGATAGGTTTTTTATGTTGTTACTAAAATGTTCACTGGTTAAATAACATAAAACCAAAAATCCCCATGGACTTATCTTTCAATGTTCTGGGTTAACGTTATATAGTTACTCAGCATTCAAGAGTTTCCCCATGTCTTCTCTATGAACGGAAGTTACTCTTTATATTTCTCTTTTTTATCAGCGGGTTCCTTTTGAAGGACTGGTTAATGACTTAGCAGATATAGTTCCAACTCTTTAAGTACATTGGGCGGACAAAGCCAAGGTCCCCATTACTAGTGTATTGCTGATTGGTTTTCTCTTGCCTATAGTAATTTGGGACACCTTTTATGCACTTGTAATTTTCTAGGTGAACCTTGCTGGTCTGTTGTTGCAAATACTCTAGATGATGTGGAGAGATTCTACAAAGAAACGATTGAGAATAGGTAAGAAAATGGTTGTGCCAGTTCTTTTTGGTCTTCCCAAAGAAATTGTATTTTTATTATCCTCTTTATTAAAAACCTGTTTTTTGAAAGCTGTTTTAGTTCGTCAAATGGTCGTATGTCTATGCTTGCATTCTCCAGATTTCTCAACTGGAAATTGATTTTTGTGAGGGGCGTAGTGCAGTCGATTAGTGGGGTTTCTGAGATCAGATTGAGTTATACTATGTGTACTCTGGAAATTTTCTCAAGGTTTCAATACTGTCTCTGTTAATATTCATGTTGCTTGGAGTTCCATTTGATTTCTATGTTAGTGCTTTGGACGAAAGTAACCAGCTTACACCTACACAGACTTTTATTGCATATTTTATGGAATGTTCATTTATCACACCTTTTCATTTGACCATGGTAAATATCACACCTGAGTTATTGTTTTCTTAGTTTTTCACATTCACATCCTTTCCACCAGCCGGTTTAAGGTATTTGTGAATCGTGTTTAAATTCTACACTCGTAGTTCGTTGACTCTAACTAAATTACAATTGAATTATGTACTACTACTTCAGAGATGAAGGAATTATTCTGAAAGACCTTGGTTCTAAGTGGGAACCTTCTGATCGAAGTGGAAAGTGGTTGAAGCTGAAGCCTGATTATATTCATGCTGGTGCTGATTTAGATGTTCTTATCATAGGTTTGTTATTGTATTATGTTCTTGATTTTTACATTCAATCCACTAGTTCTACATGTAACTGATTTTGTTTTTGATTTAAGGAGGATACTTTGGTTCTGGACGTCGTGGAGGACAGGTGGAGTTCAAGTGATTTCTTTTTGTGCTGTCTATTTCTTTTTTTTTTATCGGATGTTGACGTCTAGGTAGGGATTACTTCTTTGATGAGGTGCAGGTTGCGCAGTTTTTGATGGGTCTATCTGACAGTTCGACACCTGATACTCACCCAAGACGGTAGGCAATTTATTTTATTTGCAGGAAATGATCTTGTCCATGCTCAATACTTTTCTTTTTTTGGCCAACAACCAACCATGTGCCCTTACGGTCCCAAAACATACATTATGGAAAGGTTGATGAACTTACAGTTAAAAGTATGCCACTTGGGTTAATTTTTTAGTTTGGCGTCTGATGATACTAATTTTTGATTCATTCCTACTTCACATACTTATTAATAGATAAGAAAAACAGATTTATTTCATGAGAAAAACAGGGTTTAATGAAATCTTCTTACCTCTTGATCCTTATTGTTGACTTCAAGATTTTACGGATCAGAATTTGATGTAGATAATTGGTTGGGTTGCTTAATTGGCTCTACAGTCTCTTTCAATCAGAATAGCGAAACTAAAAGAAAAATTCTTCGATAAATTAGTTTATTCATGTCTACCGACCATGTGTTATGTCACGTACATAGGGTAAGAAGTATGCTTATGCCTATTCAAGTTTTGCAGTACACATTGGGTTCAAGAAATTCTTAATAAAGGATAAACTTGAAACTCACTGGAGAACTGAAAAGCATTAGTTATAATGTCTACCGATGTCTACATTGGTAGACCTTGGGAATCGCTATAACAGATCCTTTTTGAGTCTGTACATAGCTTTTATAGTTGAGATAAATGTATTTTAGGCATCAATATCTTTGTTGGACCTCAAATCTTACAACAGACATGTCTTGCTACACAAATGTTGCAAGGTACAAGGATGTCGTGTGGATCATCATGAATACCTAAGGAGACCAAATGCTATTTGTTAACTTATTGTTGCATCGATCAGCAGATACTTTGAGAAGCACAGTTCTCTTGAGTTTTTGATAATCTTTATCCTCTAAGGCCTATAATCCAAAAAGTATGTCTTAGCTTACCGTCCATATTTTCAAAAACAGCAGATATGGTGAATGGGCTTTTAAGGTATTAAACTTATACTGCGTGACAGTTAATCAAGGGTTTCATGAGAAGGATATAATTAAACAAACCTCCACCGTCAAATACCTTTCCATAAGAAGTATTCCTTTTTTCCTCCCTAAACGTCTCTAAAACATTTGATTTTTGATGTGTAAAAGATAAACTCATAAACCATTGCTTGAGGAAAGAGCAGTCCCCAATTGTGCGTTACAGGATTTGAGTTTCAGGGATACATTTCATGGTCGAGTTTTGAGTCAAGCGGCCAGGGTACTAGAGTTCTAGCCATTCCAGGTCTAACAATAACTGAGCTTAATATTAATGCTTCATGGATCTTAGTCGTTGTGGCAAAGCGCTGAAATGTGGTAATAGTATAAGTTGTAATCAGCTAAGTTAGTTTTTTTCAGGAGAGGCATTTTATTGCCGCAGATACGATCAGGCTTGATACTATTTCTACCTGTATTAAAGTTGAATCGCATGATGGTTAATTTTTCGAAATTTATTTTGCAGATTTATCTCGTTTTGTAGAGTTGGCAGTGGGCTATCTGATGAAGAACTTGATTCTCTTGTAAACAAACTGAAGCCATATTTCAGGTACATTAAGGAAATTTAATTTTCTATCTGATCATCAAATTACTTGACAATAGCCTCTTTTAAATTGCTTGTCCGTGGAGTTAGTGATGAACTGGTCTTTTGTTTCATCCTCCTAGGGTTCTATATTGTTGATATCCCTGCCGTTGAGTGTGAAGTCGTTTCAGTTTTCATGTGCTCATACTTTTTCAGAATCATGTTTGGTAGCACGGAAAATGCACTTGTATTTAGGGTGTAGAGGATCAGATTGTGCAGTTTGACTGGATAGATCATCTGATCCATGGTAAACTCAATCATGGTTAAAAAACCCGAAAAGATACTCATACGATTCCATGGTGGATATATATGATGAATTTTTATTACATCTATGTAAAATTAATAAATTTAATTCAGAAGGGCATAATAACATATGATTTGCAAAGGTTCCCACTCCCTATTGTCAAGTGTAAAAAAGGTGGTCCATGGGAGGGTGGTAGGCTGACCTCTGCTGGCAAGTTGGATTGGCAGAAGCCAATGACACCTCTTCATGATGGGATGATGGCAGATCCAGGTTTTCTTTGTCGTCTTTCAACTTTTTTCTATTCTTCTTCAAGCCACTGTGCCCATGGCAATGGTGGAAATGGTGGCAGAAAAAAGCTGAATCAGAATCTCCTTCAGCCCCTTATTTTCCAGGGGGGGAATCAGTTTGGAGACGGCCCATTCTCATTGGGATTGGCTGATTCCACATACCTGCTTGGATGATTTTTATGAGACATGTAGCTGCTCACCTACACTATTTCTATCTTCTCTTGTTTCTCTTCATACTCTTAGGGTTAACGTTCTCTTTCATTTGACACGATGTATTTTACTTCTTCTTATGAGATTTATTTTTTTCATATTCAGTGCCATTATGTGAGTCATAGTCAGTATATTATGTTGCAACTAGGGACTTTGAGTATCAAAATTATTCTCAGCAGCTTAATCCATTCTGATTGATTTCTGGTTTACAGGAAAAATGAGTATCCAAAGAAAGCTCCACGTTTCTATGAGGTTACCTACAATTCAAAGGAAAGACCGGATGTCTGGGTGGACAGTCCTGATAAGTTATCAGCTTTGCATGCACTGGACTTAATGACTGATTGTTGATGCATTTAGCATATAATCCATCTTTTATTTTGCAGATCAGTCATACTTTCTATTACTAGCGATATTCGTACCATAAAGTCCGAGGTTCTGTTGAAAAAATTGTCTTTTCTTTGGAATCATCGAAGCTCAGATCCATCTCAGGGATCTCAGTGATCTCAGTTGTTGTATTTTAGGTATTTGCTGCGCCATACAGTTTGAGATTTCCACGAATTGACCGTGTGAGATATGACAAACCCTGGCATGAGTGCCTAGACGTGCAGTGTAAGTTGCGTGGGTTCCTAAACAAGTTATTGTTACCATGTTCCTTGGCTGTTACTCTCATTATGTAACCTCATGCATTATAATCACAAAGATGTGCACATCATTGATGAGATGGAATTTCAGTTTGAATAGAACTGTAATTAATGGACACTCCTGACATCAACTAATGGGGTGTTTGGGTGAGGTAAGTTTCAATGAAATGCGACCGTTAGAATTTCGGAGCTCACACCTTGGAGTTACACAGGAGAAATGAGGAAAACCTTCTATAAAACAGCACGGCAGAATTCATTCACAGATGTATGGAAAAGAGTGGCAGCTGTTTCTTCTATGTGCTGTTAGAATTTTCTCTCTTTTTAGTGTCGTTTCTGTTGTGCTCTGATTTGGTGTCTATTGCAATCTATGAGGGAACCATGCGTGTAGTTTTTCTTATAAATGAGGTTTGACCGCCTCAATAACAAGATCTATGACGAAACTACAACAGCTGGATTTGACGCAAATGCCTTCTGCCAAAGATATATATATATATACTTTGCAGAAGCATCAATTCACAGTATCGTATGTTAAGATCTTGTAATGGGCACGATTATTGTTTTTTTTGTTAGATGTGCTACTCGGTGCTTATTGGTCTGCTGAGAGAATGCAAGTTACAGTTGTTAGCTACTGGTACTATTTTGCATGTATTCTACGCAGGGTCCCCCTCTAGGCTCTCAGCTCTATGCACAAGCTATGCTGCAAAGCTTTTTATGTATTCAATCTCAGCTCACCAAGGCTACATCGTAATCTGGTCCATCAATGAAAGGGCTCACACCGATCCCACTTTGCAAGCATGACAGTTGTTTATGTGGGGGTTAGAAAGCATGAGACTACCTCAGGTGAACGGAATGAATAGAGATGAGGGGAGATTGAATATGAGAGAGAGAGAGAGAGAGAGAGAGAGAGAGAGAGAGAGAGAGAGAGAAGGCTCAAAGAAACCTTAGAACTGCATGATATCATATCTCTTATTGCCCCGTTAGTTGTCTATCTGTGGAGACCTTGATTTGATTTTGTTATTGGTACGAATTTTAATACTATAATGCGGTGTTCATGGTTTCTTAACAAGATTGTTCTCTCTTAAACTGGACTTTTTTTATATTTTTTATCTCAGCTTTCGTCGACTTGGTACACTCCAGCCATGGCACCACACAGAGTGCACAGGATCGAGGAACTCTTCAAGAACACTCAAAACATGAGAAGGTTTCGAAAAAGGGGAAAAATAAAATTCATGTTGTTCCCCCCCATTTAACCAAGACTGATATCTCTGGCATTAAGGAGGAAACGCTTATATTTACGGACATGATGCTTTGTATCCGCCTGTCCCTGCCGTCCTATTGCTTCATATTTTTTCTTTGAAACTCGCGGACGAAAAAGTTTTCCCGTCATAGTTTACAAGCATCCTTGAACTCCCATTGGTAATCTATGTTCTACAGACTTTAGCTTGAACCTTTACGATTATATGCATCATTTTAATATGATCGCGTTTGTTTTCATGATGGTTATCTGTTATGATCTGTACAGTTAATATTGCTGGTGTTGTTCTCGGGGCCTAATTTCTGACTTGTGTTTTCATTCATTGGAGAATATTTTCCCTTGACAACTTATTTAGATTTTGTCAACATTCCATCATCCTCTTCCATCGACTATTTTCACAAATTGGTGGCTGAGAATGGAGGAACTTTCTCAATGAATCTGAATGACTCGGTTACTCATTGCATAGCAGCTGATAAAAAAGGTTCCTTTTTTTTTGCGTCTATTTTATTGAAAGTATAAGAAGAAATCCTTCCCGTTTGATAAACTTTGTTGCCTAAAAGCAAAATGGGTCATGAACTTAGCAGGGATCAAATATCGGGCTGCTATGCGACATGGAGATATCTTCCATTACTCTTGGGTTTTGGACTGCTGTGCTCAAAAGCGTCTTCTTCATTTACAGCCAAAGTAAATCTTGTATAATCGAGCACTTGAATTATTTTTACTACATTTGATTTACTTCCCGTACTAAATGGTTGTAGGAATGTTCTTTATTTTGAAGGTACTTCCTCTTTGTCTCGGAATCTTCGAAGAAGAAATTTCAAGAAGAGATCGACTCATACTCTGATTACTACTACTGGGATATCGATTTGTCGGACATTAAACAGGTTTTTCCCACCTTAAAATTTTCCCTGAAATGGCAGAGATTTGAGCGGTGGGTCAGTTTTGGATGCTCCAGTCATACATAAAAAATAAATCAGAGAGAGAAGGAGGTCTGTTCAATGAGGGGAAGATCTGTTCATTTTGACAGAATGAATGGTTAGTGGAGGAGGGTAACTCTTGCCAAGTTCGTACATGGGAATGAAAAAATAAAAAAAAATCAGTCGAAATCAGTACGCAGCAATGAAATTCTGCTGTTTCACCAAATGATTGTTTTCACTGTGCCTCAGTCAATGTAGCAATTAGTTACTCAATTCTCCATTAACCTCGTAGAGTAGGCACTTATTTTTGTAATCTTTGCATCTCAATTAGAGCTTTGTTGCCGGTTCCTCATGATCCTTTTAACATCTGCAACAGAATTTTAAGCGGGTATTTTTCTGGATTTGATGAACTAATCATACTCATAATTCACGGTTCCCTTGTTTTCATGGGCTCAAGATATTTGCCAACATGGCTGGATCAGGGGGCTCCTCAGATCTCTCCCGCCATCAGAACAAGTATTGCCCTTCCAAGAGATGGCGCCTGCTTCAGGATTGCCGCATCTTCTTCCACGAGGCATCCCCTGACATGTAAGAACCCTAACCCTTCCCACCCTCTCTCTCCCCTTTCTGTGCTCGCCATGGACCCCACAAACCCGGGAGGAGAAAGACTGGCTCTTATTGAGGCAAGGAGAGCTACCCAGCCCAAACACCATGCTCTCCAGAACAAACCCTACTTTCTGGACCCTCAATCCTGTCCAAAACTCTGGGAACGCCGAGTCAACTCCTTTTTGTCTGAAACTCTGGGTGGCCTATTTTTCCTCTCAGCATCCATGCCATGCCCGCTCTTTCTTTCTAACATGGTCATGCGGTTGAAGGGATGCGGACCACAGGGCCATATTGCAGCTTGCTCTGAGGCGGATGAAGCTCGAGGTCAACTGGCATGGCGGCCAAGTCAGCGGCGATCTTTCGGGAGCCACCCACTTGGTGGCCTATTCAGCGCCGCCGTCCTCTGAGAGGCTGTTTGGGACGATATACGACAGGTGGGTATGCTGCTTCATGGTGTTCAATTTAGTTCCTCCAGCTTTTAGGGAGCTTCTTCTTCTTCTTCTTCTTCTTCTTCTTCTTCTTCTTCTTCCTGCAGCTGCTCTCCAGGGGAGAGGCGCCTCCTCCACAGCCGAAGACTCCACGTGGTTGACCACAGCTGGCTGGAGGAATCACTAGTCAACGAGGAGAGACTGCCGGAAGATCATTTCAGCCTGAGACCCGACACCTTCGAGGGATTCGAGAAGACCAGGTATTGTGCAGTGCCTCTTCGTGTCCGTTTTCTTGGTCAAACAGATCTGGGAACCATCGGCGGCAAATTTGGAAACTTTTCTTCTTCTTTTTTTGTCCTCTGTAGTGCGTTGGTTTGGGGGCCTCCTCCGGTCGAGGGGGCGGAGGAACCCAGGAAGAGGGGAGGCGGCGACGCCAGGCCCGCCGCCCGAAGAACTCGCCGGAGGATGGTGACCTCGGCGGCTAAGGTGCACTCGGGCGAGTGGGAGGGGGACGACATTCTCCACGTGGCAGAAGAAAAGAGAGACAGCGTGGACGACCCTCTGCCTGCCATGTTGCAGCTACCCTCCTTGCAGGGGAACCGGAGCCCTAGCCCGGCCGGCGGCGCCAAGAGGAAGGTCAGCTACAAGGAGGCCGCCGCCCAGCTGCTCGGCGATCCGTGATCTGTTCGGTGGAATCTGAGCCGTCCGATTCTCCATCTCCAGAAGTCCACGTGGGCCATACGCTTATGATAATAATAATAATAGTGTTCCGTAGTCAGCCGATCTGCTCCAAAGCGTCGCCTTGTCGGGACGTTGTAGGTAGAGTTGACGATTTGTCGCTGGGCCCTACCACGTGGAGCGACGAGCTATAGGCCGTCCCTTTGGGATTTGGGGCACGTGAGGATTCGGCGCTATTTGGGCACGAGTTGTCGCTTCCTACGATTGCCACCTGCCGCAAATTATCACCGAAGAAATGTTTTTAAAATTAGATATTTTCCCCGCCTTCGATGATGCGGGGTCTGACGATACGGCACCTAATCTCCGTCGCTATTTTTAGGGCTGAAAGTCAATGCTGGCCCGAAGACCCGGGCTCGCCTGATGGGTCGTCCCCCTTTCTAAATCATGTATTCACATTCCCCGTAAATAACCCTTCTGACCCAACCGCCCCCGGCATCTGCACGGCAGACTCAGGTCTCAAGAGAGGAGGCGTTATTGAGAGAGAGAGAGAGAGAGAGGGAGTTATAAAGGGAGGTAGAGAGAGAGAGAGAGGGAGACAGAGGAGAGTTATAAAGAGAGACAGAGAGAGAGTTATAAAGAGAGACAGAGAGAGGGCCGGGAGGAGGACAACGGGGAGTGGAGTAGAAGGGATAGAGAGAGAGAGAGAGGAGAAGGGCGGTAGCGGAGATGGCGGCGGCAGTTGGGGAGGAGGAGTTCGACGTGATCGTGGTGGGCGCGGGCATCATGGGCAGCTGCTCCGCCTACGAGGCGGCGAAGCGCGGGCGGCGCGTTCTGCTGCTCGAACAGTTCGACTTGCTGCACCACCGTGGATCCTCCCACGGGGAGTCCCGCACCATCCGAGCCACCTACCCGGAACCCTACTACCTGCCCATGGTCCTCGAGTCCTTCAACCTCTGGCAACAGGCCGAGGCCGAGGCCGGCTACTCCGTCCTCTCCCCTGCCGCCTCCCAGCTCGACTTCGGCCCTGCCGGAGACAGCAGCCTCCGCCTCGCCGTCGACAACTGCCAAGCTGCCGCCATCCCCGTCCGCGTCCTCCGTGACCCCGCCGAGGTCTCAGCCCTCTTCTCCGGCGCCTTCTCCCTCCCCTCCGGCTGGATCGCCGTCCTCACCGACATCGCCGGCGTCATCAAGCCCACCAAGGCTGTCTCCATGTTCCAGTCCCTCGCCGCCCGCCGCGGTGCCGTCCTCAGAGACCGGGCCCAAGTCTCCGACATCCGCCGCAAAACTCCGGCGACCCACCACGGCGGCGGCGGCGGCGCCCTCATCAGGGTGTCCACCGCCGACGGGCGGAGCTTCCTGGGGAGAAAGTGCGTGGTCACCGCCGGCGCTTGGATGAAGAAACTGGTGCAAGCCGTCGCCGGCAGGGTGCTCCCCATCAGTCCCCTCCACACGACCATCTGCTACTGGAAGATCAGAGAGGGCCACGAGAAGGACTTCTCCCAGGAGGGAGGGTTCCCCACCTTCGCGAGCTATGGTGACCCGTACATCTACGGGACGCCGTCGATGGAGTTCCCGGGGTTGGTGAAGATCGCCCTCCATGGCGGGTACGCCTGCGACCCGGACGAGAGGAACTGGGTGACGGAGGTGGGGCTGCTGGAGAAGACAGTGGTCCCATGGATTAAGGAGCTGCTGCCGGGGAAGATCGAGGGGGACAAGCCGGTGATGACGCAGTCCTGCATGTACTCCATGACGCCGGACGGCGACTTTGTGATCGACTTCCTCGGCGGGGAGCTCGGAGAGGACGTCGTCATCGCCGGCGGCTTCTCAGGGCACGGATTCAAGATGGGCCCCCTGGTGGGGAGGATCCTCGTTGACCTGGCGCTGGACGGAGCGGCGGCAGGAGTTGACCTCCGCCATTTCCGGCTCGACAGGTTTGATGTCAACCCCAGAGGGAATCCCAAGGAGTTCGACGATCAGGTCGGTTCTCATGCCCCCCCGGGCCAGTAAGAAAGAAAGACTGGCTCACCACCGCCACCACTATTCCCCTCCTCTCCCTCTTGTTCTGTGCTTGAATAATAATCTCTCTCTCTCTCTCTCTCTCTCTCTCTCTCTCTCTCTCTCGCTACAATCAGTCCATCTCTCAGCTTGTGCGCTATTCGAATGTCAATCGTGTCTCCTCCTGTGTGAGAGGTAATGTGTAAAAACCTCGCTCCTTTCTGAGGAAATGAATGCACGAACATCCACCCATCCCGCCGCCGCCGGCGACTCCTCGGCCGCGAGTTCTGACCAAAGTCCGGAACTACGGCATCGATTCTCACCAAGATTTCCACGCTCGAAAGAGAACAATCAATCAAATGGGATAACATGACATCAGATCACGTTACATCAGTTGGGTCGAGCAGTTTCTATATCAGATGCCACGCCGGAGCCGAATCGACTGTCGGCCTCAAATCTGACGCTGACCTCCACACCCAACTGCCCTCCAATCCGCAGCCGCGAATGATGATCTCGCCTTCTGAGTTAACCCCCCCGCCCGAGGAAAATTACGTAAGCCACACGATTAGTCTACTGCCGAGTGACGGCTACCTGATGGACCACTTTAAGGTCAACCGTGGACCGCGAGAGGGGGGAAGGTTTTGGGGGATGGGATTGTGGGCAGGGGGGGTGCGCCAGGCTCATGCAGCGGTGCAACGCGAAGGCCAAGTAGGCCCTCCCCCAACGAGGAACTAATTTAATATAACGTGGGCCGATGGCCCACGTATCAGATATTAAACTGGTAGGAACCAAATACTGCCCTTTCAGCCAAAAGGCAGAGAAAGGTATGGAACATAAGATTAGGGAGTGGGCATGTATTTTCATTCTGGATTTTTCTCGTGCAGTGCATTGTACTGATTCGTATGGGACTAAAGTAAGACCATGCCACCCCGCCTAACGAACAACATCACATCAGCAGGAGCGCCCATCCCCCGTTCATTTTCAGAGGAGCTTCATGGAGCATCAAAACTTCCTTTTTTTCTACGAAATAAAAGACGCTTTTTTACCCTTTTTGCTCGGGTTTTTTCGTCGGCTTGATGATCTATGCAACGTTAAAGTACCTCTTTTTTTTTTTTTTTTGTTTAGTATCAGAAAACATCAGTCATCCCTTCACGACCCAGCCACCTCAGGCTCATACATCTGTCAGAAGACGTGGACCCTTTATGGTCCACAAGAAAAAATTCTATTTTGGGTAACTCAAAATGCCTCGAATCAAGGAAAAGCTTGTATCTTTATTGAATGAAAAATAACCCATCTCAGGCAAGATATCAACAGAAATAGACCCTCAAGTGATAGGCAGAAGAGCAAGAGGGAGGGCAATTTTCTCACTGTAAATTGTCCGACGAGTCCTCACCAGGTCACTGACCCATAAATGCCCCTAAGAAAATGACACAGAAAAGCAAGCCCTCACTGCCCATAATGTATACTACTCCCTGTGCCCACTCGAGGTTTCAAGTACAGTGCTCTCTGTTGCAGCCCATGGCAGCTACTGAGATAGGATCATTGAAGAAGCCCCTTGGCACGACATTAGTCAATGCATTTTCCCTTGTCTCGGTCTTGATTCGGGTGATCTTGAAGAGATTGGAAGGAAGGGAACTCACAATCCGCCACCCTTCATCTGGTGGTCTGTGGTGAAGCATCAACCTCCTCTGTGCTGCTCCTGACCTCTGTGGGTTTGGCCTGGGCTCTGCTCAGCATTACCTCACTGAATTCGGTCGTCCTCCGCAAGCCCCATTTGTGAATCCTGGGGCAGATCAGAGTAATATCATTAAATGGCATTACTTCGAGCACCGTGAGAAAATGGATGAATAAAACTATAAAAAGTGGAGGATGGAGATGTTGCCTCAGTTACAGCAGAAGCATATTCGTTGGAGATAGAGGACGAGATAGTGAAGAACTTAGCGAGAGAGAGAGAGAGAGAGAGAGAGAAGAGAGATCATACCCCAACCCCATGTTCCTTCAGAGGTTCTGTTATCACGGCGCCCCCTACTCCCCAGGCATGATGGTGGCAGTGAATGCTCCTCCAACTCCCTGAGCCTGCATCGTAACAACACAGAGGATATCTCTCTGGTCAACTTCCAATCAAGTTCGAAAATATCCTAACATTAGAGAAAGAGCTGATAAAATATGAAACCAGCGAGAAAACGGTACAAACTGCGAACCAATTCGCGCATGAGATGATTATTTCTGATTGTTTGTTTCGTAAAGGGAAAGAAACACAATCTCGATGACTAAATAAAACGGTCACAATTCCAACGAAGAGAGTTTCAGGACGCCACAAGCCAATCCTCCCTGTGATGGGGCCAAAGCCCATTTATGGATGAGGCATGTTCATCTAGTAATTGCCAAATAAACTATCCACCTACTGGTCAGATCAATATGGAGCAGCACACGTAGATGGGGAACAGCTTACCATGCACCAAGGAATCTTGGTCATCTCTCATTATTGACCTTCTGCTTTGTAGGCTCTTGGCTTGAAGACCCCCTCGGCCATCCTCCCAATTCAGATAGATGGGAGATGAGCAGCTTGCCTCACTGAGGAAAGTGATTCGTCAAGAATGCTTTCCAGAGTTCGCCATGACATGTTTCAGGGCATAGGAAGCTTTCTGCAGCTCGCCTTTTGAGCAAAGAGAAGCAATCACAGGGTAGTACAAGTCAAAGTCGTGGAATTCGGATCTGCCGATCAGATCTTCAACATCCTCCGTCCCTAAACCTTGTCCATCTCCCTTGCGCGAAACGAGGTCCGAATGACATAGTTTTGGGGTCCTAAGGCCCAGGTTAGTTCTTCGATCATCTTCCTCCGAAAATTCCTGGACAGGTGATGAAAGATCCTCCCTGTCCAGGTTCTCAACTCTGTTACCCATAGATAAATCTTCATCCCCTTTATATGACCTTTTAAGAGCAGCCCTCCTACAGTCACCAATGAATCTCCCAATAGGGGAGGTAAACGATCCGACCTCACAGAGTACCACGATGGCCTCATCGATTCGTCCCTGCTCGCATAGAAACGCGAGGGAGCCCAGTAGCGATCCCCCTTCAATCTCAATGTTGGGCTTATTTACGATGTCTATGATGGATTGACACTGAAGCATATCCCAAAGGATGGATCTCGCTTCCTCCAATCTTCCCTTGGCACGGAGCCCTTCAATCAGGAGCAAAAAGCCCAGGAAATCCAGGGCGATTCCCCTTCTCTTATAGTCTGCATAAAATCCCAGGGCACCTTCCATGTCGCCCAGCACGCAAAAGCCATTGACCAGAGAGCTGACCGTGAAAGGATCCGGCTGCATGGAGGTCTCCTCCAACTGCTGAAGGAGCTCCATGGCCTCTTCCACAGCCCCAAATCTGCAATACCCATTTATCAATATGCTGTAAACACGAAGATTTGAAGGTATGCCACTGCTTATCATTTTCTCAAACAGCTTCCTTGCATCTGTCAGATGCCCTTCTGTAGCTAAAGCGTGGATGAGAGTAGCGTAGGTGACCACAGTGGGGGTCACATCATTCGGTCCCATTGCATCAAACATCCTCAAGGCTTCAATCAGACACCCCTGTCGACAAAGACCATTAATTACTGAATTATATGTAAAAATGTTAGGCTCTAGACCTAAATCTCTCATCCTTGTGCAAAGCATTAATGCCTTCTCCAGATGTCCTTCTTTGCACAGTCCATCGACAACAATGGAGTAGGCGACCACATCAACGGCCATGCCATTTTCTTTAGCTTCCACAACCAGTTTGTATGCTTCTTCGATTCGGCCCACCCTCTTCAGGGATTCAACAATCGCTGTGGAGACACAGTAAGATACGTCCCTCTTTGCCATCTGATTGAGAAGCCAAAGAGCTTTCTCCACATTTTTCTTGCATAAGAAAAGGATCAGCACGTTTATCACTCTGGGCTCTGAAAATCCATATTCTTTAATGCATGAGTTCACCACCAGTGAAACCAGATCGAGCTGTCCATTGCGCCAAAGGGATTTTATAAGCAAATAATAAGACTTCACAGTAATAACCCAGTTGTTTCTTCTCGCCAATATGAACAACTCCTTTGCAATCTCACAGCACCTCTTGTTGCACAAGAAGGCCATGGCATCATTACATACCGAAGAGAGCAAATCGGGTTGCAAGAGCCCATCCAAACTGCCCAGCAACTTCATCACCCCTACACCTCGATCTTCCTTATATCTTGTTTTGATCAACATCCGATGTGCGCCGGGCCCAAGAACAAGACCTCTCGAAGTGAGCCGTATAAAAACCTCGGTTGCTGCTCCTGGCATGCCTCCCTTGCAGAGTGCTACAATTATACATCTGAAACCAGCAAGATTAGGCTCTAAAACAGTCGAAACATACTCATCGATCACCTCCAGCGCCCCATCAACCATCCCTAGTTTACAGCAACCATTGATGACTGACATGAAGGTGGCAGAGTTGGCGGCCAGACCCATCTCAGGCATTCTCCGGAACAGCAACAAAGCGTCCTCGAACATTCCCAGAAAGAAGTAAGCACTGATGATTATGTTACACCCAACAACATCCATGGGCGTTTTAGCTTCCTCCATCCTGTTCACAATTTCCAGGACCCCTGGTTTATTCATTTCTCTAAGGTATCCGCATAATAATGTACTAAAGCCTATAATATCACCATGGAAACATGTTGATAACTGGTTCGCCCTTGTCATATTCCCCAATTTACACAGACCATTGATCACAGTATTGTGAGTCACGGTCCCCATTTCAACCCCCTTCTTCTCCATTTCATCGAGAAGTTTAAAAACCATCTCCAAATCTCCTTCCCTACACCACCCGTTGATCAAGGTTGAGTACGCAAATTCATCTACAGGAAGCCCAAGCTCTTCGAGCTTCCTCAGTAAACTTGTCGCCTCCTTTAGCTTCCCTCTCTTGCAGAAACCCTGTAAGATGGACGTGTAGGTGATCAAGTTGGGTTCAGCCCCATTGGCGCTCATCATGCCCAGTAGACCGATCACCTTCTCCACATTACCCTCTTTACAGAACCCATCAGCAAGAATGCTGTAATTAACGACATCCGGCTTAATTCCCCTGTCTACCATCAGCTTGTGCTTGGCAAGAGCTTCTCCCACGGCTCCATTATTTACGTACCCCGAAGCCCAGCAGCCATAAAGAAAAGCATCCGGTGCCACCCCCTTGTCTTCCATCAGCTGAACCAAATCAGAAGCCTCCTCGATCTGCCCGCCTCTCAACAGAGCGTCCAGAACAGCCGTGTAGGTCATCAAGTTAGGCACAAATTCACGATTTTTTCTGACGTTCTCGAAAAACCCCAACCCCAACTCTGGCTTGCCCACTTTGCAGAACCCGGAAATTATTGAACTACAGACGTAATTGTCGATGGGGTAACCGACCTCCGCGGATATCATCGTCTCCACCACCTCGATTGCTCTATCCATCCTCCCTGCAGAGCTAAAAGAGAAGACCAACGAACGAAATGTGTGCTGGGAAGGGCACGCAGCATTGCTCCTCACGCACTTCAGCAGCAACCCGAAGCCCTTCTCGGGGTCCTTCCCCACGACGCAGACCCCTTGGATCAGAGCATCCCAGAGACCCTTCTTGCGTGAGAGACGCGATTCTTTGCCGCCGGCAATTCGACCCTCGGACTCCTCGAACCTCCCTGTCTTGAGGAAGGCGCGAACGACGAGGTTATCGGCGAAGGAGTCAGTCCAGACCGAGTTGGACGTGACCTGGGAGAAGACGTGGAGCAGCAGCCGGTACCTTCCCGCTCGGAGGAGCGACGAGAGGAGACGATTCACCGACTGGACAGTGGGACTGAATCCGCGCTTCAGAAGGGTTTGCATTCTCCTCCTCTCCTCCCCTTCAGTGGGGCATTGAGAGAGAGAGAGAGAGAGAGAGAGAGAGAGAGAGAGAGAGAGGGGGAGGGAGTTTCTGGTGCTTGGAAGGCGTCGAGACCCCAAACCGTGGAAACTCTGGTTCCCAGCATCAATAATATTGGGCCATTTTATAGACCGGGGAGATGTCCCAGTAGGCCCATTTATCGGCCCATTTCCATGATGGACTTCTTTGAGTCAATCGCCACGTGTCGGAGGCTGGCAACCCATCCCTGTAAAGCCCGGGTTTTGACAAAAAAGAAGAAAAAAACAGGTGGTATGCTGTCCTCCTGCACATATAAATAACATGGTCCACTCCGCAGCCGTTCGTGAGCGCCAACTCAGATCGACCTCTATCTTGGCGGCTTCCGCCGCATCCCACATGGATACGGTAACGGGAGCAGTTTGCATGTTATCGAAACAGACAGAGCCCATTAAGAAAATCCGCCAAAAGGTAGCGGTGGGGGTGGGCGTAAGGGGGGGGGAAGATGAAAGTCAACGCCCGATGGAAGGATTTGAGGCTGATAATCCCACCCCCGTCATTCTTACGAGCGAATGGGTCCTCCCCCCTCCCTCAGCTCCTGAGGCTTAATCAAATAAAATCCTTGCGAAGAAGGCTCAAGAGGAGCATCAAATCCGGCGGCGAAGTCAAAGGGCCGACGTGGGCCACTCTGCGGCGGCGCTTTCTTATTATCCTGCCGACCGAGTCCCTGCCTTCTCTTTTCTTCTTCTTCTCCTTCTTCACAGCTTCTCTTCGTCTTCAACGCAATCCAGCCCCCTTTTGCTCTCTCTCTCTCTCTGGGCTGCAATTTTTTTGAGGAGAGGAGAAGAAACGGGGAATGGGGTGCGTGTTCTCGTGCCGCTCCGGCGCCGCCTTCGAGGGGGTGAGGCTGGTGCACATCAACGGGTACGTGGAGGAGTTCCCGGGGCCGGTGACCGTCGACGAGGTCACCGGAAAAGCCCCCAAGCTGTTGTGCTTCACGCCGGCGCAGCTGCTCTCCTTCAGCGTCCGCCCTCTCCCCGACGACGAGCGCCTGCTTCCCGGCCGCCTGTACTTCCTCCTCCCCCCCACCGTCCTCCAGTCAGACACCTCCCCAGTTGACCTCGCCGCTCTCGCCACCCGCTTGTCGGCGCACGCTCGGAGCGGCGGCGACGCAGCCGCGGGCGGCGCCGCCAGGTCCAGGGCGAAGAGCGGCCTTCTTCACTCCGACGAGGTCGGCGCTGCGCCGGCGGCCGGAATGATGGCGGAGGGCGGCGGCGAGGATACGCGGGGCGGCGGCGCCGTCGGGGGCATCGGCGGGCGGATGACCGCCTCGCGGGCGCGGTGGTGGAAGCCGGTGCTGGACACGATCGAGGAGAAGTCGTTCCGCCGGTCGCTGATCGACGAGATGTCGGTGGGTAGGTCGTCGGGAGGGGAGAGGTCGCCGCTGAGCAGGGCGGCGGCGGAGGACGCGAGCAACCGGAGTAGGGCGGCGGCGGAGGACGCGAGCAACCGGAGTAGGGCGGCGGCGGAGGACGCGAGCAACCGGAGTAGGGCGGCGGCGGAGGACGCGAGCAACCGGAGCAGGGCGGCGGCGGAGGACGCGAGCAACGGGAGCAGGGCGGCGGCGGAGGACGTGAGCAACGGGGGCAGTGGGACGTAGGCGACACGGACCGGTGAGTTCCGGACGACTCGCTCGGTTATAACTCAACGACTCGGGCCGCTTTCTTCATGTACAAAGCCGATTCCTCATGCCACGACCGGGTTCCTTCCACCGATTCAACGCAATTTCTTCCCGTCGTTGGCCCTCTTCATTTCCTCGTCACGCACAGCGAGCTAGAGAGAGAGAGAGAGAGAGAGAGAGAGAGATGGGGGTTTTGCACGTGGCCTCAGAAGGAGTATCCGAACCACCCGGGCGGCCCTGTTGACGGGCTCTGCCCATCTTCCACGCGTGACGACAGGACACGCCACCCTGCAGTACGTGCCAATTACTTAAAATTGACGATCTGGGCGGAGGTCAACGACGATCCTCTCTGAAAGCGTTGGGGCCAACCAATGGGGGAGGGGGGTGGCCTTCCACGCAACCCCCAAAAGGCCGACATCCGAGGAATTGAGGCTGCGAATCCCATAGATCCGATTATATATAAAAAAAAAGACGACGGAGGGTTGGGTTGCGTGGGCAATTAAATGACGATTTAGGTTTTGCAACCTCTGAAAGGGGGCAAAGTATGTGTTTAGTCATCATCAGCTGTTCTTCAGCAATCGTAACTAGTTTACAGCAATGAACCATAATATGAACGACTAAAACAGATTATGCCTGGGAATTTTAATATTAATTTCACAGATGGGGATGGGGCTTGGGAGCCTGGGAATCTACTTATCGGCGTGTCTGCTACGCTTGGGCCTGCGATGGGTCTGGTTCGCCGGCGGACTCGGGACTCTCCTCCTCGGCTTCTTGCTGCGGAGAGGAGGGCAGAGACAACATCCGGAATGATCATCTGGGAGAAATGAGATGAATACACACGCGCGGAGGCCCTACTAGGCCGGCATGCCGTGGAGATCAACTACTACTGACCGGAAGATTGGCGCCAAGAGTTGGAACGCCACGAAGATGGGGAGGACCAGGGAAGCAGATGCCTGCAGGAAACGCTGGGTCAACAAGAGGAGGAAAAGCTGAAGAAGTAGATACATCAATAGTGAAGGATACACACAGCAAACCACACGAGCTCCTCCGTCGCAAGAGCTCTCGTCAGTTCATGTCTCAGAAGAGTATCCTTGACAACAGTTTGGATCTGCGATCAAAGGAAGCATATGTATATCTCAACGGTTTGGACCACCCCATTCAGTGCAGTTCAAAAAACTAACTTCCCGGAAATTAATGAGCACGTTTTTATTTTACAATCTGAATATTCAAAATAAAATACTAAAAAAGGGAGTTAAATTTGTGTAGGATATGAGCACAAAGAAGAGGATTAATAATAATGATGATAATAATAATAACGATAGTACATTCAGTCATAGCCATATGACATAAACATCAAAATATGTTAAGATATATACATTCATTCCATCGAGTAACAGAGCAGACAGACCTGCCGATGGTATGTTGTCGCTGATCTAAGAAATTTCCGGTAAACACGGGCAGCTTTCTTTGTGTATGGCTTTAAAAAAATGCGTGTTTTTTCCACATGAGGCCTGGTGATTGTCGCAACTTGATCAATATAAGGCTTGGAGAACTTCTTCACATCCTACAACCGTATGGCCTTCTTCATTAGATGAATGAAAAATGGCGATAATAGGCTTCCCGTATCTGATTTGACGATCAGGGTCGTGTAAGCAAGCCAAAGGTAATGTTTTAATCACATAAGATACCTGCAAATAAGGGTCCGCCGCTTCTTGCGCCTTAAGAAGATGGGGCTTGAGAGAGGTTTCATAGAGCTCAACAGTTCTGGTAGCTGCCGACCGTGCATAAGGTTCGACAGAGGTCCTGACGATCACCCAACGCTCCTTCAAAATGGGGATCCATTTCTGCACAAAACAATGCAGAAATGAGAAGGCGAAGTCAGTTGGATCATTAGAATCCGCCAATAAATAAATAAAATCAGACACTAATTAGTGAATAAAAGGAGACCGCTAGCAGAACAAGAGGCAACCATCAGACCAGAGAGGAGCTCTTGATCAAGAAAATAACTCCAGCGCATAAACCCAGAAAATGAACGAAACTTTCGATGATGATCACATCGGTGAGATCTTATCGAGGATGAAAAGACAACGCCTGAACATGCAGTGAAGGGCAGGCGAACATGCACTTGATGTAACTCACAGTTTTAGCCGTCTCCACGTGGGGCCCAATCTTCTTTTTGGCCTGAGACGATACTTCCAACACCTGTAGCGAGTAAAGTATCTTATAATGCTGGACTTAAACAGGTCATCAAAATGATATTTCCGTAATGTGTCCCAGAAGGACAAAATTGTGATGACAAGCACCTTCTGAACAAATATATCATAAGCAGGTTTTCCATGGTTGCTCCAGTGAGCCGCTGCCTTAGCCTGAATGCGGAAACAGAAACTGATCAAGGCAAATCAAAATGCTAACACGTGCTATCAACTGACAGTCTAGATATGAACATACCCTATAATGAACTACATGATCCGCAAGCCAAGGAGGCAGCCATGCTCCATGAATCTGCGCAGTATTGACAAATACCAATGGATGAATTCTGAAATCGACCAGTAAAGGACTAAATGACAATCACAAACCATAAGATCATAAGCTTTTACGGATAGTATGACATACTCGCAATATACGATAGGACACAACCCTTATTTACTGGTCAGCAAACGATACGCTTCTTATTAACGAAAGAAAAATAAATGAGAATCCATCATCAAGAGCACAGATCATTTTGGAATGTATGTAGAAAAACGAATTAGAAAGGCTTCGACTCATGAACCAGAGGATGGATTCACAGAGCGAAATCTGGACCAGACCTTGGGTAAGTTTAACAGCCAGACGAATGACAAAAGAGGAGATTCTAGACCATGGAAATTCTGGGAAATGAGGCCCAGATTTATGAAAATCCAGAAATACCAGTTCAGTGATTCCTCTCTTTAATCTCAACAGTGGAGAAACCTCCAAAATGCTGCCTACACTGAGAAACCAATGCTGACAAGGAGTGACGAAGTCAGTACGTAAATAGTCTCCTCCAGTGTAACAGGATGTAAATCGAGCTAGAGAGTTTTAAATATGGTAAAGAAGAAAGAGAACAAAAAAGAAAAGTATTTGGTTCTAACAATACGTCATCTCGTGCAACAATGGACAAGTGCACAAGCATGAACAACAGCTTTGACCATCCGCAAGTTTTCTCTACAGCATGGCATCACGTGCTAAGGAGTCATCCTATTGACCTTGGAATTATCTACTAGATAAATCGAGTAATCCCCAACGAAAATAGGTCAGATTTTAAACTGTTCGGCTCCCTGAAAAGTTCCTTATGCCCACCATAAGTAAGCACCGCCTTGAACAACGAGCATTATACATACAAAAAGGAATAAATCAAATATAGGAAAACTGAGAACTCACTTTAAGAGATAAAAAATAGAAGAACTTTTTAAAACATAATTCTGCAAGAAATCATTTTTCACCAGACTAGAGTTGAAAACTATAAATAAAAAAATAAGCAACAGTTAGTGACGCAAAACCTTTCTCACCTCATTCAACTCTTTTTTCTTTGATGACGCTTCCAACCGTACCTTCATCAACTCTTCCTAACATTTTTTTACAAAGGAACTCAGGAGAGACAAAACATGTCAAAAAGAAATGTAACATAAGACTTATTATAAATTAAAAAGGCACCTCAGCGACTTTCAAGGCACGTTCGATTTTTTTAATTCTCTTTTTTTGTTCATCATTTGCGCTCTGAAGCTGCAAATATCAAAGGACGAACTTTCAGAAAAACGGTCAATTGGTAAAAGATTAAAAAAAAGGACTGTGAGTGCCACAAAACTTGAAGTTGGCCTTTTGCATTCTTTCTCTCCCATGTGCTATTCAAACAATTTTTTTTTAGTAATCAACATTCGACTTCTGTCATTCATTCATTCATCTAAAAGAAGCAAACTAAATTCGGGAATGGCTTTTGGAGTACTGCATCAATATTTGTTTCATAAGAACTGTCACAACCAGTGCCTAAGCAATTAATAAGAGGTCCTCAGCGACGGAAGGCTACTTGTTACTCAATAAGCTCTAATATTTAATTAATAGAAACTAATCGAGAGTAAATATATATGGCTTATAAAACGAAAAAATTACAGTCACTGAACAACTACAAATGCAGCCTAACATTGTAGGGAAGGAGCAGAAATCCACAAATAAATTTAAAGATATGCTATCTGGCTTATATATTTCGGAAATTTTCATAATAATAGACGCTCACATTTTCTAATTTCAAATTCAATTCCTCTACTTTCCTTTCGGCCTCAATAGCCCTAGTTGCCAAAGCACCTTGCTTCTCGTTCTGTGCATGTGTATCACTTCTAAGATCTTCAAGCTACAAAGAAAATTGATGTCAAGAGCACGCCAACTTCAGTAGGAACATCAGTGCGATTCTTTCTTTAACTGACCTGCTTCTCAAGCTCAGCAGTTCGGGCGTGAGCTTTTCCTAGTAACTGTGCAGCATCGGCAGCACCCTTTTTGTGAAGAAGATTGAGAACCATATAATCACGCGGCCTCATAAACAAACATAGAGCTTGAAACAATAATCGTCTAGGAAGATCACCTGAAGAGACTCAATCTGATCTTGCAAGGAAGCAACGCTATGCGTCTTCTCTTTGATGATTTTCTCGAACAGCAAAATGGATTCGTCCTTAACCTTCAATTGCTTTTCTCCTTCGGCAACGCTAAACTCTTCAAAATGCCGGAAAAAGACCAGTCCAGGTGTCATTACAAGTCCAAGGTATCATCAGAAAACGTCAAGAACTTCCCTGCATTTATAATCCATGATTTTCATTCTGCTTCTCAAACGAGCTAAAGCTAAGCCTATATTCCATGACTTTCTTCCAATAATTTACCAAAGTATAACACCACCAGAAACAACTTACTATTCACTGCGTTAAATAAAAAAACATCAAAGAAGGCAAAAACTCTCGATCAGAAGCAACGGCAACCGCGGTTCAAACGTTAATGTCCCCTAAACCCTAAACAATCAAAGAAACGGGACCGGAATGGATAAAACAGGATCGAACTGACCTAGGGAAGCAATTTTCGACTTCAGCTTTTCCAATTCCCGCCTAAGCGGCGACGGATCCTCCGGGACCTGGGGATCCACTCCCTCATCGACGATCCCGGAGTCCGCCCGGACCCCGGCGAGTCCGAGGGAGAAGACCAGCAGAAGCAAAAGAAGCTTCGAAGCCATCACCACCACTCTGATCTTCTAAAGCGTACGACCTCGGGGATGCTCACCACCCCCACCTCCAGATCTCGGCGGCTTCCCTTCCTCCCTCCAACTGTCGAGCTTCGGAGAACCCCACGGGGCCGGTTAGCGAGACAGAGAGAGAGAGAGAGGGAGAGAGGATCGTGGAGCGTAGAAGAGGTCGCAAATTTATCTGAGGGCACCGAAGAAGGATCTCTGCTCAGGGCGGGCACGTGGCAGACCTAAAGAACACGTAAGTTCATCATCCGACGGAGCGACGGAGCCGTCTTTTATCGGATGGCTGGTGATGGACGTTCCAGATGGGTCGAAACGATTCGGCCAATGGGTCCCACGATCCGAATGTCCTCACGAAAGTCGATTGGGTATTCTGACCCGTCGTTCAGCTACTGGTCCCACATCTGCTACCTCCGCAAGATTAAGTGAGGTGATTAGTTTCTAATTACCCCATCACAGAATGGAACATCGTCTAATTACACCCACCGACAGCCTGTCTCTATCTCTCTCTCTTTCTCTCATCTGACCCCATCACAGCACACTCGTTGCACTCGGCAGTCTCTCTCAATACTCTCTCTCTCTCTCTCTCTCTCTCTCTCTCTCTCTCTCTCTCTCTCTCTCTCTCTCTCTCTCTCTCTCTCTCTTTGCCACTTAATGCCCTTGTGATGGGCCTGGCTATTGGTCTTGATATAATCAGCCCATTATCAGGCCACCTCTTACTTTGTGAATTTGACTAATTATGAGAAAGTTTTATATTACCAACTTCTGACTTTTCTATACTTTCCTATCAATTAAAATATTTCTCATAGGTATATATGCCTTGGACATTCATGTTAGTATAAGTTTACATCTTTAAAATATTTCTTCAGAATGATATGTGAATTAAACAAGAATCCATAAAATATGTTCTAAATCTATTTGATATTTCATTCTACCTAATTACACTTGACCTTTGTTAATATATTATTTCCTATTATTTGTCTTTGATTAATGTACACAAATTAAGTATTAATAGTTGTGGAAGAAGTTATGATAGATCTAATTATGGATAGGAAAGACATGCTGGTGGAAATAATTAAATTCAGAAATCAAACTATAGAATGATGTAATGTTGATTTTGTAAAAAGTATTGACACTTTGAAGCATATTATTGGGACAAGAAAAAATAACAAGAAAATATTGGAAAACAGAGTTCTAATTCAGTGTGTAACTTTTGTAGGAAGCATGGCTATATTGAAGCAAATTCTTAAGATAAAAAAAGAAGCAAGTAAATATTTTTTGAGAAAGTGATTAAAATAATTTGTTTCTTAGGAATACAACTTTAATTACAAGTCAATCAAATACCTAGTTTGTCGATAGCAGCTATAACAACTATATGACAAAAAAAATAAATTTATTTTAGAATCTCAATACATATATGAAATGTGAAATTGAAATTAGTGATGGAAATAGTGTAAAAATCAAAAGTATGGAACCATAAATGTTCATAAAAAAATAGGTACAATACAAGAATACTAAATGCTTATTTTATTCTAAAGTTAGTACACAATTTACTTAACATTAATTAATTTATGGAATATGATTATATTGTTGATTTTAAAGATGATAAATGTGTTATTAAGCATTAGAAAAAAGGCATCCCTCCTTTATGGATTCGTAAGGTCAAAAAAATGATGTTTTTTCTTGATATTTCAAGCCTTATTTATTTGGGATAATTATTAATGATAATGATAATTCTTAACTTTGGTATTTACATAATAAATATTTAAAATTTAATAATATAGAATTATTAAATCATATGGTTTCTAGTGGGTTCAATGTGGCAAAGTAAAACATTAAGAAAGACGGTGAATTAGTTTCCTATGATTTTTGTTCTATTATTCTATTTTATCTATGAGTGTATCTATTAACACAAGTTCTCACACAACTTTTTTATGTGAGTATAAGTTTACTCATATCCCTCTCCTACTCTACATGGATTCACTCAGTCTCTTTCTATCTCTCATCACTACTAAGAATATAAAGAATTTTTATATTGATTCAGCCCTCACTAAACTATGTCTAATCTCAAAGGATCCTTCTTACTGAAGTTTTTTATTTATTTTTAAAAGTAAAACTAATTTTATGAGATTAGTGGCTCAACCAATAAGTTTTTATCTCCATAGATATCACACCTCTCATGGGTAGAGCTTGACTCTTATCACCACATGTCTAAGTCAAACAGACTAAATTTCTTGAAGACCACACTTTTTATAGGCACTAATTGACTCTTAGGACCTCATGCCTTAGCTCATAAACCTCTTAACTCACCACCTAGGTTATCTTAAGACTTGATGGAAAGAGTCAACTTTTGAGATAATTGTTAATTTGATTCACTAATGTAGAATAAGTCTTATGGTGAAGCTTTCAACTATTTCTTTGAAGTGTATAGTAACTTTGCTTTGATGTATGTAATATGATCTACTCTTGAACTTGAATCAATGAGGTTGATAAATGTCTTCGTTCAATATTAGTTTTAATTCTTTATAAATTTATTCATTTTATCCTCCAATGACTATTTGTCTTTTCATCACCTGAAAAAAATCACATAAATTTGAATTTCTTCATATTGCTCTTCTAACATGTCAATGACCTTTAAATTTTCTTTAATTCAAATATTTTTATTATTGTATAAGTTGTCCTTGATATATTTTCTAGAGATACACAATAGATCCATGGACATTTCTGTTTTCAAAGTCTTGCTCAAATACATTTGTTGAGCTTATTATTTAATCCATATATTTTGTTGATATACTACCATCTAAAATCTATGCCTCTAACCTTCTATCATTCTTTAATTTGAAACTTTTCATTCTTGTGTAAGTTTTTTTTAATATTTTTTCTGAAGATATGTAATGGATAAATATTTCCTTCTTTTTTAAGGTTGAGCTCAAATATGGTCATTGAACTTATTATTTATCCACGTATTCTACCAACATGTTACTACCTAGAATTCATGCAATTGAGTTCAGTTGTTCCTTACCTCAAGACTTATTATTCTCTCATAGATCATGTTCGAAGTTTTGGTTTCTAGATACATAATTCATTAACGGTCATTTCTACTTCTAAAGTTGAGTCAAAATAAGTCTATTTATTTCATCATTTTCTCCATGTATTGCATTGACGTGTTACTATCTAGGATACATAGTGAAAACTTCTCTACTTCTATGAGAGTATCATGGGAACACTTCATTTCAACTATTATATAGGTTTTGAGTTGGTTCCTTAGACGCTAATCATCTAAAATTCTTATTTCTTTCCTAATCAACTTTCCAATGTGCCAATGCTGAGGTCTAGATTTTAAATCTTGTAAATAACTTTGTTCTTCATGATATTCAATTTCAGGTATCATAAATCTTACATTTTTGTAGCTTATGTCCTGAGTTCGAATAGCATACCTGACCTTGTGTTTTAATTTTTCAGATGTTTTTCTCATTGAAGCTTCAAAGTTCATATTATTCATGTATTATGTTTGAATCTTGCATATCACTTTGCATTTCTAGATTGTATATTAAACTTTGTCACACATGTTAACACATGTTTATCTACACTTATGTCCGAACAATATAATACTACATTATGTTTAACCTAAAAAATATTTCAAGAATATAACTTGTTGGATTTGTTATTAGCCATATGATTATTTTGAACATTATCAATGTCTATATTCAATATTTTCTAGATATAGTAAATTTAAAATATAAACTCTCATGATATTTATTCACAATTTAATATTTATTCTATAAATACTTTGTAAATAAATTTTCTCAAGAAAGCATCAAAACCAGGGGCATCAATAACTTTTAAGGTCAAGCTGAAATAATGTCATTAAGTTCATCATTACCTCTAGATACTCTATCGACGTGTTATTGTCCATAATGCATGACACTACTTTTTCCTCGATCCTTATTTTAAAGCTTGTTATTCTCACATCATCTATATTTGAAGCTTAGTCTAGAGATACATGATTGATCAATGATCATCTTTGCCTTCTAGGTCAAGTCCAAATGAGTTAATCTGGCATGTTATTTTCTCCATATATTTTCCTAATGTTTCTTTATAAGGTATATGGCAAAGACGTCTTCTCTTTCTTGATGGCTTCATGTAAATACTTCAATTCTATCCTTTTATAGGTTTTAGGTTTGAATTTTACCTCAGACATTGATCATTTTGATATTTCTTCATATTTATTTATTCGGTTTTTTTACATGTTGTCTCTCATGTTCTAATTTCAAATTTGCCAATATCTTTATTTTTATGTGACTTTGAAACATTTTTCCATCTGATAATTCTTCCTTTCTATTGCTTAGGTCTTGAGTTCAAATCTTACACTTGACTTTATATTTTTTAATTTTTCATGTATTTTTCTCAATGAGCCTTTCTATATATGATCACTCAGGTTCTAAGTTTGAATCCTACAAGTGAGTTCGTATTTCTTGATTTTTCAGAAACTTCATCACATGTATCAACACCTAACTCTCTATACTTAGATATGGACTATATGACACTACATTGAATTAATCATGAAAATATCTTAAGGATATAAATTTTATATTTATTTGTTAGTCATGTGATTATTCAAGCATAATCCACATATATCTTGAATATTTCTCAAAAATATCGGACTTTTAATACAATTCTCCATAAAGTAAGTTTATTATTCAATAAATCTTTGACAGATATTTTGTAAATATTTATTAAATAAATTTTCGCATAAATAAGTCAAAACTAAGGGCATCAATAGTTTCTTATTTGTCTTGATAAATTGTTGGAATATAATTATGCTGTTGATAATAAAAATAATAAATATATTATTATGGATAAGAAAAGTGGTATGACTCCTATGCTTATAGAGCCAAAAGAAGGATGTTTCTTCTTGATATTTCAACACTCATGGAATGGTTATTAAGTATAATGATAATTCTTCACTTTGACATTTGCGTTGCGGG